AAAATACTTTCTATCTTAAGTCTATATTATATAATAAAAGACCTATAGAGCTTATATTAGTAAATTAAAAAACCTACTATAGATAGATTATTTTTCTCTTTAATAAAAAAGAGTTTATTATAATAATTATTATAAAAAGCTTCTATTAAAATCTTTATAATTACTATAACTATTATTCTATTAAATTTTACTATAATAGTAGAGAAATTATAAAGAATTTAATAAATTAGTTAACTATTAAAAATACTATCTTTAGTATCTTAAGTCTCTATATTTACTAATAAAATAAACTAACTAAATATTTTATAAGAGTACTAATAGATAGACTTAGAACTATTTTATAATAATCTAAGCTCCTATTATATCTCTAGTATTATATTCTTTTAGAAGTTCTTTAGTTAGTTAATTATACTATTATTAGTAATTATAATTTATTTTCTTAATAGTTATTTCTTTAAGAATTAAAACTTAAAACTCTTTTTAAATCTAACTTTTAAACTTATAGAGCTATTAGAACTTATTATAAAGTCTTTATTTATTCTAAATAATAAACTAAGAGTTATAAATTAATTTTTAGAATAATTTTAAAGTAAATTTTAATATTTTTAGACTTTAAAATCTATTAGATTTATATTTCTAAAAAGAAATTAATTATTAAAATCTCTTATCTAAAGATTTTAAAGAATATAAACTCTATAAAATAGAGCTTATAGCTATAAAACCTCTTTCTTTTATATTCTTTAGAAAAGAAAATAAAAAAAATAAAATATATAAAAAAGATTTAAGAACTATTATAATAGCTATTATAAGAATATTTTAATCTACTAATTATAGTATTAGAACTATTAACTATAGAGCTTTAAAAGCTTAAAATACTATTAGCTATAATATCTACTTTAGAACTCTAAGAGCTTAAAACTTCTAAAACTATAGAATCTCTAGAGCTTAAAGTCTTACTAGTTATAATATATTAATCTAGTAAGTTTAAATTTAATTTAAAACTTATAGATAATCTAATAAATCTATCTAACTAGATATAAACTATTATTATAATATATTAAATAAGTATTATAATATATATTAAAGTTAGGTTTTTACTAGAGCTTAATAATTAAAAAGAAATATTAAAACTATTATTAAAAAAGAAAGAGCTTTAATTATAAACTATTTTTAGTAAACTTAAGTAGTTAATATATATTAAAACCTTCTTCTTTATATTATTAAAAAATCTATTTAAAAACTATAAAGCTTTAAACTATAAATATATACTAAAGCTAAAGCTTAATCCTTATAATAAGCTATTAAAATATAAAGCTAAACTTATTATTAAAGAGTTCTTATAAATAGAAAACTTAAATTATAATAAAATTTTTATTTCTATAGCTATTTTTCTAATCTAGAAACTATTATTAGCTCTAGTAGTTATATATAATTATAATATTAAATAAATTAACTTTATAAATATTTTTTTAAATAGTAAACTTATTAAAAAGCTCTATATAAAACTCTCTAAAGATCTAAAAAAGCTATTAAAGAAAAGTTCTAAATTACTTATAATAGCTAAATCTTAAAACTATAATCCTTCTAAAGATTAGATTATTCTATTATTAAAAACTCTATATAATCTAAAGTAGTTCTCTAGAGAATAATAAAAAGTTCTAAAAACTCTATTAAAATCCTTAAACTTTAGCTCTTTAATCTTAGATCTAATAGTTTTCTATAATACTAAAAAAACTACTTTTATAATAATTTATATAAATAATTACTTTATAATAAACTCTGAAATTAGCTATATTAATAAGCTAAAGAAGAAAATTTATAGAGTTTATTCTATAGAAGATAAGAAACTAATAATCTTCTTTTTAGAGATTTAAATTTATTAAAATAAATCTAAGAAAGCTCTATATCTCTCTTAGCTTTAATATATTAAATAGATACTATAAGCTTTTAAGATTATTAAAAAGAAGTTTTTATTAATACTTTTATAGCTTAATCTTATAAAGCTTATAGTAAAAGCTATAAAGATTATAGATCTTTATAACTCTTTAGAATATAGATTATTTTAATAGATTATAAGGATTTTAATATATCTAATACTTTAAACTAGATTTAATATAGCTTTTTTAGTTTAGTAACTAGCTTAGATTATATATAAGCTCTATAAAATCTATTTAAAAACTATTAAAAAACTACTTTAGTATTTAAAAAGTATTAAAAATCTTATTATAATTTACTTACTAAATAAGTCTCTAGAAAGCTATTATAATAATAATTTTATAAAGAATAAAACTATTAGTAAATCTATCTATAGATATCTCTTTAAGCTAGCTAGAAGCTCTATTAGCTAGAAAGTTAAAAAAGTAATTATTATAGCTCTATTTACTATAAAGGCTAAAGTAGATAGTTTTATAGAAGCTCTTAGAGAACTATAATAGCTAAAAGAGCTTTATAAAGAGCTAAACTAACTATTAAAGATTTTTATAACTATTTATTATAATAACTAGAACTATATAGTTATAAGTAATAATCCTACTCTATATACTAGAACTAAGTATATACTATTAAAATTCTATTATAATAGGATTTAAATTATAAAGAGTTTAATAAACTTTAACTATTTAGAAACTAAAATTATACTTACTAATAAGCTAATTAAACTACTAACTATATCTCTTTAGTAAGCCTTTAGAGATCTACTAAATCTAAAGAAATACTATAAGAATCTAATTTAGTTATTTTCTTTAGAAAAAGTATTAAAATTTATTCTATAAACTATAGAGTAAATTAGATTACCCTATATTAATTAATTAAATAATATTAAATTAATATAGAGTAAAAAGAAATAAAATAATTAATTTAAAGCTTTTTAAAATTAAAAACCTACTAGAGCTATTAATTTAATCTATTATAGCTACTTATTAAAGTAATTATATTAATAATTATAACTATTATAATAGCTATTATAATAACTATATTAATAATCTTATATTATACTATAATAATTATATTAGTAATTCTTATATTTATTATAATACTTATATTAATAAATCTTATATTTACTATATAAGAACTTTAGTACTTAATTAGTAAATTTTATAATTATTATAATAATTATATTAATAGATTTTATATTTATTATAATATTTATATTAATAAATCTTATATTTACTATATAAGAATTTTATAATAATTATAAGCTTATATTATAGAAGATAATATATTATTTTTAGAGCTCTTAGAGTTCTAAAATATCTATAAATATAGAGCTTTCTCTTTATTAAATAAAGACTCTTTAAACTATTAATTTACTCTTTTATTTATTCTATAGTCTATCTTCTTAGCTACTCTATAGCTAATAAAGTCTCTCTTTCTTACTAAGTAGACTACTTTTTCTACTATATCTTTTAAAATAATCTCTTTAGTATTTCTTAGTTTATTCTATAAGCTATATTTATTCTAAATCTAGCTTATTCTATAGCTAATCTACTCTATACTAAAGGTCTTAATCTTTTAAAAGTTATTAATATAATTATCTATATATCTATTATTACTAGTTTTATAATATTTATATATTAATAGTAACTTATATTATATAGTTTAAGATAATCTAATTATACTACTTAGAATAATACTCTAATTAGTTTAATCTTAATCTACTCTAGATTCTATTTAGTATAAGTTATCTAACTATTATATCTAGCTTCTTAATATTATTAATATTAATAGTTTTTATAAAGCTAGTAAGTTTATAGTTATTAATACTAATCTTAAGCTTTTTTATATTTAGATAGATTATTTTATTATTTTTAAAAAAAAATATTAGAATCTTATCTTTTATTATAATATATATTCTAATTATTAGTAAATAGTAAAAGCTATAGATATATTAGTATTAGTACTCTAGCTAAAGAGCTACTAATACTTACTAGATTAGTTATTAAAAAGATTCCTACTTAGTATATTAAAGTATATAGATTAGTATAATAGAAGATAAAAAGCTAGATAAAGAGAGTAGCTTTAGTAATTATTTAATATATAGCTTATTCTAATAGTAAGCGAGTTATTAGTATAAAGGTTTATAGAATTTTCTACTATATAACTATAGCCTTAGGCTAGTAAAGCTTTTTTTTTTTTTTTTTTTTTAACCTTTTATATTTATTATATTAAGTTATTAGGTCTGACTTCTTCTTTTGTTTTTAACTTTCTATCAAAACTCTCTCCGGTACAAATACCTACGGTCTCAGTTGGTGGCAGATCTGGATCTAGCCATAGAGCATCAGCAAACTTATCTTGACTTAGCACCAAATGATCATCCGGATCGAACAATTGGTTATAATAGGTTTGGTCTCCAGCATGTGATCAAGTATCAACAAAATAAAAACATCATCTGCATCGAGCAAGTCAAACTATCAAATGGCTCTTTCAATATATCCAGACGACGACCAGGAGATGCCTGAGCTATTTGACAGCCTTGCCAGCGCTCATATCGCCCGGTGTAAGGCATTAGGAACTATGGAAGACATTGAAACGGTAATCCAGTACTGCACGAAATCGATTGCTTCAACACCGCACAACTCTGTCGATGAGCCAGGAAGGCTCAATACTTTTGGAAGTGCATATCAATGTAAATATGACATGAATGGAGAAAGATCAGACCTCCAATTAGCAATTCAATATCTCACAGCAGCTTACGAAATACTTCCAAGAAGGCATGGCGACCGGGTCCAGGTCTCTCTTCTACTTCAACCCCGCATTCTCCTCCCACTCCCAGTCGGACTTCTTCGGACGGACATCTCCAATACTGCTAATTCATTACTACCTATCCTCAAGGATTATAGTAGAGGTACGGCTCTAAAGCAAGGATAAATACTCCATATAAGATTTTTTAGCCCTAGCTCTCTTTCCTCTCCGCATCCGCTACCCTTACCAAGCTCCGAATCACTCTCTTCCACTTCAACCCCGCATTCACCTCTAAATGACTCCTAATCGGACTTCTTCGGATGGGCGTCTCCGATACTGCCTATCCACTACTACCTACCCTCGAGGGTTATAGCACAGGTACGGTTCTAAAGCCAGTATGTTAAATGTTGCCAAGAATACCCCGCGAGTATTCTGTCTGTCTGATGGTCAGGGGTAGGATTCAGAAGCTTTATATATAACGGAAATTATGCCCAATGTCGTCGATAATTGATATCGTAGGCAAACTATCTTCAAACTTGATACTAAGCCCACAGCTACTATGTGTTCTTCAATGTTAGCTTTGATGACTTTTGTGGCAGCCCTTTGGGGCGGTTGCAAAGGTATGCCGGCTCCTTTATCTCCAACTGCCAATCTCTCAGGACATCCTGATGTGTTTGAGGTGCCTCTCCAACTACGCAACATCTACCCCACTGACAACTTCAACCGCGACGTGATGGGAGCCTGGTGGGATACCTCAGTCCTCGATGGCCACCCCCATGATGCATCACAGCAGCTGTCTTCAGCTCTCAAGTCGGCCTCATTCATAGTTCTGGACCAGGGGATGTATGACGTAAGACGCTCTATGCTTCACTGATATTCTCCATCTGTGGTCATCCGAATACCTTGCTCACGTTGCTCACGCGCCCGCGCAGTTGCTAGTGTCTCCAGGAGAAACATCTGTTCCCATGGTAGAGCGCATCTTTGAGTTCCCTCAGCCGCCTTCCTTCGCTAAGCGTATGGTTCATGATGGCACGGTATACTCTCCTGAGTGCAACTGCATCTTCTTTGCCGAGATGCACCCGCCTAAGCCCGGTTTCTCGACCGGAGCAATGCCATGGGTCTGGCGTGTAAATCTTTCCAAGGACCCTCCAACGACCGAGAAAGTATACCCATCGCCACAGCTTACAGTCCCTAACGGTGCATACTATCACAATGGAAGTGTGTACTGGGCTCACGAGGGCAACTATACTGTGCCAGGCGGTATAGTGCGAATGGACCCCGTTACCCTACAAACCGAGGTCGTACTCAATAATTGGTTCGGCCATCGCTTCAACAGCCCTAATGACGTTGCCATTACGCGAGATGGTGTTGCGTACTTCACAGACGGTTATTATGGCTACGATAATTTTAACGATACACTTAAGCCGGAGCTTGCAAATGGCGTTTGGAGATGGGAGATGACAACAGGCGACGTGCGAATGGTTTCTGGCGCAGGTGGAGGACCATTTACGAATCCCAATGGCATTGCACTCAACAAGGAAGAAGACCGTCTCTACGTCACCAACAGAGGGAATGCAACTGATAACCCTGCTGGAGGTCGAACGATCTACGAATTCGAGCTCGACCATTACGGGAAGATCAACAATGGCCGACGTTCCCGCCCGGTCAAGGGGGGTGAGGTTTTCACCTTCTCTGACTCAGGGTTTCCGGATGGTATTAAACTAGACCGTGACGGCCGTATGTACGGTGCTGTGACTGGAGGTGTACATGTCTTGGACGAATCTGGTAGGCAACTAGGCATTATCCGAATTAGCGAGGGTGATGTTGCCGTCAACATGCAATGGGTAAATGACTGGCTGTACATTGCGGGTAGGGCGAACCTTTACCGGGTCAAATTGAATAGCAAAGGATCACAGCAGTATTAGCATCCATAAGTTGGAGGATTGTATGGCAAAAGGTTCCAACTTGTGTAGTATCTGGAGGTGGGAAATAGTACATATGTCCGGCAACTCACATCTATTACACATTGCAGTCCCATGAAGAGTAGAAGACGTATTATGTCTATGATAAGATTAAAGACCATGCAAGTCAGCACTTATAGTACTGCTATGATCGATCGGAAGGGTATCAAAAAGATGTAGTTTTCTGGATGAATGAGTGTCCTGATGAGCGTGAGAGATGGCGAACATGTGGCATCTGATTGAACTGAGGAACTTCTCTTGTATGCATATCGCACAGCTCATAGTACAGCTTTTTGTCGAGCCGTGGTTGATACCTGGTTATGGTTCACATGTCACGCCACAGGAGAGGGTAAAAAAAGTCCAAAATAGTCATCATAAGGTTGGAGTGCTATCTCTAACGAATGCTAATGCTAATGCCTGGTACTTGGTGGGCAATACTCAACGGAGCTTCTGTCTCTGCAGGTCGCGATTTCTCCATTTCCAACCAGATGTCTGAGATGCTTTGAGATTCCATCTCCTGATAGAGCTCCATGGGATCCGCGGTTTTTTGCCCCAGGCACTTTTCAAACTGTTCCTGATCAGGAGTTCCGCTTACAATATCGGTGTTGGAACCAGATGTCCCCAAATTGGACTGAAATATGCCAGCTGCAGAGAAGGGAAGGAAGTCCTCGTATGTGATGGGTTGGAAAGTGACAAGGCCCTTGCTGACAAGATACGGCAATGAGGACACATCTTTACTGCCAGCCCATTGGCTTAGTGCCCACTTCTTGGTCAATTTGTACCGGCAAAATACGAGGCCTTGCTTCTGAAGAGCGTCAACATCGTCTGGAAATTGCTTGAAGACATGCTCAAGTATTTCGTCGTATGTTTGGCTCTGCGAGGATGCTGCAGCAAAAGACTTGGAAGTTTCGACAATCAATCGATCGTAAAGTGCTCGGCCCTCTTTGGTGAGGGCCCATCCGCGTTGTTCAATTTCTCCAAAGCGTGCACTATGCACACCACGCACCATGTCATGTCCACTGGAAGAAGCAGGGAAGTCAACTTGCTCGTTTAATGCCTTGAAGCTGGTTTGGCGGAGTAAAATCTGAAACTTGCGGCGGGGAGGACCCTCAATACGCTCCTTGGCTTGCATGCCACGGCTCTGCATGGCGTCTTGGGCAAGATCGATGTCCAAGGTTCGCGGTGTCAGATGGTTGATGTGTGACGTTGGAAATGACACCACGTCGGCCAGAATAGGATGCTCGGCCTTGAGCTCGAGATATTTTTCATATGTTGCCACTGCAACCTTCTGCCACCGAAAGATGGACAGACTCTCTCGGATGAAGTCGTCAACCTGGCTTTTCAAGACACCGCCACGCCTCTCTGCGTCGCCTAGTAGCTCCATCAACTTCGCCGGGAAAATGTTGCGTGATGAGAGAATCTCTTGAGCCAAGCGTCGTGGCTCCTCTGAGAGCAACTCGGGCCGCAGTAAAGTTGTGAAGATGCGGAATGGGTTTCGCCGAAGCGCTTCCCCTGCCAGAGGCCGGAAAGCGGTAGCATGCATGGGGAGACCAGCGATGCTCAAATCATAGTAGCCAACTGGAAACATACCGAGCTGGGCGAAGAGTCTTCTGATCGTAGCTAATTCTGTTGGAGTGCCCAGTCTGATAGCACCATGTCGCTCCAGAGTGATTCGAGCAATGTCAATGTCGGTCTCGTGCTGGTAATCCAGACCAGACTTGCCCAAAACCTCGCCGTTCACCTCAGTGACGATGTCTAGGAGGTCCGAGTAGAGGGGAACTTCATCCTGGTACATTCTGGACATGGCCTTAGAGAAGACCGTGCGGAGCTCATTAGTATCACAAAGATCTGTGTCGGCCATTTTGGAAATAGGCATTCTTCTCGATTGATGGTTGTCGAAGTAACTTCGTTTGAGATCTGCTTGATTGATAGTGATTGAGAGGTATTATCAAGGGTTATGTAGAAAGCCATGGCGCAGTATTTCGTGACCGGGAGCCTTGCATATGATTTATTTCATAAACTGAGCGTTCTTCACCTACCTACACATCGTGCGAGATGGACGGCATGTCTTCCCTTTGTCACTAAACAGTGGAGTCCTTGGAATACTGTTATCGGACAGCTTCGGCCGCACCACCGACAGACACCGATGATCCGCATGATTCATCACACCTACCTTGACCGATAGTGCGAAAACACGGCTCCGGTTTCGTGCGGTGGTTGCCGACAGAGTCCGAAGATATCCAAAGCCCCAACACAGACAGCGTGTGGTACACCTCCCGGATTCGCTGAGTTCAGAGGGGGAATGCGGTGCAGCTGTTACCGCTGACTACACGTAGGTAACGTATATGTAGCGTTTGGAGTTCTTCTTGGCAGCATGTGTGCGTAGCTTCGAGGTACGCCCAGAAAATTCTCAGCAACAGGTATAGCAACATTGCTTTCGCTCATGGCCTCGGATTGAATACTTTATTTCTCTATACCACAGCAAACTCCGAGAACGTCCAAATACCCATCTAAATCCGTTGCATACTAGCACTCGAGGCGCGGTTTATACAATGCCGCACTCGAGTCCTTTGGAGGAACATATAAGCTTTCTAAGGACGATCGCGTCCTCAGAAGCCAGTGATGCGCTCGTTGCGCTCGGGTATTCTCACGGCGGTTACCTACAGGGAGTCTCCAGGTTGTCTCCGCCACCTAATCATCGTCAGCCTCAAGACAGCGCAACTGTGTGCGGGCCAATCATACCGGTGAAGCTAGTGCCCGCTTCTGACAAGACGTCTCCCTATTATGAAGGCACATACGCAGATGCTGCAGAGACGGGCAAGGTGATTTTCATCTCCCAGCCGCGTGGGACGACAAATGCCGTATGGGGTGGTTTAATGAGCGCAAGAGCATCCGTCCTTGGGATTTCGGGGGTGGTCGTTGACGGCCAGATTCGAGACATTGCAGATCAACGTGAATCGGGGTTCTCGGTTTTCTGCCGAGGAACATCGCCGTTGCCAGCAAAGGGCCAGACTCGTTGCGCAGGCATCAAACTTGGTGTTGAATTCGAAAGCGCTCTTGGGACCATCTTCATTAATCCAGGTGACTACCTGATAGGTGACGATGACGGCGTGGTTATTATCCCATTCAACCTAATCCCGGATGTCGTCCAATCTGCAAAAAAGAGCGTAGCGGGAGATGGTCAGGCTATGCAGGCTATCAAAAATGGCACGTCCGCCACCGAGGCATTTAGGATGTTCAGGGGTCGGTAACATTTCAAGTATTTTAGGATCAACTTTGAGGGAAGACGACTCGCACCATGCGACATCTTCTAACACGGGCAGTGTAGGAAGGTAGTAAATGGAACTGGGCGGCTAGATGCAATCACAAATACGGAGGACCTTAGTGAAAGATGCTGAACATTTATCGCTTCGGAAACCAGTATATCTATGAGATTGGTGAGAGAGCTGTGACCCAGAAGGTTCTACTTCTTTTGCCCATACTGCCCTTCCCCCGAGCCAACATTAGAGCCAGCCAGTGGTCCCGTTGTCGTTGTAGAGAGTCTTGACGGTAACGCATCATCTGCCTTCTCCGATGGACACACCCCTTTAGAAACGCGCCCTCATATTATGAGACCACAGCAATTCCCAGTAGGCCAGACTCGGAAACACAATAGGTATGGACGATCTCTTAAAAGTGGATGATTATGCTGAAATCCGGGGCGCGGGGTCTGGGGTCAGGTACATTACTTGCGAAAAAGGATCTACCTTACCTACCAAGAACCGCTCAAACCAGCCCAGTATCAAGAGCTAAGGCACAATAGCATGGCACTTACGATACATCCAGTGGTAGCTCAACTTTACGGCAAGGTGTTAGTTCTGTACGCTATCTCGTATGGGAAAAATGCTCTATACTCCACAAGGTACCTACGAATCTTAAAGACGTAGTCTCGCCCTAGGCTGGGAGAGGGGAAGTTTTAGCGGGTCATACGCCCCCTACATAAGCGGTCAGAATGCGCAGTCTCTTCCCACATCTGAGTGGTCTCCTGAGCAAAGCAGAACAGAAGACGCCGCTCCATCGCAACGAGACTCCAGGATAGCCGCACAGCAAGGCGCGACACGGCCATAGGATAGCAGGACGAATGGTCATGCATTGATGACAGATCGATCTTGAACGCACATGTCCAAGTGGTGTACGACTAGATGGCGGATCGGAGCTACCGAGGCCCGCTGATGGCCATTTCATGCGAGCGTTGCCGGAGAAGAAAACAGAAGGTAGGCTTCGTTCCCGACGACAGGCATGGCAATATTGGAACTTAACAACAATTCACATCGTCGCCAGTGTGACCGCAAAACACCGACATGCTCCCAATGTGCCAAAGGTGGAGTCTCCTGCGTTCCAGCCATCTCCAGGTCCTCCATTGCAGCTCGTGTCCTCGAGGCCCGAGCTTTAGAAGCCCGAGCTGAGCTATGGGAGACCCATAACGATGAGTTAGTACCGAATCTTCCATGGACTCGTGTTGAAAATTCTCCTGGTCGCCGCATACATGTCCAATACGGTGTTGGCTGACATTATTCCAAGCGATATACAACAACTAGAAACCCAGCTTCGGAGCCTGGAGCAAGTAGTACATCAGCTGCACTCGGTCCAGGGCCAGGGAGACCTGGCATCGGCGGGTGGCCTTGGTGTTTCACCTTTCGGCGGAGACACCTACGGAAACTCACAGACCATTGATGGAATTGCACAGTCATCACCAGCGTCAACCGCAAGCCCGCTTAAACCGCTGGCCAGCATACCATTGTCAGTGCTAAACGAGAGCACTCACGATAGCTTTACAGGCTCCTTTTCGTCAGTCAAGCTTCTTTCTCTTTTGGCAAACACCGGCAATGCGTCTCCTATTTTCTCATCAGGACCTACACGGCAGGAATGCTCAAAAGGCGAGTCGCACTGTTTACTATGCTGGTGCCCCAGCTTCAAAGCATAATTGACTAATGCATGCAGAAATTGAATTGTCGTACAGATGTCATTACCCGCCTTATATCGGTCGTTAATCATGGATTGTCGTCCTCGCATCTGGACAACTACTTCCACGCCTTCCACTTGAACTACCCTCTGCTGGACCAAGCAGAGGTGCGGCGGAATTGGGACCATCTGCTAAGCTTCACGCACGAGGTGGAAGTAGAAGGCCAGAACGAAGAACTCTACAGCTCGCTGGGCTTTCTAATTGTTTACATGGTCATTGCAATTAGTCTGTTGCTGGAACACAGGCCCGACAGTAAGAATCTCGCGAACCAAATCTACTCAGGGACAATTCAACTTCTCTCGGCACCATCTTCAGTGCTTCTCAATACCCGACTGCTCAGGCATGCGGGCGATGAGACTTATATCGTCCAGTTCATATTCTTGCTTGCTCTCTACCGCCTCCTGGACCCTTCTGGCGGCTCCGCTTGGCAGCTTGCCCGATATGCCATGGATACGAGTGTCATGTTTGGATTTCATCGACTGTCGAGGAATACGCACGGCTTTTCGCATTCGAATGACGACTTCCTTTCCAGAGGCCTCATAGCTCGGAAGGAAGTGACATTATGGAGTTGCTTTTGCTTGCTAAGGTCGGTTGCTGAATTTAGCCTCTTGATTCTTTCATTGCAGAAACAAGCTTACCAAGCAGTGTACAGAGACTTGAGTGCTCTTTTGGACCGCAGTTGTGGTGTGCAGCCCGGTGATATCGATCCGCTACCATCGCCATATTCAAGGGCACCTTCATATATTCACGCGTTCATGCGGCACATGGTGGAGTATCATCAGATCCAAGCCCATCTATCACGAAAACGGAGCGAAGACGCATTTCAGTACATTGCCGTTTTGCGCAGATGGAGAGCGGCCACGCCATCCTCACTTGATCTCGACAGGGCTAGCGGAGCAACACCGGGGCGCTCTCTCAGTCAACTGACCGAACCTGAGCTATCTCAGCACTGGGACTCTTGGTACTATCGCGGAATACTCGAGTGCATTGACGTTCATACCCAGCACCACCATGCAGCCGCTAGCCTGGCTGTGAAAGGATGCTTGTTCTTCCTTGGGCTCACTGCCGAGATCAGCATGAAGAAATCGGGCGTTCGATGGGATACTGCAATATTTTACTTCTCAGTAGGCGTCATTCTTGCTAATCTATCAGCGAAACAAGTTGTTGCGGGGGCTCGGAAAGATCTTGCAGAAATTGTCACCGCTCTGTCTCGTTGCTCCGACATCCTCTCTGTTTACCTTGCGGATTTACCCATTCTGGCGCCATACTCTCGGCTGTGGTATCAATTCTCCTCGGAAATAGCAGTGCTTCTTAATACCAGGCTAGTACGTACTGAGATCTACGGTGCAACCTTACTTCGTACAAACTGACCGGCATTACAAGCACAATGTCCACATTTCACTCAAAAGTTCTTATGATACAAGCCCAATTGCCCCCAGGCGGATTGAGGACTTGCTTCTTCAAGCTCTAAGTCTCCTATCCAACAGGGCTTAAACTAAACCGCCCTTTTTTTTTTTTTTTTTTTTTTTTTTTTTTTTAGAAAAAAAAGAAAAAAAGAAAAATGCCTGGCCTGCTTTTGAGCGGGAACTAGTTTATGCAGTTGTTGAGAAACAGAGTCGCAACACTCTCTTAGATGCGAATTAGTTCTTTCATGTGACCAGCAGAAACGGAACTCTTCAATCAAGAGATTTTTTTCTTCTACGGCTTACAGTGCAACAGTTAGATGAAGATACTTGATTTGATTTGATTTGATTGGTTTGGTTTGGATTGCTACGCTTCTTTATTGAGCAACTAGATTAAATCACTCAAAAGTATGGTGGTACAGGTCCTTCTGTGACGAAGATCTGGGTGAAAAAATCTCGATTGGCAAGATAGCTATCACTGACCATCCGCAAGTGAAGCTTCGCATTGCAGGTCGAGATGGATGACTCAAACATGATGACGATGAAGATGAATGCGGTTGAGTTCCAATCAAGATGGCACCCCCAAGTAGCTTTGGCTCTCTAGTACAGAGCATAAAACAGCTTGAATCATCTCGGATTTCCGTGTTCCCTAAACGACGAACCTCCAGCTTGGGTGATCCTCACCCTGGGCACGAACACGATCAGAAATCTCGATCGCATTCGAGATGGACTCGGTCTTCTTGTCGCGTCTGCGATTCTCCCAGCGGAGAATCATTGATAGCGTCAGTGTCAGCAGAGCACCCGCAAAGAGCGAGGCTGAGCAAACGGCCATGCCCTTCACGTAGAATGGACCATCGTGGTCGGGGAAGATCCTCGCCCCAAGAAACGAGCCCGACTGGCCAATCATGCCGAAGATAGCTAGGCCAGCACCGCGTTTAGAGGAAGGGCCCTGGTTGTCGGTCATCCAAGTGAAGTTGAGAGCGATGGATGGGAAAACACCGCAGGTGATGAAGTAAATACCCAAATAGCGGATGGCAGTAGACTCAAATAGCGCCAGCAGAAGGTAGCCTACGCCACCGACACAAACGAGGAACACAATGAACAGGCCGCGCTGTCCAACCCGATCCGAGATAAATGACACGCTTACGCAGACGATCCAGGCCAGGAAATAGGGAGGGGCAGATAGTCCCTGGGCCTGAATGGATGTAAAACCCATTTCTTTGACAATGGTAGGGAGAAAGGCGGGAAGAGACGCGAAAGAGGTGTGGAGCAAGAAGAGTGTGAAGGCCTGAAAGTAGCACTTGTAGTCTTTAAAGGCATCGAAGGACTGGGTAAAGTTGATCTTGCCCTCATTTCCGAGCTCACCGCGATTTATAAGAGCCCGAGACGAGACAATGTGGGTTTGGCGCTCATTTAAGAATGGGACATCTTGCGCGCTCCTGGGAATGTAGAAGTAGGCTACGGCGGCCAAGATCAAAGTTGGCAAGCCCTCTGTCATTGTGTATCCATTAGGGTCGCGGTTTACCCTTGAAAGAGAGGAGGTGAAAGGGCAAGAGACAACTCACCGATGATGAAGAGAAACCTCCACCCACTAATTGCAACCGGTGCCTGCACAATACCGTATGCAAGCGCAGAGGCGAAACAGTTCGCCAGAGCTGAGAACCCAATGAAAACGCCGTACCGGAACCCCATCTCTCTTCTAGAATAGAAGAAGCTAAGGAACAAGGCAACACCAGGGGCGAAACCAGCCTCGAAGACACCGATGATGAAGCGAGTAGCCATGAGTCCACTCCAGTTATGGCAAGCAGCTTGCAAGATGCTCGCCCCGCCAAACCCGAGACACAGACAAGCCACCCAGATCGGAATGTTGACAACCTTCCAGATAAGAATGGTCTACAAATCGGCGTGGTCAGCAAGGTTTCGATGTTTCCTCTCACGTTATGCATGCGTCGACTTACCCAATGAAAGGCGATATAAGCAATGTAATATATTGTGATTAACCATGCGTACTCATCACTGGTGATTTTGAGCTCGTCGTTCATGCCAGCGGCTTTGGCGTTGCCAATGTTTCCTCTATCGATGTAGGAAGCCATATAGATTCCGCCGAGGCTATGTTAAGATAAAGAGAATTTAGCGATCTGCAAACGTACCAGGCGATGACTTTGGCAAAGGCTCATCGCCTCTTCATCGAACACCGAGAATTGAGACGTCTGTTTAGAACCTACATTGGCATTAGACACCAGTCAAGCTTTCGTAGAGCAGATTTCTCTTCTTCCGGCGTCCAGTCAGGCGTGTTAGCCAGATATTCAGCATCTTTCTCAGCGGCGACGCCGTCCAAGCTCGTCTCAACATGCACGAAGTCTTCGGGCTGCTTTTCTGCTGCAGGTGTAGAAAGCATGTTGGCCGTTCGTCGTTAGTGAGTCTGGATGGAAGGTTATTGAAGAAGAGGATGGTGTTTGAAGTGTAGAAAGAAGATAGAGGCTGAGCGCTCCTTTGTATTTGCGAAAACATATCCAAGCCAGGATGTACTTAAGGGTATAACATGGCCAGGGTTGCATACGCATCTGATCTGGGTTCGAGCAAAGAGATTTGTTCCAGATTGGCGGACTCCATCCTCGCGGGGCCCCGCAAATTCCTCGCAGGCCCCGGCCAACCGCAATGAATGATACCTTCGGATTCAGTCCGAAACCCCTTTTGGCACATCAGGCGTTAGAGTTGAACTTTCTTCCCTGTCTTGAGTAATCAGTCCCTCTCCGATGAAGCTTTGACGCAGTCGGCTGCTGTACCGACAAACAGCGACACTAGTAATATTCTGATTTTAGTCCAGAATCAGTCCTACCCCCCGCTGCCGATCTCTCAGTGGTTAGGCTTCAGAATTTTTGTTTTGTATTGACATCCACCTGATCGGTCGGTGTCTCTCGGCATGCGGACTTTTGGTGGACCCAATGTATCGGACTCTGTCGGCCTCCTCGGTGATGGCCGAGATTTACTGTCCGAAGCTTTGCTCCCAAACGCCGAGTCAATGTTTTCGCAGCCCTGTGGCAAGATTCCAGAGGGCAGATCCTTGTCTTCAAAGGGATCAAAGTCTGGAGATGAAAACTATATTTCCTCTCGGAGTCGACAGTCGTGACGTTGTGTCCTTTCTCATATTAGAATATTGTGCCTTGGAAAGCCCATTTCATCTACAGCTAAAGTGAAAAAGAAAAGCACAATGAGCCCACATGCAACAGAAGTTGCTAGCCAAGAGACGGATGGTCAAGGTATGTTTTAGATTGAAAATGGCTGCGATCACAACAATAGTGCCATTGTTAAGGTGAATAGCTAACCGAGGGCTAGGCATTAGAGAAATCAACACGTTTACAGCGTTGAAGGGAACGCCATCAAAGCCTGTGAAAGAGGCATATAATGTTGTGCAGTCCATTTGGAAAGAGCTGAGACTGCCTCTCGACGCACTTTCCCAGCTGCAGCTTTCTGGAGAAGGCTACGGCTTGCCGTCATCCTTCAAAGTTGGCGTATTGGCTCAGGCCTCAATCGCCCTATCTGCGCTTGCAGCAGCGCTCGTGGCAACGGAGAGAAAGAAACAACCCGTCAACAGTGTGCCAAGCGTATTAATTCCTCTTGATCATGCCTCAGTCGAGTTCAAGTCCGAGCTTCTGTATATCCTCGACGGTGTGCCTGCCCCACCCCTATGGGGCCCTATTGCAGGACTATACGAGACCAAGGACGGGCATATCTCCATACACGATTCGTTTCCTCACCACAGGGCAGGGGCCTTGAAACTGCTAGACCTTCCGGCTGATTGCGTTGACAGGAACTTGATTGCTCAACGAGTGAAGGGGTGGGAAGCCGTCGCACTTGAAAAAGCAGCGGCTGAATCCGGCAACGTCATTTACGCACTGCGCTCCCCAAAACAATGGGAAGCTTTGCCTCAGAGAGCCTCGTTGCCTCCATTTCCCATCATGATTCGTAAGATTCGTGACTCCCCGCCGAGCATGCCCAAGCAGTGGAGTGAAGGGTCGTCCGCGCTCGACAAATGCATCCGGGGCCTTCGGGTCTTGGAGATGACTCGCGTCGTGGCTGGGCCGCTTTGCGGCAAGACGCTGGCTGCCCATGGGGCTGATGTTCTCTGGATCAATGGAGAGCATCTTCCCTATCTTCCTAACCTCGATAGAGACATGGCTCGTGGTAAGCGTACAGCGTTCCTAGACATTAGGTCCCCTGACGGTCGCGAAAAATTCCACGAGCTTCTCAAAACCACCGACATCTTCATACAGTCCTTCCGTCCCGGGTCAATGACGAGCAAGGGCTTCTCGCCGGAGTACCTGGCAGACCTGAACCCAGACATAATCTACGGCTCCATTTCGGCTTGGGGTCAATCCGGGCCCTGGCGTAATAATAGGGGCTTTGATTCCATGGTCCAAGTGGCGGGCGGGATCAATGTGGCTGAGGCAGAGGCGTTCGGCGACGGAAGTGTCTCGAAGAAACTGCCGACACAAGCACTGGACCACATTGCTGGCTACTTCCTCGCTCTAGGCGTATTGACAGGTCTGCATAGACACATGACTGAAGGAGGTGCCTGGGAGGTGCACGTCTCTTTGGCTGGTGTGATGGAGTACCTCAAGAGCCTAGGTCGTTATCCCGGCAAGGAAGGGTTCGGCTGCTTTGACCCGAGTGTTCCTGCTGACGCTGCTCGTTTCTCAGAAACGAGGGCAACGGGCTTCGGTGACATGTTTGCTGTGAAACACTCGGCGACTGTTGATGGTTACACAACGGGCTGGGATTATATGCCAATGCCGTTGGGTACTCACAAGCCAGAGTGGTTGAACTGAGAAATTGTGCCGGTATAACCAACCGGGAAGTGTGCGTCTGGCATTTTAGATGTAGAGCTTTTGGGGTACCAGGTACAAATGTTAACATATATACTTCCGTCAGTGAGTACTTAGAGAAAGTAGCACTCAATGGCACATATTTTTCTGCTGTAATTTGTCGGGACTTTTGGTGCGAGACTCAATCGGTGAGTCTAAGTGAATCATGCAGCTTTATTCGGGCAGTAAGGCACCCGTTTTAACTGTCGCCAGAGAGCTCTATTGAGCGGTCGAAAAATGATTGTAGTGATAACACGTTGTGTGGTTGTAGGAATATGGAATCCACATAGGAATCCCTACGGCCGTACCAAGATATCTCCCATGGTGATTTAGCGGTGCCTTAGTCAAGGCTCCATGTCCACAGTTAGGGTAATGGGATGGCTATTGGCCTAATAGTAGTGTGAGGTATAATACTAGTAGTAGGCCCCGCGTTCACACTCCATCAAACTTTGCTACTTAAGCACGCGCCCACCGCCGATATCTACAGCGTCATACAACCTCACATCTCTTTTGGCCTCCTTCGGCTTCTTGAGGGATCTTCGATCAATTTCAGAGCTAGCTTCTGACAAGGCCTTGAGATGGATGAAACTTCTTCACAAGAAACAAGTCCCCCCGCTCCAGCAAAAAGGCTTGGTCCAGGATCGTCCTGCATTCCCTGCCGCATCAAAAAAATCAGAGTCCGTACATACCCCTCTATTCGCCAGTTGCTCACCAGTTCATATGACTTCTCTGACCTGCTACATTCAAGTGCGAACCAGGGGCCGCCAGCGAAGAGTGCAAGGCTTGCAGTAAAGCAGGCATCCGGTGTTCTACATTGCCCCAACAGTCGAAGGACAGAGAAAGGTGAAGCATCTGCTTTTGCTCGCTGGGATGATAGGACCACCTCGACTTACTTCGAAATTTCAATAGACCATCAATACCGCAGGTCCAAGAAAGGATAGCCTTTGCGCGTCAGAGTATACAGAAATTCATATCGCTGACACCTGGGAATGCGAACTTTCCAGGCTCAGGTGATACTTCAAAATTTCCTAGCGGTCTTGTCCAGGATAAGGAAAGACCTGAGGATTACTTGCCACGGTCCTCTAGGTCGAGTTATGCGCTGCAAGTCGGATCCAGTCAAGAAAATGCCACTTCTCTAACTGGGCGATTACCCTCTGAGACGTCAAATTATATCGGGCAGGGAAGTGGAACCGGGTATGTTTCTGTGTCACATGCTCGCCCTCCCCAGTTGGCAAATTTGTGCTAACTGCTCAATCCGAAAGCCTGCTTTGGCCGCTCTTGACCTTTTTAGAATCCAGGAACCTGGAGGCTCAAATGCTAGACGCCTTCTCGAAAGCTCAGGATCCCGCGAATCAGGGTGCCCAGAAGGCTCGGGTTGGCGAGTGGCCTGGACTATCTGATCGTTATAAGATTCCCAGTGAGGCGCTCTGCCTTACTTTCACAGACGCATATCTGTCCGACACACATCTGCTACACCCTATACTAGCCCGACATGAAGTCTGCGCGCTGAGAGATAAAGTCCTGCCTTTTGTCACTCAAGATGCCGTCGAACTGGCACGCCTGAAATCAAGTGAAGCCACAGCACCCAACGGGGTCCGTACATCTCGACGTGACTTCTTTCAAGCCTTTCTCATATTCGCCATAGGCTGTGCCACCGTTGGTAACCGGCCTCTTTCGTATCCACGAACTCAAAACTTCGCCATCATTATTCCAGATCCCAAAGCAGCAGTCCTCAGTTTATATAAGTCAGCCATGCTTTTTAGTGACGACACCATTGTCGTCCCTGGCTTGGACGCATGCCGAAGTCTCTTATTGCTTGCACGCCTGTCCACCTTGTGCCGAACTAGACTATCAGTATGGGAAACAAGCAGGATCTGTCTAGCCATGTGTGTGGCAGAAGAAATGCATCTGTCAGTGAGGTCATCCAGGCGTGGTTCCATCAGCCCTTTTGAGGAGCAGATGCGACGGAGGGTTTTCTGGGATTGTTACAAGCTTGATTGCTACTCATCTAGCACGCTCGGTCGTCCAGTCGGCATACCGGACGCCGATATCGAGGTGCAATTGCCCTGCGACCTTGATGACGGTGTCATTATGGGACTCCAGGCGCTACCAGACGAATCGCACCTTCACAGTCCAAGCATAACCACCAGCGAGATGTCCGTGTTCATCCATTCGGTTCGAATGCGGCGGATAACTTCAGAGCTGAACCGATCTTTGAACCAGGAACAGGATTTCATCACTGGAGTAGGGCTATCATCGACGAAGACAGCGGGAGATGCATATCGACTGCTGAAAACAACGATCGACCGTCTAGATGAGTGGGAGAGTAATTCGCCAATTCATTCATCATTTACGTCACTATTCCAGTTGCCATCATACATGAAGATTCTAGGACAGAAAGAAAGGCTATGGCTAGGAAAATTACTCATCGACCGCATGCCAACGCGGGACGGGTGCCCTCCCTTAGACGTTCTTGTTATTTGCCAGGAAGCGGCAATAAATATCATCCTAGAGTACGACAAGGGCCGCCAAGTACCGCACCTGATGTATTTCCTTCGCGCAGATCTGCACCTAATCTTCCAGGCGGGCGTGTCGCTATTACTGGCTGTTGCCGTGAAGGACCGTCTCTTGCAACGGAATTCTCTTGAGGGATCCAGTCCTCTTCCCGTGCACCAGGAAGATTTGCTGCTAGCGAACCTCCCAACTACGTCGGCGGAGGAGGCTTTACATCTTTGCGATGACTTATTACAGGAGATCACAGAGGTCTTGGAGGAGTCGACGCTCTTAAGAGACATTTTTCACATCTGCCACGGACACCAACGCCCTACGCATGACGACGTTCAACAACGTGACGCAGCTCTCGGCCCGTTTGCAACAAACTTCGAGTCAAACGATGTACCTACTAGCTCAAGGCCCAACCAGAGAAGCCCTCATCCGCTGATCGACCCACAGCTTGCTGAGGGTGCGCCTTGTATAGAAAACACCCAGCCACCTTCTACGAACTGGAATCCCTTAAATAATATGCCCTGTTTTCAAGATGCCGGTGATGGACCTGTTGATGAAATGCAGTGGATGACGAGTGAGGTCTGGGGTGCCCTTCAAGATGAGATGACGCAGTACTTCAGCGACCCATCCGCAGAGTTCGGAAATTGGTCATTCTATTAAATCTATCTTGGAATGCTTTGAAAGGGTCGGGAAGAGGCCCAAGACGTGCAGGATTTCAAGTCTACGGATTCTCGCCAACTTTGTGCCCGCAAGGTTTCAACTCATGAATATACTAGTGTTAGTGTGTACCCCAGAAGACCCCCGTATCAAGAGTCATTTCGATCACCAATGAAGTTTCTGGATATCTTCAAGTTCAGGTGACGTAATTATTCATATTCCCTGCTGATTTGAATTTGAGCTGGTATGGTATGTATGTCTTGCGGTGGGCCTCCAGGCATCGGACTCTCTCGGTAAAACCCCCATAATGTCCGAAGGTTGATCGTGGTCAGTGCATTGGAACTGAAGCCCAAGGGTGGAGTAATAAAACATTGATTAATATGGGGAACAATGGCTACGCCTGATTATGACCATATTGACTTTCCAAACTTGATGGGCTTACCTCTCAGCCTGCGGTACCGGCCAGATGAAACAATACCGTCTTTTCGATGAAGGTTTTTACTTAATTGGTGCCCATCAAATCTTAGGGTTTCAAAATGTAGTTGGCACCCTGTAGGAAGTGGAAGATAGATCGTACGTTGAAGTGGCTACCCGAACATATGAATGAATCAAGAATCGTAGCATGGATCGTCGTTCCGTTGACAAGGGGCTTCACCATGCCGCTCGGAAGTTTCGGAGTGATTGCCTTGTGGAAAGCAGTCAATTACGAACACTCAACGAGATGGATATTGTAATCCGGCATGACCATGATATCGGGGAGGCTACTGATGGGATGTGGAACGGGGGCGCAGCGGCCTCAAGGAATATGGAACCACTCGATAATCCGGTGTTGAACTGGATCCCCTACGTCCACTATTATTAATATACTAATGATTAAATGCTTGCAATCTAATCATAAGTGTACACAATGTTGAAATAAGTAACTACCATAGCACTAGACTTATTATGTTGCTTAGATATAACTAATAATGACACCTAGATGATGTCAATACAATTTGCTCAATTGTATCCCACAATGGTTCTTTCTGTGACGGGTAGCTGTCCATACTAGCCAGTCCAAACGATTGCTCGAAATGTCAATGGGGTTAATCGCTTCCGTAGGCGTCTCCCCAGGACTCTGTGTGTAGTTCCAACTGGATTGCCGTTATAGTGTTCAGATCCCAGTCCCGAACTTTGCTCCCATCCTTGGCTTTGGCCTGCCGGATTCTGACAAAACCTGTGGTATACAGCGTTGGACGCATCGTGGGCGCGCCAATTGAGTAGAATTTCCTCGAAGTGCCAACTTTCTGCACTAACGAGGGCTGGCATTGAACCTGGACTGTCGAACCTAGAAACTTGGACTCGGCCCCTGATTCCTCAAGCTGCAGCATATGGGGACCGAATTCGACCATGAGCGGAACACTCAGTTCATCTTTGTCCGCGTCAGGGTCTGACGGTTGAATACCCTCGAACAGGAGCCTATAGCATTTAATCTTAGTATGTCAAGAAAAGAGCAAAGGGTTAATACAACGGCATCGGGTGTGGTACTCACGAAACCTTTGTAATAGAAGCTAGACACTTCCTCTGTGTTTTTACATGGTCAGTCGGGATTTGAAAGGGTACTCTGCCCTCGCTTATTAGCAAATCCTTCCATAGAGGATCAAAGATGCTTGTGGTGCTTTTAGCCCCGCTAGACGGCGTCCTGAACCTCAAAGGCTCTTCGGTTGCCATTAGCCTGTGAAGACCAGGGTGCTCTCCGCGTAATGATTTCAGGGCGGCAACATCCGAAAAGAATTCACTTGCTACCTTATCCTCCCGGAACTTTAGATTAGTTGGGAAGTACGTCAGATTTCCCTCAAACGCATGGGCACAGAAAGCCTCGTGGAACAAGAGGAAGACTTGCAGTCGAATCGACTTCAGCCCGAGCTCCAGTTTCGCCTGGATCACCTCAGCATCGGTATTGGAGTCGGCAAGCTTCTCGCACTCGCTCTCGCGTTGCGCGCGTAGCTCGACATGCGCCATAGCTAGCCGCATCTTGTCCTCGACGGACTGTAACTCCTTCTGGGCCGCGAGCATGTTCCGTGCTCGCCCAACAACCTTCTTCACTGCGAGCTGGAAGTTGTCGGCCTCACTAATACGTGGCTCGAGCTTCAGGATTTTGGCAAAATAAGCGTCGTTATCTAACATGTAGTCGTCCCACTGGTTCAAGAGCTCAAAGTAATTCACCGGGTCGAGCTGAACCGGTGGCAGAAGTTCTGACGGTGCAACAGACGCGCCAGTTTTGCCAGACTTTCGCTTGTCCGCGATCTTGGCCTTTGCCTCCAAGAGGTACTTTTGAGCTGAATCCACCCCTTTGTTCATTTTCTCAATGGCTGAAAGAATCTTCTGGGCCTTTTTCATCGCCGAATCAGTCCTTTCCTCTTTTATAGCTGTCTTTACCATGGAAATAGCGTATGCCACTTCCATACTGCTATTCACGGCGCTGCCCGATGCGGCGCCCAGAGTGTAGACGGTAATGGCGATGGCCGCTATAAGCTTGACACTGGCAAAGAAAGACTTCACCTGGGCTTCGGACTTTCTGTCCTCCTCCCACTTCTTGCTGGCCGTGTTAAAATCCCTTCGTGCCTTGGCCATCTCGTCTTTGAACGATGCGAAGTCCTGGGACAGGTCTGTCACGGCATTCATGCCCCTCTCGTAGCGATCTTGGAGCGCCTTCAAGTCAAGTGAGGCATCCTGATGTTGGAACTTAGTGATCTGTCTCATCAATGCCACGCTCCTTTCCCCGGCCATTTTGTCGCGGATCTTAGCATTGTGATCCTTGTAGTCCTCCTCGGCTTGCCTGGCTGCCGCGAGCCAGTCCTTCAACAGGCTGTCGCGGTCCTTATAGGTGTGCTTCGGCACCCAGATGCGAGCGCCCTCTGGAACGGTCAGGCGGAAAAGGAGCGTTGAGGCAGCCCTGCTGACGTCGGCCATGGAAGGGGAGTTCCTGGTGAGTAGAGAGACGAAGGTAAGGCGAGACTTGGTTTCCTCCTTGTGCAGACATGTCTCGAGTGCGGTGTCTTGTTCGTTCTCTGGATTCATTCCGGCGATGGCCAAGCTTAGAATTCTCCGTACCAGCGTAGGAAGCTCGCTACAAACACAGCATGATTAGCCGGCGACCTCGAGAGTGACGAGAGAAGAGGCATTTACGCTTCGATCATCTTGACATTCTTCAGCATATCCACGATATCATGACGGGTATCAAATTCTCCAGAGCAAATACGTGTCACTTCGGAGAACTTGACAGAGCCGTCCGGGCTGACGGTGAAGTCGTGGCCGATCGTGGTTTCATTCCGCTCTAAAGTGTGCCCAAAGAGCCTGAAGGCGCGGTCGGCGACATTCCAGAGAATGGTCACTCTCCCTAGATTGCTGCTCGGTAGACGGCAGTTAGGCGAAGAGTTCAAGACAAATCCAGGGGAAGAGAGGAAACAGATCAACGAACCACTGGGGTCTGCCTTCCTCCGTCACCGGGGAACTGCGACGTATAATTGACCTTGCGAAAATCCTTAGCCATCGGATAGGCTGAGGGACCCGTGCGCTGATGGAGTTGTCAGATAAGGCGAAAACCTCCAGAGTATCGCAGTACACATGAAGGTACCGGATCACGCTGCCTTTACTGCCGGCTTCTTGGTTTTCAAGCCAGAAGCGATGGATGACATCTCCTAAGATAAGACGGTCACTGACGATGTAGCCCTAGCTTGGTGAAAAAGTGTCAGATGCATAATCCAAGTTGATGAGGTCGGGATGCGTGACGTACGTGCGAGCCACAGCGGCGTGTTAAGTCGACTCCCATAATTTCGTTAATGTCAAAAATGTTCAATTGCATATAGGCAAAACAAAGTGAGTGCCAGAGCAACAAAAGGCAACCAACGATGGAGCGGCGCCTCAGCTGGATCTCAACCTTATACAAACGGCTAAAACGCTCGAAAGCGACCAGTACTTCCAGGGATCAAGCTAAGCCCAGGCGTTCAGCTAGGCTCGGCCCGTTTGTGTGCTTTCACGAGACTCTGCATCTGCGGCATATTGCCAATATCGCCGTTGACGCGTGGCGCTCAGCCCAGACTATTGACTCTAGTCCGGTCATTCAGCTATCACTCAGTAGGCTGGAACCTAACAGGCGGCCACTATCGAATCTAGGAAGGCTTAGAAGAGCCAATACTGCAACTCTGGGCCAACCGGACTGTTTTCTAGTCTTGCCCCGCAGTAGCCACCCCGGATGCTCCCTCGGTGGTCTAGACTGATCGACTGCGTGGCGGCGCCACCATAAAGGGCTCCAGATCCAGGGCAAATACTTCAAGCTGTTTAGCAGGAGTCGGGCGGAACATATTCTGGTCTATCTTGTCCAGGTCTTGGCCGTTAGAAACCTTGGGCAGCAGTACAAGATGAGATCCATCGACACCAGCGCTTTGCGCACAATCACACAGAGCTTCACTGCTCTCAACCCTCACGAAATCAGAAATTGGGATCGTGCCCTAGGTGAATGTTATTGCATTTTGGATTCTTTTTCGAGTCAAAATACATTGAAAAATGTCAAAACCGTCCTATTCAAACAATTCTCAGAGGCAAGAACTCTATGGGACACGAGCGTCTTCAGCAACGTATCCAACATTGGTATGTTGTCACATCTAATCGGTTACCGATCTGCGTCTACCTTATGTTAAAATATATGAGGTTCTTAATGCTAACTAGCTATTTATTCACCCCCTCAGAGAATATCTTAGGCAAAGGAAGCGAACTTTGGGCTACCCTAGAACGCATCGGAGAGCTAAGCAAGGTCGCTACCAAAAGCGATTTGATTCGATTGGAAGTTATCTCATTTCAGGAAAAGCTCTCACTGACAGGCCCGGAGGTGGCCAGTTTAAGAAAATCATTTGTTGATGTGAACAACCCCTCATTGATCGTGACTTTACCCCATTCATTTGCATAAAGACTAACACGTAAGGTTGGCATAGGTGCAAGAGAAAGTTGATGAGGCTTCGAAAGGTACCGAGAAACCATTGCGTATCTTCCACTGGATCATCAAAGACAGAGGCTCTCAAACATCAGCGATCTCGGATCAATGGGATATGGAACAGCCTTACGTGGAAAACCACCTACAACCTATCATTGCAAGACTTTCCAATTCCATCGCTCAGATCCGCCCATTACTCGAAGAGCTAATTGCTTGTATGTGCTGCCAAACACAAACAAGAGTGACACTGTGAAGTTTCATGCTGACACTATTTCTTCTTTCGCCCTCTCTCTCAGACACCGACGACCTTGCCAAACATTTAGCGCATTGCATGACCTTGGTTCCTGACTTGCTCGAATTGGCCTACTTCAGTGATGCAGGCTATTCCGTGTCAGAATGGATCAGCGAGTTTCCCAAGGACACTGTACGTTTCAATCCCTCATACTCTTATTTTTTCGCATCTTCATTCTAACAAGGTGCTCTTTTGTCCCTTTGTTAGATCTTGCAAGCAGCCGCTAATCTCACAAAAATGCGTACAACTACAACGAAGCCTGACCGCGTATTCGTCGGTCGCGTTGATACGGATAAGTGGCCTGTCAACCGCGTACACTGGTATGATGACGGGAATCGCTATTATCGAAATCATTCCAACTTCCACCCACACTACACGGAAGACGAGCAATGGGTCAAAGGAAAGCTCAAAGGAGATCCAGGAGAGAAAGACTTTCCCTGGTATTGGGTCCGCGCCTCATATAACCCGAAACCCGTCACGCGCCAGGCTGTCTCCTTGCCCCAGACTTGGTCTGAACCCCCGCATGTCCTCGTAGGCTTACGAACGATTGACTGTGGAACAAGGGAAAGTCTCCGTGCCAGTTGCTATGCAGAAAACATCGATAACCAAGGATTCGACATTGTGATTGACTACTGGGACGAGGGGACCGACATGAAGCAATTGGAGGTATTTTATATGGCCATCCCTCGGACAGATAGAGACATTCAGAGCTCCTTGAGGGCAGTCAGGGCGACCTCAGATTGGCACTATTCGGGCGACAATCAGGAAAGAAGCTGCCGTCAAGAGATAATCTTCGACAGAGAGTACTCCAAGAAGCCAACGGTGCTCGTCTGGCTGAGCAGCATCGACTCCTCCAATCAGACGACTCACCGCTTCGAAGTCCTGGCCGAGGATGTGACCACTCGAGGTTTTACTATGCGCTTCCGCACCTGGCTCGGGAGTAAGTTCTTCGGCTACGCCGCGAGCTGGGTTGCGTTCAGCGCTGATAGGACGGATATTGAGCACCACACGTTCCGTCCTGGCGAGGGTCCTAGGTGGTGTCACTTCTACGGGCTGACCAAGCTGGACATGATCGAAACCAAGCCTACGAGGATTTGGATGAAGTTGAACGATGTGAATAAGCCGGTCGTGAAAACATGGGATGACTCGATACTGTTCGATGCGCAGTACGTGGGGATTAGAATGGAGGGACACGATGTCTGGCCATAGTGACAACAACTTTCTGCATCAAATAAAGCCTTTGGTATATCATATAAAGAGGTAGTTAATTTCCTATATTCGGACCCTAATGATCCTTCCTATTGTTAGTATTTCGAGGTGCTAGTTCTAGGTAGTTGCAGAACTTTTTGGCGAATAACACTAGGTCGTCAGGCCTAAAAGCTCCAGCAAGTTCGATCGCTCTTTGGTCAAGGACAGAGGTGCAATGAGCTATGCCACCTCTTTCGGGTAGTGAAAGTTGTTTGTTTGATTTCAGCCATTAAATGGAAATGCCCTCGGTAACTAGTTAGGGTCCTTGATAAACCTTTGTCGACGCTGTATCTAAATAATCCTCTTTTCATACTTTCTTGTGGAATATGAAAAAGAGAGAGCCAAAGGCCACTTTCATTCTATCCTATTGACACTATTCTTCAATATTACAACTAAAAGGATGAAGGGAACAAATATCCTCGGTTCGAATTTCGTGCACTGAATGGCTCTCGTACATGGCCTACCCTAGAGTGGTCCCAAACCCATGTTGGTACGAAATCCTAAAAGCCGCCAAATAAATAAATGAATGAAAATGATATTTCTATTATTTAGTAAATTATGTTATCTTTATTGACTAAGATACATTTTTATAGTTACCTACTATCAACTATATAGAGGCGGAAGGGAGAAACACCGTGGCCGACCTTCAGAGGTTCTCTGTATACAATCAACTATAGTGCAATGAGGATATCACATCATTCTGGCCACGCATTGAGGTCTGCAGTTCGCGATCCCTTCTAGACCATCATGCTGGACGAGACAGAGCAGCATTTATCGGCGCGCGTAGGCTCCAGTGCTGCATTCCCAGTCCGGGCAGGCTCGTGTTTAGGCGACTCTAGGTAGTAAACCACGCCTGCATCCGATAGCGCATCGAGACACGAACAAGGCAAACAATTCGGGCGCTAGTTCTCGAGGTGACCAGAGGGCGTTTTCAGCTCTGCCAAAGGCCAACACATTCCTGCGCGCCTTAATAAGTGGCTCCAAGCTCAGCCTCACTGGGCTTCAATCTTCCCCTTTCCCCTCTCCACCTCAGCCGTGAGCAGAGCATACATATAATCATATCAGCAGCTGAATCGGAGATCGTACGGGACAGACCAAAATGCCCCTCTCAGCGCTTCCCACCGAATTGCTGCAGGCCGTATCGGAGAATCTGCCCAGTCTCACCGACGTCAGCGCCCTGGCCAGGACAAATTGGCACATGTTCCATGTCCTCATCCCCCAGCTGTATCGTCGCAACCATGATCTGAGCAACAAGAGGCCTTATCATGTACGAGATAGAAGCAAGTCGGCTGTGACATGGGCCATCCAGCAGCATAAGCCCGAGACAATCCGACGGGCCGTGACGGTCGGAGTAGACCTCGTGCAGCTCCATCATATCATGCTGGCAATGAAGCGTGGCCAGTGCGACATATTCCAGGCTCTTTGGGCCTGCAAGTTGGAATACGGCGGCTTCGAGGATCTCGATAAAGATGAGGCTGGTGTGAGACCAATCGTCGTCGCAGCCGAATCTGGAAAGGTTGAAATCGTCAGAGCGCTGGTCGAAACAGGCAAAGTTGATCTCGAAGCTGGCGGCGATACGTGGACGCCGCTACTGGTCGCATGCCAAGATGGGAATCACCAGATGGTAAAACTGCTTCTAGAGCATGGTGCGAGCATTAGAAATCCACGGGCCCAAGAAGCAGCTCTGACAGTTGCTGCGTCGAGGCACCAGCCAGGGAGACAAGTGACACACAAGAGGAAAAGGGGGCATACCAACTACCTCGAGACGATCCGTCTGCTCTTCCAGCACGGCGCGCAGCTTGAGTATAAAGAATTTAACGACAAGACAGCTCTGCATACGGCTGCACTTGAGGGATTTTGCGAAGTGGTCGATCTGCTCGCCTCTCTGGGCGCCGAAGTTGACACCCGTGATGGTCATGGCAACACGCCTCTAATCAGCACCAGCTTGAAGCTCGGCAGGGCCGATATGACTCAACTCCTTCTCCGCCTAGGGGCCGATATTAATGCCAAAAATGAAAGAGGAAACTCCCCATTGTCAATGACACGAGACACGGCAGAGCCGGTGGCAGTAGCCAAGATCCTACTCGAAAACGGTGCCATGATCACGGCTGACGTTGAAGGCAACACGCCACTGCATCGTTCCGGTCATATTGGCTCCCTGGAGTTGGCCGAGTTATTGTTGGAGTACGGAGCCGATATTCATGCCCTCAACAGACAAAATCAAACACCACTTCACTGCGCTGCGGAAGAAAAGGATGCTGCGGAGATTGTACGGCTGCTGGTTGATAAGGATGCATCTCTCACTTCCGCAGCTAGAGGTGGCGAGACGCCCCTGGGATGCGCCATACCCCATCAATCGCTGGATACTATTCAGTTTCTCCTTGAAAAAGGATCGGATGCCAATACAGTAACAAAGAGCGGTTGCTCGGGGCTCCAGCATGCAATAAGATCTCGAGCTATTAAGTTGACCGAGCTTCTCTTGCAGCACGGCGCTGATCTCGGAACATTCAACTATAACGGACAAGGCGCCTTACACTTTGTGTCGATGGTTGGGAATACCCAGCTCATGGAGATCTTCATTCGCCATGGAGTTGCGGTTAACTCGCGGGATTCCCAAGGGCGTACACCTCTCATGTGTGCTCTCGAAGGAGCCACGGGTGTCAATGTCGATATTCTACTAGAAGCCGGGGCAAGTGTGAATGAGAAGGATGATCTACTACAGACAGCTCTACACAAGGCAGCGAAACGTGGGATGGTGAAAGCGGCGAGGACGCTACTTGAGAATGGGGCGGATGCCAACGCCAAGGACAAGGACAATCAAACTCCACTACATATCGCCAAAATCTCAAGGCGTCCCAAGATGGTGGAGATCTTGTTGGATCATGGTGCTGAGTGTAGCATTGCAGGCTGCTGCGAGGGGAACGCTGTGCTTGATACGGCAACAATAACACCCGGCGAGGTTTGGGTATATGGAGCCTACCGGAGCTGGTGAAAGACGTATGTTTAATAGCATTGGTCTGCGTCAGGAGAGCTACCATCAATACAACCTCGATTTACACCAAACAACTTTTTCAGAATAGATTATCGCCTCGTCAACCATTCAACTATCAAATAACATAGAGAACTCGAAGCTATGAACTGCAGTAATTATGTCGAGATATAGCAAATAATCAATTGTTACTGTGCTTGGATAAGCTAAAGACATATAAGCTTGGCTATCTGGTCGATTTTGTACCACAAAATAATTCATCCTCAGTCGAGATACCTAAGCTCACAGTGTATGCCTTTTTTTTCTTTTTAACTTAGCACGTGTTGAGCATACTGGTGAGTGCAGTCTTCTCGGCAGAAGTAATGGTAAGGTCGTAGGAATACTTCACCTGCACCCAAGCAGCAGCATAGCTGCAGTAGAGACTGGTCAGGGGAGGCTTCCACGCATCCGGGCTCTTATCACTCTTCGCCGAGTTGGTGTCTCCATCAGTTGCCCACAGCTGGGGACCGTCAATGTCGTTAGCAAATGCCTGCCTCTCGGCAGTTGTCCACTCGGAAGCACCGGACTGGAAGACGGACAAGGAGTTAGCTCAAACGAAGCTTTAGGAGACTCTGATACATGATATAACACTCACAACCCAAGCATTTTTGAGAGGAACCATGTGGTCGATATCGACGTCGGAAGGCACGGTGTGCTTTACGCCAGAGTATGGGCAGGTCCAGCTACCTGAGTCGGGGTAGCAGTCACTACCAACCACAACACTGGTGCCATCACGACGGAGAACCCATTCACTACCGCTGTTCAGCATATTGGATCTTGGAAGCCTGAGAGTCTTCACCTACCGAGCAGAGCATGCAGGCTCGCTAGGTACACTCTTCCAGTGAGGAAAGAGGTCGCGATCATAAGTGCCGTCGTCTGCATATGCTTTAACAGTCAAAGTAGCGAGCCGAGTCTTGGCAGTAGATCCAGATGGAATGCCGGGCTATTATTCCCATGTCAATGCTGGATTGTGTCGAGAGCGGACTTGGCTGATACTTACTGGTGTTGCTAACGCCAGCGTAGCCAGGGAGGCAAGTGTAACGGTCAAGAATTTCATGTTGACTTTAGATAACCGATTGATCTGGTAAGATGGGTTGGCTTATTGTAACAGAATTGCACGGCAAGGCTCCGGGATAACAAGGGCTTTTCTCCTGCCAGCAATGAACATAATATGAATAGAACAGATGAAAAATAAGCGAGGACGGGCCAGATTTATCAACTTTGAGGCCTCCCTCACTTCCTATTGCTGGCATTATCATAACCTATCAAGCAGTGTGAAACGGAGCGGGTCGCAGTATACATTAGAGTATCAACAAGCGTCGTAATTGGCACTACGCTAATGGCATCGACCTGCCGCATTTGACAAGCTGTGGTGACATGAGATCTGAGACCTCCCTTATCCAGAACCATCACACCCTCCGTTTTTCGGGGCTCGCCGCTGTCCTTGTATAGACGATGTGCCTCAGTGGTTAGAAACGCTCCCTCAACTTCGGTCGCTTAAAGCTGCAAGACTCCACCATATGGTGTCGTCCCACTGAACAGTGTCTTTGGGACGGCATGCCAAAACTGGCAGCACCTATTGGAGACGGAGCATGTCACTTGGGTCTCCGCTACAACTTCTGGGCTCTGACTAGAGAAATGGAGGGGCCAAGCGGGGCTGCAGCTACCGGCATTTGTCGGAGATATGTACTGTTCTTGGAAAGTCAGAGCTGCAGGTTCGCAAGTTGGACGGCCTGATAAGAGTGAAAGACAAGCGCGACCTGGCATGAGAGATAGGACCCTGCCGACGAGGGATCTTTGTTTGCAGCCGGTGCTGAAATACTTGGGCACGCCGTCCACGTGCGGCACCCCTGGTTCGCCCATGAGCAGATTTCCCAATCTGAAGGTAATGTGCATGCCTCTAACGGTCCGCAAGAGGGATTTTGTAGAGGACTAGAATCCTCGGCATGGAGTTGTGGGGAGGAGGGGCCGTGTGCGCGGTTTACTCTGTTTACTCTGTTTAACCTGTGTGCTTCAGAATCCAAAATATATGTTGTGTAGAGAGTAAACTGACGAATATCGGCATTCTACAAGGAGTCTCTGATGGATAATATCGAATGCATCGTCGTGAAGGGAAACCCGAATGACTCTCAATTTTTATCGACCAGCCTAAGAGGAGCCAGCTCAGGCTTGACAGTAAAATTAGCACATCGACGGCCGGAAGAAAATATAGCGGCATAATGCGAAAGTGGGTTACGTACAACAATTCAGGCAAAATTTCACAGTCACAATGAGAAGTTTAAAAAAAGGCAAGGCGGCCAATTCCATGTTCTAGGTGTGACATCGACAAGGAGAGCATTGTTGCGCCGCCATTGACATACTCTGCAAAGAAGATTGTCTTCGAGACAAATTTGGAATGAATCAAGGCAGGATAACGGTCGGAATGTTCTACACTATTGTAGCCATATGGAAATACTACATTAAATATCAAAGGGTTGTTGTTAGTCCTTTTAGTTCCATCCGAGATAGTCGAAGTAGCAATGGCAATCCTTGGATTGCTGGCACTACATTATAATTTAAATAACATGAGATAGAAAAATAACTCTTTAGACCGATTTTAGACTGTATTCCGTATTGACATCATTGTTTGCAATCTGCCACTAATTCGCCAGTGCTTTGTTCTGAATCTTGAACCTTTCTCTTCCTTTCATACACAGCAACAATCATCCACAAAGGGAGAAGACACGCTAAACATGATTAATGACATTCACTATATGGGGATTCTCACATAGTTTAGATATAAATTAGTCCCGGCTCTCCTGAAGGCATGAAGAAATCAAACAAGATTGCCACATCTATTTACTTCTACCTCAGATCGCCTAAGGACTCTGAACATTCCTATTTACACTCTCGACAGAGACTGCCAGTGTCGCGGAAGAAGAAAGATTTCTCAAATCTATGATAGCTTCCAGATACAAGATGTCTGAAACTCCGCAATTTAATGAACTCGAGGAGCTTTATAAAGATTTAGAAGCACTTGAAGAAGATCTTGAGGATCTTAAGAAGAAATTAACCGACTCGGGTAGCCACCAAAAACCTGTTCAGGGTATTTTTGCACACGAGACAGAACCGACTAGATTTGTTCGCCATCGAGTATTGATCAATCGTGTGATTGAAGAAGAGCTCAAGCTCAAACGTATTATTGAAGGAGAGGGCAAGCTCAAAACCCTTCACCCAATGGATGAGGACTTGGACAAATGGCATAATGATAAAGAGCTCATCGACTCTATGGCGGAAGCGGAAGGCGTAACATCGATGAGAATAAAGGAAAATCTTGAGGGGGAGATACAGGCATTGAAGGAGCAGATTTCGGACAAGGAGAAAGAAATTGAGGACAAAAAGGAAGAGATTAAGGCGGAGAAGTCTCTGACAAAGGAGCAGATAGAGAAGCGAGGAATCAAGCCATATAGGCTGTAGCGTCCGATTTGGCGCAACGAAGGAGATGGCTCCAGGAAGATACTTCGTTTCTCCACCTTTGAGTGGAATATTTAGACTTCGAAGAACGGCTTCTTCGCTCATTCAACTATACTTGATGCTGCTCGGATCTCGCTTAGTATACCACTAACGCAAAACTGGTTCAGTCAATAGGGCGGGCGATGTCCATCTGGTAAGCCACTTTTGGCTATTCTTTACTCCTCACACGATGGGTCAAAGAGGCAACATTGCAAGTTTTGGCAAATTTCTTTCTATCTTCAATCTTCATATAGTTTGTGCGATTTTAAATGATTCACGCTACAAGTTGCTACCCTTCTGCGTAAATCCGCGCCGGACTATCGAGGGCGGCAATTATCTCGTTATATTCGTAACCATTCTCTGCACACATTCCATAACCTTGAGTCGGAAACAAAAGCTGTGGGAGCTTTTCGGTGGGAGAATTAGGGGAATAGATTTATTAGAGGAGCTATTCAGTTCGTGTTAGGTGGCATATGCGAAACTTGCGATATTTGAAGGCCTCGGCTAATGATTCAGGTATTTAATTAGGAGGATGGATGGACCATCATTGGGACTTTGATCATGAAACTGCATAATCTGCCGGTGGCCCCCGGACTTTGTTTTGTTAATGTATCTGCGCCGTCTAGCTTTTGAACCATTGCAGAAAGCAACTGGGATCCGATAATTTGTGGAGATTCAAGAAAACGCCGACTTGGTAGCTGGATGCAAGGCCGGTGAAAAACTCCTTCATGAGACGATGGAAGCTTGTCCAGAGGTTGGCTAAGACGTCTTACTCATCCATCCCGTTAGTTGAGTGAGAAAGAGTTGGCGCAGCAGAAAAGATGATATCTCATGTTCAGCTAATCAAATCGGTAATCATGAATCAAGTTGATGAAAAAAAGTCGATGAAAGAATATGCGAGAGAGTCGCCCACGACGCTCAGACAAGTCCCAATGTCCTAGGATTCTATGCTTTGAATACCTACCTTCCTGCAGAACTCAACAAGCTGGAGAGTTGAGATCAGCCATTATATCTGGAAGACATAACCAGACATTCTATGTGAACCTAATTTAAAAAAAAAAAAAAAAAAAAAAAAAAAAAAACCAGCCTACGTGTATGCAGTTGGCCTAATGATGACGGCACGGTTTCACACTTTTGGTACTTCGGCTTTCGAGCTCTTCGCCTGATCAAAAGGCCTGCTTGAGGGGCAATTGATCCAACCCCATGTTCTACATCAGAGCTCTCTCGCAGAGAAAGGAGATCCAAAACCACATACTCATCCACACATACGTTAGGATGGAGAAATGCGCTAATGAGGGGCTCACAGCCTGAGCAAGGCCAGGTTACTCAAGCCCAAAGCAGGATAGCTACGCAAGTTTTAAAAGCCAGCGGAGATGGGTTCCACCTACTTGTCATAAAATGTATATTGGTTGATCGGTTCATTTTGCATTAATTCCAATTTCCACTAAGGTAGAAGTTCTTTCCTCGGCCACTCGTTGGCGGAGCAGCGCGTTATTTTTAGCACCCCGATGGCAAGTGAGTCATCGGCATGAAGGCTTGCAAGGTTGTCCCTCTGCGTGGCTTCAGCCTTGGGCGAGTAAAGCTTATTTCGGCTTCTGTAGTCATTGCGATTATCGTCGTGAGGTGTCGCGTCTGGCCTCTTAGATCGGTTTTTTTTATATAATACTTGAACTCTCTTCAGGATTTTTAGCATTGCTGATTTCAAAATACCTTCTCATTTTCTCAGCCTCATCAGCTTTGACTGCAAACTTCATCTACAATCAGGAACTCCACATCCTTCCGTTATCACTCATCGATGCAAAATGGCTATGTTAATCGACTTGCCTGCTGAGATTCTCCATCACGTTTGCAAGCAACTTTCAGGTTCGACTGATGTATGCAATTTCCGCCTTGTTTGCCGTGCGTTTGGCGACATCGGTCTGTTCAGTTTAGCCCCGACCATTTCGTTTACACTTTCAAGACGAGGCCTTGCCCGACTGCGCGATATTTGCTCACACCCAGTTCTGAGGCACTATGTATATAGCATCGTCTTTTTGACAGAGGTGTTGAGGCCATACAGCGATTTTGAGTCGTGGAGACAAAAATCAGATTGGGGCACTGACTTGGATTTTGACGAAAACGAAGGTGACCTCGACGATGGGCGAGAGGTTTTCGATGCAACGATTTTCGATCGATGGTCGGTTTACGAATCATTACTTGCAAGCCAGGAGCAAGTCTTCAGCGGCTTGCAGTCCCCGCGAATAAGAACGCTGTTTCAGTCCTTGCCCAATCTTACGCATTTGAGGTTTAAATGTTCTGACACTCCAAATGGCCTGATTCACGACACTGAACCGAAAGTTGTCAAGGAGCAAGATGTGGTCGGGTGGCGGGGTAACCCAGATTATCCTTTTCCTGGTAGATCTCCGTGTATTGGCCTTGCCGGGACTAAGCCGCTGAGGTTACTATCGCACGCCCTGCAACCACAACTCACGAGCCTTGAGGTCGACAGATTGGACCTTGACTTTTTCTATGGCGAAGAGTCCGAATTAGACGCCATCTGCCAACTCCAGAATATTCGACTTGGATTGATATATACTGACCCCGAAACTGGGTGGTTTGTGGACAAGCCCAGCGTGGTCAAGGCCAAGCTGACCTTGTCCAAAAGCCGATTCAAGGCATTCTTGTGCTCGGCAGCTCATCTCAAATCCATCAACCTGGATTTTTATGATGATTTTAGACACGTTCTCCATACTAGCATTCTTGATATCTTGCCAGCGGGCTATACGTGGCCCGGGCTCGAAAAGCTACAGTTATCGAGTATTCAGATCACCTCGACACACTTCTTAGCTCTCCTATATTCTCACAAACGGACCCTTAAGCATTTAGGACTGGAAAACTGTGGACTGGCTTCCCCTGTTTCAACAAGTGTAAATCCGTCCCAGCACTTGCAGCCTGAGTTAGACTGGTCAGCAGATCCTTGGTCAGATGTTGCAGCAAGTGTAGAGCCGCCCCAGGACTTGCGGTCTCCATATAATTGATCAGAAATTCTGATCCCTCTTGCTACTGACTTCTCTCTGGAAAGTTGCATACTTGCCGGCCTTTTTTGCCTCTCACTGCATTCTTCTTACCACGGGACGGATATGCGCGATGCAGTCGAAGATACGGAGCTTTGCGTAGGCGAAGCACTCCAAATGGCGATATGTTCCAAAAAGTTGGATGAATTCTTACACGGGGCACTCCAGGAATATGAACAAATATCTGTGGAAGGTATCAAGAGAGGTATCATTGAGGATTTGATGGATCATCCCCAGCGGAGACCCTGGAATTCTGAGGAAGTCAAGATCGGCACAAGATACGCACACCACCTCAAGGCATTTAGTTTGGTGGCGGATGTATCAGCCCGGGGAAAATTATGGGAGTCACCTGAGGAAGTGAATTAGGTGGGAAAGACACAGCACCATATCAAAGATCTGCATGCTAAGAATGCAAGCTGCCAACCACACCAAAATCAAAGAACATTCCATAACATCTATAAAACTGAGGCTTGGTTTTATGCGCGTATTCTGATTCAACCAAATAGATCATGCTCTCCGCTAGCCAAGTCACCTATCGCAATAGCCGTAAAGTGGCAGAGCAGCGAAATTTCAAAACCCCCTAGGTGGCAGAATCTTTGCCTGTCTCATCCGTTCCCACGCGGTGATGTAACTCTGCACAGTGTCGACCTTCTCCGTGAATCCCAACTTTCGGGAGTAGGTTAGATCATAGTCGCGGTCAAATGCAAAGTCAACCAGCACAAAGTGTATGAATGCCCAGTTCATTTGTTCAACGACTGTCTCACTCAATCCGTGTCTCTTGGCGATGTCAAGCCACGTATCCTTGTGCTTACTCACAAAGTCCTGTGTTGATGTATTATTTTCCTGAGGACCGGTCCCAATAAGTCCAAAATGTTCGCAGAGTCTGGGCCATAGTTGCGCCCAGGTCATGGTCGGCCCGTCCGCGATATTGATGATGGCGCCCTTGCCACATGTGTCTGGATTCAAGGCGGCAAAGATCTCCATTTTAGCGAGTATGTCTTGGGAAGTGTCCGTAAAAGTGGCGTTATCGCCACTCAAGGTTCCCGGGAACGGAAATGAGGTCCCCGCTCCTTTCACCTCCTTGTAGAGTGAGAGGAGAGCGCCAAGGCCTTGTGCCAGATTCATGAAGTTCGATGACGGAGAAAAGCCAACAATGACTTCTGGTCGAATCTCGGAAAATGTCCACTTCTTGTTCCGGGACGCCGCTACGAGTAGGTCATGTTGCGCGTAGTAAAATACCTTGCTTGCCCAAGGTTCAGGAATACGAGGAAAGGACTCTGACAAGGGCGTCTTGATTTGCACTTGGTCTGGAAATTCTAGTCCATATCTTGAATAGCAATAGATAGGTTAGTTTGCGCCCTAAAATGAAGGGAAGGAGAATAATTTTCTTTCTAACCGTACCCGTTTCCGCCAGTTTGAAGAATGAATGTCTTCAAATTGGGTGCAGCCTTCTCAGCAGCTTGGATAGCAACCTCTAGTATATGTGTGTTTGTTATTTTCATCTTTTCAGGAGTCTTCTCCTCAATGTATGCTACACAATGTATCAGGATGGCAAATCCAACGACACGGGTGTTCTGAAACTAATGAACTTACCGGTAAAAAAGACATGAGTTACTGTGGCAACGTCAAGAATCTGGTCCTGAAGTTTTGCCACAACCTCTTCAACTCCAGTCCTCAAATCAATACCGGAAACAAGCTTGATCCTCTCATCTTCAGCGATAAGCGCCTGATTAAGGGCGAGTGGGCGGTTTGTTATGCCAGTGATTCGCTTGAATGCTGTCTCGGATGGATATACTCTAGTCTGGTTCAGAAGCGACCAACCCGAGATACCGGACGCGCCAAAGATCAGAGCATGAGCCATTATGGCGGATGTGATAATCCATATCAAAGTGTTCTCTGCCTTGTTCTTTTCCCTGTATTAACACATGGTAATATACTACACTTATGAGGTTGCTTATCCACTGCTTAGAAATCCGATCGATGCATGATTATAAATCCACCTTACACTGCTCCAATCATCGGAGGATTAAGATGTGCAAATCTAAATACCAGACCAGGCTGGAAACACGAATCTGATGAAGCTAGCCGTACTCGATTTTTAAGCAAACAGACTGTCTCTGGCGTCGATTAAAACTATTCGCATATTATCGCAATAAATGTACACAGGTGGTTTCAATCGTCCAATGTTCGCCTCTTTGTGTGGGTTTCTAACTTTCCTGTGTATGTTCCCGATATTTACTTCAACCTTTGCTTCTCAGTTGCCTTGTGAGGCCTAGTGAACAGTAGGGAGAGAGCAGCGGCCAAGAGCTTTTCCCGTACCATCTTTATTTGATCATCAGGGAAAAAGAGTCTTCTGTGTACTTAGCTTTGTACTCCCATGTGGGGGCTTCTGCGGCTTTCAGACCTCACGATGTCACAAGTATCAAAGAGGGAAATCAGGGCCTTTCATCGTCAGACGGCGATGAATTTCGAGTACGAGATTACTATCAGAGAGTGTTGGCATAAGTTTACATCGTAAAGAGCAATAGTTTATCACTTTCAACAACTCATGTCAACACGTCAAAAAATTTCCTTCCCAGCCACAACCCATGTGGTTATATCCCTGCTCCATCTCCACTCTCACCCTCCAAACTCCTTATGCATTCTGCAAGCTTTGTAGCTTCTTCTCTTTGCGCCTTGGCTTTTTCCTCTCCAGCCTCTGCTTCCGCCAGTAACTGCCTCCTCCTTTTCCTAAGGAAGGCTATGACCAGCTCACTCGTCTGTGTGCTTGAATCCGCCTCATCTGTGGCCTTTCTTTTCTTTCCAGCTTCCTTGTGTTCATCAATAACGGTTGAAGTAAAACTGCTGTCGGTTTGGTAACCTAAATGATGCTCGGACGACCTCGCTTGAAAAGATTTTTGCCGCTCCGAATGCTTTTTACAACTCTTCAGGTGTCTTGTCAAGTGGGCTGCACGTTTGAAAGCATTCTGTGTATTTGATCTTCTGCAGCCGGTGTTAGGGCAAGGGAAAGTCTCGGGATTGTCACTGTGCTTCTCGCTCTGATGGCGTTGTAATGTCGATGCCCGAGTAAATCCTTCACCACAGTCCAGACATCGAAACTTTTTCGTAGCCGATGACACATCTAGGGTAAGAGCAGGAGTATCATCTATTCGCTCTTTATCTGCACTTGCTGAGTCAGTGTTGCTCCGCTTTGATATAATGCAAGATGAGCCCTCGTTCTGCTCTAGATTGTGCGACAAGCCGGAACAAGTAGTAGCAGGTGCCTCTGTACTCGAAGTTCCGCTGATGAGAGCACCAACTGGATTGGTGACCCTCGTACTGATTGTGAGTTCATTCGATAGTACAATGTCGCCCACAATACCGGTCCAGTCAGTATATCCAAGGTTGTCGAAAAGTTGAGGGGTGAAATCGTACTGGGAAAAGTCAATGTCCCCTGGACTTATTTGGCTGACTGGTTTTGATCAGTCACAATCCACTTTCCTATGAGTATGGTACTCACTGTCTATGTCATCAAATTCTGAGGCAGCATTAACTCCATTCCCAGACGGTTCAGACACTCGTGGATTGTACGTGAATTGTCCAGGTACAGAATGATGTAGCGGTGGCCAGAACATCCAGCAAACTCCCCATAATACAGCCAGCGTCGGCGGTATTGTCCAAGGCATTGTTGTACAGGGGGCCCTCTTTTTCCCTCTAGGAGGAAACTTGAACCAACAGATCAAGGGAGCTTCTAAAAAGACCAAAACCGAGTAAACGAAAGTCGTAAAGACCAAAACTGCGGCCACTATTATCTCCTCCGATGATTCCGCAGACGGACTTGGTTGTTGAGATTCAACTTCCAAGGTTTCAGTATTGCCCGTCAGGTATTGACACCTGGAAAGATAACTGAGGAGGGCCCCGGCAAACATCGTGAGCCTGAAAAGCTTATCGAGCACAAAACTCTCAAGCCCGCGATATATGTGCGGCATATCGGTGGTCAGAACATTTGTCTGCTCGGGGTACAGTACGACCTCGGCTGCATCAACATCTTGAGATCGTAATGTTAGTACTAGCATCTATAGTTTTCATCTCGTGCATTTGTTACCTTGGATACGTGCCGATGAAATTGCCTCCCTTTTATTGAGACCCAACACAAAATTCTCCATATATATAGAGATTAAATATTAAATACCGAAACTTGCGAGACCAGAATTAATGTCACCCTGACAATTCTGTGTAAGCATGCTAGCGTAAGGCGAGAGGGAAGGGAAAATCGGCTAGGCAGAGCAACGCAGAAGGCTTTAATACTTGGGCTCATCACTCAAGGCGGTTAGGGGCAACGAATGAGGTGCATAGGGTTGAATGGGGTGCAATGGGGTGCAGCTTTCATGGGGCGCAGCAAGGCATTTACGTCAGGTGAGGGATGTATCCAGTGATCGGTGCTCACAAGTCACAACTTGTGAGATCTATTGATACCAGTCTGCCTTGTAAATAGGCAACAATATACTCACTAAATCACCCCATGCCAAACAATAACAGATAGGAGACCAATGGTGCCAAGACATTTGAGGGCTCAACTTTCTTCCCGCACTGTTCTAATCTTAGAATACCTAGGCCCTACAGATCGAGAAAAGCCTAGACGGTTTACCCTATAGTCCAGTTTTTAATGCGGTATTTTTTCGTAGCCACGTATGACCCCCCAAGTTTCAACACCCACCCACATTCAGACCGAAAAGGCGAGAGGCTAATATACATGATGGCGGCGTTCCCACGTCTACCAGAAGAACTCATTGTCGAGATTCTATCTGATCTGCCCTATGGCGATCTTGAGAATGTTGCATGGACCCTAAAACATCCCATCACCGAGATCTCAATTTCCCTCCTCCAGTCCGTTTTCAAATCCAGGCGCGATACTAAACGACTAATTGAGAGGCTTGGACCCCTTGACACTCATGCACTTTCTGGTCTTTGCCTCATCGATCAAGATGACATCGAACGTCCAGATTTTCTTGATGGCCTTGGTCTCTCGCCCCAAACTGTCGTTAAGGTCCCTCCCGACAATCGTCTTCCCAACCTTGACTATATGCATCTTTGCGGCGACTTCGGGTGGCTCGAACCTCTGACAGGTCAAATTGCAGAAGAGGCGGAAGGGAACCATGCTAATCCGGCTGTGCGTGGTCCAAGCTACGATGAACTCATCTCAAGTGCAGATCGCGTAGGCGTAACCCTGCCTCCTGCATTTCTCAAATTCATCCGGGATGCAGAACTGCAGAAACGAATTCCTGCAATCGGCGACATATTTTGCTTAGAATCGGGTGGGCTACGAAAGGTTCCGAAGTCACTGGATGGGGGCGTCGGGGGATATCAAATTGAGTTTCTTTTCGATGCCCAATCGGGGTACCAAGTACATCTATATATCGAGCCTGGGAGTGATGGCGCTAGCTGCGTGTTAATGGAGTCCGGATCGACTTATTCGGGCTGTGATTATTCTCATCAAGTCGAGGAGGAATACTTCGACGGATATGGGGAAAATGCACACTGCCCTAACATTACAGACCAGGATAGACAAGACGCCAAGAAGATGGGTGTAAGGATTATCCACAGTCCATGTTCTGAATTCACTTTGATTGGGATTGATTTCGAAGCTTGGCTGGCAGCAAAGTATTATGGCCATCTGTTATTCCATCTACATAACAGCGCAGGGGATGTGCCTGGGCTGAAAGAATATGTGAAGCGAGAGTTTGTATTATAGAGTGACGTGTGTCGTTTTACTGCGCCTGGAGAAGAGAGCCACTGTCTATCACACTCGTCGTAACTGGGTTGGCAAAGGCAGTGCATAGAAGCCTGAGTTTGACATCTATTTCCAGCTGATAACTGGCTTCACAACCTGTGATAAATTCGTGTTAGAAGTAGACGGTCATATCGGTTTAATGCATTCACCCACCTTCCCAGAGCGCATCTCACTCAAAGCTGTCTCAAAATCCTTTACTGGATATACTTTGCAAAGTCTGTCAACAGGGAAATGGCCTTGGCGATGAAGCTCCATGAGCTGAGGAATAAACTAAAAGACAATTAGCATCTTCAGAGGAGAGCACCCCTTTTATACTGACCTTCTGAGGGTTAGAGCCACCCTCGACGACGCCGATATAGCTTTTGTTTTCCAGTAGGAAAGTCTGTGGCTCAATTCTGACTACACTGTTGGGAGGGGGAACGCCAACTGTTGTTGCAGTGCCCCTAGGTGCCAAGCATCCCAAGAGAGATTCAATGACGGGGATACGTCCCGTACAATCAATGGCGTAGTCAGCTCCTCCGTCAGTGAGCCTTTTGATGGTTGCTTCCACAGTCTCTTGACCGTTCTTTTGCGGGTTCACGGTATCCGTCGCGCCAAACTCTTTCGCAAGTGCCAGCTTCTCATCGACCACGTCAACTGCTATAAGCTGCTTGACTCCAAGGTAGGCAGCGCCCATCAGGGCGGCAATCCCCACACTTCCAACACCAAAAATAACCACCGTCTTGCTCTTGTCGGGCTTCAGAACGTTGAGTAACGTCCCCGCCCCTGTCTGAAAGCCACAACCCAGAGGGGCAAAGTAAGAGAGTGACTCGGGATATGGACACTTCACAACACACCTTTCAGCAACTACTGATAGGTGTGAAAATGACGATTGGCCAAAGCATTGACTGCTCACGGCGGTCCCGTCCTCGAGACGCGCCGGCGTGGAGCCATCTGATATCCGCACACAGCCTGCATTGACTGGTAAATGGACGTGACAACAGGCCGGGTTGTCTGCCAGGCATTGCTTGCACGTCCCGCAAACGTTGAACGACAACAAGACATGGTCCCCGATTCTCAGTGACTTGTCCTTTACGCCACTGCCTAATGCTCGGATGACCCCTGCGCCCTCATGGCCAAAGATGGCTGGGAATGCCGGGCCCGGAAGCAGACCAGTCTGGAAAAGGACATCCTAAATTTTCGTCAGAAACACGATTAATATAAATTTTCGCTAGCTTATGTGAGTGACTCACTGTGTGACATATGCCGGAGTATTGCATTTCGACTAGGGCCTCATCCGAGCGGACTTCATCAAGGATCACTTGTTTCATGACAAACTGGCTACCCGGCTCTTGCACAACCAAGGCTTCCGTGTGTATGTTGGTAGAAACAGACATGGTGGACGTATACTTCAGAGCGTACTTTCCCAAGTGTCAAAGTGTGAAATGGAGTTTGAGTGTGGTTGCGGGCTTCTCTTACCTTTGTAATGATTCAAATATGACAATATACATATAGGTTTACTCGAGATCAAACTCGGTCTTTTCCGAGATTTCCGAGCTACACTACCATTCAGTAGGAGTGTCTACTTGATCTTTCCCAATCACACTTCACGTGAGGAGGAGGTGCCATTTTTTTCTGAGATAAGAAAGTCAAGGGAACATCATTGAATCATCCAATTAGCAACCCTTTTCATGCCAATTTCATTATTTTTATGAAATCGTCACAAAACTACGATAGATGAGGGAACTACCCGAACCTACCAAGCACGTATCCGAGCTGAGCCAACGCGCTAACAGCTCAATCTGAGGAACCCAATTAGAGAAGCTTGCATCATCAAAGGGCCACTCTAGCACCAACACCCCTCACTAAGGGCTTGGCCTGCCGCTATATCCAGGTGTTTTGGCAGGCCTAGAACATAGGTGGCGCAGAAGAGACAACCCTATCCGAGCCAAAGGGGGGGTGATAAGGGCACGGATGTACGGCGTAACGAACGCACCCGAACACATCCGGCGCTTGACGGCGCGGGGAAGCTGGGGTAAAGTGGGAAACACCATGAGGTAATCTGGGGTAACCAGCGAGCTCCGTTTGATATCAGCTACCTAGTCGATAGGAGACGCGATTGCAGCTCGGAATGTCGAAAATCTGCAGGCATTTGGGTCTCGATCATGATTCGCGTCGTTTAGCTGATCGGATGTAACCCTGCGTGAGGGACAGACCCTCGCTTGGTTATAAGGAGCGAATATAAGGAGCGAACAGCACCCCCTGAGGCATGGGTTTCTTTCTCCATGCTCAACTTCACGATTGGCAATTCGGGATTCTCAGTCCAAGTCTGGCGACATCAACAAACCCTCTGACGCTGATCATTTATGATCGTCATCTGTAATCATGGCAAACACAACTGGACGCGATGTAAGTTACATTTCTGGTTCAAACATCATGTCAAGACCATGAACCGCTAACTCCAGGCAGGAGATCACAGAGATCCAAAATGAGCTGCATCTCGAAATCATCCCGGGAACCGAGATCATGGCAGATGTTGGAGAGCACCACTTCGTCAAGAGCAAAGGCAAAAACCACCGAGTTTTAGTTCCGCAGCCCAGCCACAGCCCCAACGATCCGTTGAACTGGTCCACAAAGTGGAAGCTATCTGCAATCCTTGCAGCATCTACTCTGACCTTCACCCAGGGATTTGCACCTCTGGCTTTAGCTCCTATGTTTGGCTATCTGATGGGAGACTTTAATAGCTCTTTGTCCGATGTTATTCAATTCACAGGAGTTACAATTTTGGTCCTCGGCTTCAGCAACTTCATTTGGTATGTGATGAGCACGAGATATTCTAGTAATATGGGAACTACTAACAAAGTGGCATACAGGGTCCCGATCTCGACTTCCTTTGGCAGACGGCCCGTTTTAATTGTCTCACAAGTAATTTGCTTGGTTTCTCATATCTGGCGAGCGAAAGCCACTGACTATAATGGATTCATGGGTGCATCAATGTAAGAAACCGCTTGTCCTTTAAAGAAAAGCAAGGCGTTCTAACACACAGTTACAGCCTCAACGGAATTGGAGCAGGACCCGCCGAAACCATTCAACCGACAATAATTGCTGATATTTTCTTCCTTCACGACCGCGGAAAATGGAATACCATGTTTTGGGTTACATATACTGGTGCTTTGATGGTACGCACAAATGGTCTAATTATGATTGTAACCTGGGTAACTAACATCAATAGATTGCTCCTATTATCGCTGGCTCCATGGCCGACCATTCTGGATGGCCCTCTTTCTTTTGGCTCAATACCGCCATGACCGGCTTTTCCCTGATCTTCATAATCATAGGATTTCCCGAGACGTCATATAGCCGCGCCCAGGCTCTTGAGGGACATCATCAGACAGCCCCTATATCATCTTCCAAAGTCCTCGATGCCGAACACCGTGAAGACACATCGGAGAAAAAGGGTAATGAACACAAATCAGAGGAGAGCAATCCTGAGACTGTCCCCGCTGAAGAGGAGCCTTGGTTGGGGCGAGGAAGCCCAAGTCGAAAGCAGTGGATGCCTTTTCAACCAAACGCTTCTCCATTTAGGTCGATTCTTCTGGATCTCTGGATTCCGTGGAAGCTATTCAGCTTCCCCATCGTTGTGTTTGCCTCGTTTGTCGTCAGCTGGAGCTGCAGCGCCATGCTGATTTTAAATCTCACCCAATCTCAAGTCTTTGCAGAACCACCTTACAACATGAGTTCTCAATCAATCGGTATGCTTCATTTATTTCACTTTATCCCTCAGAGTAACAGGAGGGATTCTAACTCATCTCAGGCTTTACGAACTTTGCGATTTTTGTTGGTGCACTGATCGGGCTTGCGACTGCAGGGCCTCTCAGTGACTGGGTAGCAGCCCGCGCAACAGCACGTAATAACGGCATTAGAGAACCCGAGATGCGTCTTCCAGCGATGATACCATACGTGGTAATATCAGCCATCGGACACATCATAACTGGTATTGGATACCAGCAACAGTGGCCGTGGGAGGCTATCGTCATCGTTGGCTATGCAAGTGCAGGAATTCAGATTGCCGCTCTTCCTAGTATTAGCAGCACTTATGCAGTCGACAGCTACAAGCCAGTCTCCGGAGCAATTTTTGTTATCATCACGGTAAACAAAAACCTTTGGGGCTATGGCATGGGAAAGTTCATCACCCCTTGGACAATGGAAAATGGGTAAGTTGCTCCTATCCTTTTTCTCTACGACGATTTCTCACCAGCTCTTGCTAGATTCATTCCTGCATTCATGGTCAACATGGGACTTCTTGTTCTTTGGAGCCTGTTTGGGGTGGTGTTCTATTACTACGGGAAGACCTTCAGACGGTGGACTAAGGACAGTGCTGTTCACCAGATGAATCTCTAATCCACGGTTCGGGGTTTTGCGTTCAATTTCTACGTTTTAGTGAGATAGGAAGAATGCGTATGAAACCCATAATTTATTCATTTGATCAAAAACCTTGGTCATTAAGGTCTTCCAATCCCACGGTCACAGGCTCTAAAGACAAAACAGCCTGGAACATTTCCGCCGATATACCAAGATCCTCGACATCAAGATGGCCAAAATGCAACTGATCAAGCCCTACAACTCGGGCTCATGATTGAAGGGCAACTGACTTGAATCATTCGAAGATGTGAATGTCTGAGATTGCAGCGGATAGTGTGTGCTGGTTGAAGGGGGTGTTCTTGTTACAGGCTGTGGTTCAACAGGCATCGTCATCTCAACTCCAAGGTCGTTGATTGCCTCCATGACTAGCTTCAGCGCGCTTCGAATCACTACAACCGCAATATTAGCTTTATTCTACGACTCAAGAGCGGGCGCAGCTATCTTGAGCTACTTACCTGGATTAATCCTACTAGCCCTTGCAAGTGCGTGGGCAGAGCTCCAGCCAATGGGCCACTTGATGATCACTTGGTGTAGCCTGTACTTGGAGGAGGAAGATCGATGAAGCTATATACACGCAATATGCGACCGAAATCGTGCAATGAGATTCGCCAAATGTCCGATGATAGAGGTCAGAAATAGCGATTATAGCTGTTGCAGAGCTGACGCGTTCACGGAGATGGTTTGGATTTGGCTCCAGATGGCCGAACTCCGGGGACGAGCGGCGCGATAGCATTGGCCGATAGAGGAGGTTTCGAAAGCAATAATATGGCAGAATTGAAATGGTTAGCATTGGAACATTATAACAGAGCTGGGAGCATACTTATGTATTACGATATGTGAAGGTGGAGCATATCGAGGAAGATCTGATATGTCCATCTTGAGAAAGGAAGGCAATTCCGCCCACCATGAGTTCAATGATGCCTCCTCTTTGACAAGACAACTGTGCATCTCTGTATCTGAGTTGTGGTAGGTCGGATCGTACATGTGGATCAGTATTTCATTGAATATGACCGTAAGCCGGCATATCTGAATAATTGAGGATGTTGAATGGGAGGGAGTAGGAGGGTATTGTTCTCCATTAGCATAAGTGAGACCGTGTGGCGTCCACAACTCGTCCTCGGCCGAATCATCAGCTTAGGCAACAATTAGCCATTTTTTCTGCAACGATAGTGATCTTAGATCATCCAACTCACGGATGCGCTGTGGGGGCGACGCAGGGGATTGCTGCAAGGAAGGCGATCTTCCCAGATAGAAACTCATCAGCTTATCCCAAAAATAACAGCTCCAAAACAAGCGATGGCGTATTTCAGTGTCTTCGTCAAATAAAGTGACAGACCCCATATATCGCTGGCTATCGAAGCAGATCCCCAGATGGTCAATAAGTCGAAAGGCAATGCCAGTGCAAATCCATATCAGCGTGCTGTTGCCATGACTGATTCCTATGCGCTCAGAAGAAGGAGCACTTGTACTGTTGGAATGGTGCACACGCCTTCTCTAAGTTCATTGAAGATACAATCTCAAGCCTGCCCGGCAAACACTTTGCCATCGTCATAAGCACTCAGAAGCTGTCGGGTTTGTTCGTCTCCTATTCCCCACCGTACAGAGTGGGCAAGCAGAGCATTCATCAGTTTGCGAGAGTAGTAGGGCCACAACATGGCCATATCACCTATCCTATTATTAGCCGTATTTGGGAAGAAGTCACAATCATGCCATACGTGTGAAGGCGGGTCTGTATACGAAGTTGAATAATGGCTGGATCCAGCACCAGTGAAGATTCAATAGGTATCGGAAAGGGTCCTGAGTATATTGTCAGTGCAATTACAACAGACACAGCTTGGTGAGTGAAGACCTAACCTACAGTTATTTGAGACAAACTCTCTTAAGTATGCTGCTCCTATGTATTTAATATAAGTCTCTCCCCGCTCTTAGCCCTAAGAGTGTCAGATATTTGTGTAGCTATTCCGGAAGTGCTTTTATTTTGGATAGAACTATTCAACCGATTGAAAAAGCTTGTTGAACCATGATAGATCGGGACACTCTTGTCATCGAGATTCAGACCCTTGAGGACCCTATGTCTAGATGATTCCATGGCATTGACCGACGTGTTTTATTTTTCAACAGGGAATTCAGCTTCCTGAATCTCCACTTCCAACTCTTTGGCACGTTTCTCTAGTAAGTGCGTGTAAGCCAAAGTTGGTGACCTGAAGTTTTGAGTCAATAAAGGACTAATGATTTTACCATAGCAATTATCTCACTGTTTATATTCGCATTCTTCCCCCGAGCGCACCGATCACACCTTGGCTCCCGCCTGTTACATTTGACCTTAAGAGCTCAAAGTTAGCTCTGCGAGCGGAGACAAAGATCTTCAATGATGTAGTACGAACCTTGCGTTTACTACATTGCTCTAATTATTTATTTTTATTTATTTATTTCTATTTATTTACTTTTATAATAAAATTAAAGCTTTCTATATAAAAGTTTAATAATTTTATAGATTTATATTTATAAGAGCTTATTAAATAGTATTTTATTATATTAGTATTTTATGATATAAAATAGATATTTAGTAATTTAGTTAAATAGATAATTTTTTATTAAAAGAAATTTTTATATTTATCTATTAATATAAAGTAAATTATAAACTAGAATAAAGAGCTAATAATAAAGTTAGTAGATTTAGAGTTCATCTAAAGATATTATATATATAGAGAAAGTGATTTTAATAAATATAAAGAAATCTTTAATACAGTTACTAGCGGGGAGAAAAGAGAAAAATATAATCCAACGCTGATTAGAGGAATAACTCCAGCTGCAGCTATACTCCCTGGTTTAATGATTTCTTCTAATCCAGTCAGTAGTTCAGGCTATATTCCATGTTATACCCCGCATTATATCTATCTAACCCCCAACCCACAGTCGATCCTTCATATCCCTCCTGCCGCTTCAAATTTACCCTCGGATCTAGGTGGCTAAATGGCTAAATAGTTGTCCGATCATTTAATGTCCGCTTATTTATAAACCGTACACGGACTCAATTTGTCCGGGTAGCGAGTGCCATGATAGCGCTCACTAATCTTTCAAATGGGGGCGTCTTCTTGTATTATATATTGGTTGACTGGAATGCTAATTCAAGAAGAAAAATGTAAAGGGCCTTAGTATAGCGGGAAGCATTTCACATCATGGGCGTTTCTTCCACCACCATCGTAGCGCTGTTGCTGCCAGCGCTTGCTTATGCGCAGATTGACCGGTAGATTTCTCCTTCACCTTCTATCATGGATTGATGATTATGTACTTATATATAGGGGACAAGAGAAAAGGTCGTCACGAAGTACAATGTTGTGCGCACCAGTCTCATCAACGATACACAGACTCCATTACAGGTCGGCAATGGAGACTTCGCCTTTAACATGGACAATACGGGAATGCAGGTATATGCCTATGCTGATATATATTTCGACCCGAAGACTGACTAATGAGAGAAAGACATTCTTGCCATTCAACACGATGTCTAATTGGGCCTGGCATAACGACTCACTTCCCACCAACGGGTAAGCTAAATAGATAGCTTTGGAAAGACCGAGTGGGAGGAGGCTGATTAAGAACGGTACAGTGAAGAGTTGAGTGACTACACGGGCGTCCCATGGGATACTCATGGGCGCAATATATCTTACGATATTCCCGACCCAAATCTACCCCAAGTCTCGCAGTGGCTTATTGGTAACCCGAATCGGATTAATCTTGGCAGGATTGGGCTCAAGTATAAGAACATGAGCCTGGAGGCTGCACTTATCTCTAACCCTCGTCAGGAGCTTGATGTCTGGAATGGATTGGTCACCTCACAATTTACCATAGATGGGGAAGATGTGAAAGTTATAACACAGGGAGACTTCGACACCGACTCCGTTACCTTTTCTATCGAATCGAGTCTCATTAAGAATGGAGATTTGCAAGTTGAATTGGATTTCCCCTACCCTCCTATCCATACAAACACGTATAAGTATGAGGTCTTTGCAGGAAGCTACGACTTTCCTGCTAATCACACGACGGTGGGAAGGAAGAACTGCAAAGCTGCGAATACAGCGCACATTTACCATGAGATGCAAAACACCAGATACTACGTCAACCTCCGTTGGCCTTCCAACTCGGCCTTGGAACTATCAAGGGAAGAACCTCGTGGATCTACCGCTGTAAATGCACATTGCTTCACTCTAGGTGCAACCGGTACCCAGGATGAGTGGAAAGGGCCTTCAGCTGAAATATCTTTCACAGCTAACTTCTCCCCGACGAGAGCTGTGGCTGACTTACCAGAAGAAATCCGAAAACGCAACACAAAAGCCTGGCATCAATACTGGAATGAAGGAGGCTTCGTTGATTTGACAGAATCCTCCAACTGGGCTGCCGATGAACTGCAAAGACGCATTATTCTATCTCAATATCATGTGCGTGTTAACAGCGCAGCAACAGGACAATCACCCCAGGAGAGCGGGTTAATGAATAATGGATGGTACGGGAAATTTCACATGGAGATGGTTGTCTGGCATCATGCACATTGGGCTACTTGGGGCAGGCAGAAATATTTTGACAATATCTTCCCAGCCCTGTACGACAAGCTTCTGCCCAGCTCACGGGCGCGTGCTGAAGCTATGGGGTGGGAAGGGGCTCGGTGGCCAAAAATGACGGAACTGATCACAGGTGTTAGTTCGCCAGGTGAAGTCAACGGATTATTATTGTGGCAGCAGGTATGATCTCACCGACAATACGCAACTGAACAGTGCTAACTTGTTTCACGAACAGCCACATGCGATGTTGATGGCCTCATTTGCTTACCAGGCCAACTCAACAGAGCAAACCTTACAACGATGGGACGAAGTTGTGACTGCCAGTGCAGATTATATGGCTTCTTATGCCTGGAAGAATGTTTCAACTGGCCGTTATGATCTCGGACCTCCCTCTTATGGTGTTACAGAGAATACGCCACCACGAGCCACCCTCAACCTGGCATTTGAGGTACGAAACAAGTTTCCAGCCTGATTTCATTTTGACCAGAATTCGAACGAGGATATTAACAGTTGTTATGTAGATATCATACTGGAGATATGGACTTGATGTGGCCCGTACATGGAAAAAGCTGCTCAATCAGCCTATTCCTGAACTTTGGACAACCGTGGCCGAAAATCTGGCGCCCCCGCCTCAGGTCGACGGCCTATATGCCGTGTACGAGGGCCTCAACAGCACATGGTGGGACGATCCGAAACTCAATGCAGACCCGCGCAGTTTGATTATGATGAAGGGCTTTATGCCAGACTCCCCTGCTGTGGATTCAGAGATCGCACTCAAAACAGCAGATAAGGTCGCTGAGGTGTGGACAGATGAAAAAATTCGGGGCTGGGGACGACCGATCCTGGCTATTAACTCTGCAAGAGTTGGGAGACCCAAAAGAGCAGTTTACCACCTTACAGCATACAAATACTGGAATTTTGACGATGCTGGTTAGTTTGAGGATTTTCATTGTGTGTCAAGGAGTGAATTAGCTGACGGTGGTATGATTAGGCTTCGCCGAGAGAGGAGGCTCAGGTAAGTACAGCTTCTGTCTCTACCCGAATGAGCAGGCGTTCTAAATGGTGAATATGGTGAATATAGGTGGAACCCCTCCCCCCTTTATGCCAGGGAACGCAGGATTACTCTGGGCTGGTAAGAGACCTTTGCATAATATGTAATGAAAAGTCGTCTTCGAGCTGACGTTCCGTTTACTAGTTTCATACATGGCGGCAGGTTGGAATGGATCAACTACTGACGCTCCAGGGTTCCCAAATGACGGTACATGGACCGTCAAACATGAGGGGCTGGTTAAGAGTCTTTGAAACGCTTGTGCGTATCTATCATGAAAGTTCTTAAGCTACCTTCGAGCGATTCGGGGAAAATTATGCCATTATTCTATGTATCTAATCTAGAAAAGCTAAATTTTTTATCATTAGATGCTGCAGGTAAACATACCAGGATTGCCCCGACAGTTCAGCCTCATGCTAAACTGAAGGGCGACGCTATCAGTTATTCATAGTTTACCGGTCTCCTGCTGCCTTTTCACCAAAGCAGTTCTATCCGACAGATAGGGCCAATCTTGGCCAACCACCTTCGCAAACTATCTTATCAGATCCCAACCTTCCGGGTATATTCTAATATTCTATAGCTCAATAGAAATATCATTACCTGATTTTATAGGCCCAGAGAATCATGCAGATAACTAACGAAGGCTGAGAGGCTCAGATTTCCCTAGGCGCCGAACAATTTCATTCATGCGTGATGAGATTATATGTAAATATACCATGGTTAATTATTCCATTATAGCCTATTTGCTTTCCCGGCTCTGAAGTAGTATAAAGAGGATTATAGTCACTATTGAGCCTGAAAAGCATACGCTTGATCAGTATAAGGTTAAGATCTAATTATTAGGAATAAGGTATACCGGTATAGATACGAACTTTGGGCATTGATATAAACTCGGAATAACAGGTTGGCAGGCTTTCCTTCTGGAGGTAGATATCGCTGAGCTAGGGGCCCTCTCGAGCTACTCCAGTTGCTCTGCTCTATGTAGAACTCGCTGCCTATATTATGCGCATAGATATCACCAGAAATAGTATTTACAAGGAGATATTCCGTCCGGACGACTGTGTCTATATTCCTCTTATCGAATACGCTTACTATTTTAAACTGAAATTCAAGCTCCCTGCCCTCCGAAGTGAAGGAAAGGAGCTTGAGTATCTTGATAAGACGATCTTCGTTACCAAGGCGTACAGCAGGGCTCGTAATAGTCCAGTCAGTTCGCCTGAAACCCCCAGACTGTCTATTTAGTCCATCTGGCTTGGTCAGATCAAACCAACAGTCTAGCTGAGATACCTAGACTAAACTATTAGTCCGTCTTATACCTTCAGACCAGACCATAGTTCAGACTGCACTTCTCATCAACGATCGCCTCGGTCGGCTTCGCTCATTCCAGATAGCCATATGCCTCTGGATTTCAAGCATCTTTATGCAGATATTCGCTTCGGGAATCATAGGGTTGCTTCTCTTTGCGCGCATCTGGGCCGGCCTCGGTGCCGGTATCTTGAACGTTGTCTCACCACTCTACCTCTCCGAGATCCCGAGGATTGGTCGTCACCGTGCACATGGTGTTTTTGCTTTCTCTCCTAATGTTTGGTAAGACACTGAGCCTCGAAGATTGTGTAAAAAACCTCAGGGCATATTCGCTAACCTTTGCAATAGGTTTCTTCATCAACTTCGGCGCCAACAAAGGACTGGCCCCAGGTCGCATGCAGTACCGCCTCGTGCAGGCAATTCCCCTCATCCCGGTCGGTCTCGCTCTGGTTGGGTCCTTTTTCCTGTCGGACACCCCACGCTGGCTAGCTTCCAAGGGACGTAATACGGAAGCCACAGCCGCGCTCGAACGCCTTCGGGAATCGAGTCAAGATGATGAAGGCGTCGCTACAGAGCGCGCTGACATCCAGGGCCAGGCTCATCACCAAACTGAGAGTCTGTTGCAGGCATCTACATGGACAATATTCAAGGAGATTGCAACTGATAGCAACTACCCAGAGAGATTTCTGCTGGGCGCCGTGGTGCAAACGATTGCTCAATGGGCTGGAGGGAACGGTATCACTTTTTACATCCCTCAGATTTTCAAATTGGCCGGCGTGACTAGTTCTGACCAGTCTCTAATGACCTCTGGGGCGTATGGGGCCGTTAAGCTCGTGTTCACCATGTTGTTTGCCTGGTGTCTTGTCGATATCTGGGGTCGTAGGAAAACCATGTTCACTGCTCTCTGGCTGCAAGCCGTGGCACACGCTTGGATGGCCATTTACATGTCGCTCTTCTCAGACGGATCAAACAAGCATGCGAGCAACGCAGCCATTGCCTCTGTCTTCATCTACGCTGTTGGGTGGTCAATCGGCCTTTGTAACACCCAGGCATTGTACGGGACAGAGATCTACCCAACCCGCATTCGACCTGTTTGCTACGCGTTTAACATGATGCTGCACTGGTTCTTCCAGTTCGCTGTCGTGCGTGTAACGCCGAACATGTTTGTCGGACTCGGGGTGTCTGGCACATATATCTTTTGGACCTGTGTTTATGCTGTCGGGATACTACTATTGGGCGTATGGGCCCCGGAAACTAAAGGTGTACCCATGGAGAGAATGGATGAGCTGTTCTCAGGGCCGTGGTACATTGGGTGGAGAGCAAATATCTCCCCTTCAGCCGATTCGCTTGCGGGAACTGATACGGGAAAGGATATCAAAGAAGTCACTATCGAGAAGGTAGCTTAGATATTCACTTCTATTTGGCCAAAGGAGAAATCGAAACTAAAACAAAAAAATCTCTCGGAGCTGAACTCTTCTACTGAGGTTGATTCGATATTCACACTGTTATTGTTGACGCTACGCTGGCTCCAAACTGACGAAGTATAGAAACATTTCTGTCTGCCGATTGTAATGCAATTATCTATTCTCCCCTAGGAGCAATTATGTACCAGATAGCAGCATTTGAGTTTACAACCAGTAGCCCGAAGAAGTCTAAGTAGGTACTGCAAGGCTATCAACAGCGGGATGGAGAGCCAGCCATGTTGTTGGAGCACCATTGATTACATCGACAAGGGCGAGTGTTCCACTACGTAAACGATAGATCCTATTAATTTTTCTTCACTTGATTCTGCATTTCCTAAGTTACCAATGACTTTACCGACACTAACGTAACTATCGACTAACGAACTAAACATTCAATGTTTTCCCCTGTACACTTTCGCTTTTGTCGGCATTTCCAGCTCTGATGTTTGATTCAAATGAATTCTAACGTTTGTTGTATATGAACCTTGCATATCAATAGCATTATGAGCTCATGACGTCCAAGTGATAGCTTTGATTAGCAATCCGATGTTCTTGAATTCGACGTAAAACGAGCTATTGTATGTACTTGTTAGTTATACGCCAAATTTGAATTAGAAATTACCAGTTACTAAGTTCGCTTATATCACACACAATTAAGGCAACATTTGCATCCCATATTACAAAGTCACCATGAGCTTCGCCATTCCATCCGGTCTAAGTTCAGTAAATCAAAGACACTCTCAGTGCAATCCCTTAAATCAGTCAATCATTGTGCTATTCTGTCGTGATTCAATGTTCTTGAGTTGACTTGGATAGAGAAACAGCTTGTTAATGTCAACCGTTCGGGTTCAGTGAATCAGTCACATACCTAATTTCGTTGTTCTTAAATTGGTAGACGATTTGACCGTAACTTCGTAATTAAGCGAGTTGGAATTCATAATGTATGTAAAACCGTGAGTCTATTCTAGTTCTATGTCATGATATAGTATATCTAGTTCATTGCCTACGGAAATACCGCAAACATGGCAGAGTTTCGCACGGTCAGTATTGGAGAAACCAAACTCTTTGAACTTAAAAAGGGAAAAACCTACACGTCACCTCAGTTTAACGGGTGTGTCGGATCAGTGATTGTCGGGAGGCTGGGCGACAAGTGGCATCTTATCATGGGTCATTATGCGTGTCATGAAGCGAGTATTGCGGACACAATGGACATGGAGCTTGTCGCTGGCCATCCCGAGAAGTGCCGAATAGGCAACGCAAGGGCAGCGGCTAACAAAATCCCAGAGTTGTGGCAAGCGTACCAGCACTTATTTCACGAGGATCGTCAGTCATTCCTCTACCGCCCAGAGAAGACCGACCACGAAGACATGGTCGGCAAGTTGAATGAAATTATGCACGATACCACTGGCTTGAGCGCGGAAGAGAAAATCTACACCGAAGAAACGGCATCGGAGGGCAATGCCGCAATTTCGGTCAAAGTCAATATTCTCAATCATATCAAGACCAAGTTTGCTAAATGATTTCGCAGTCAAGGGCATCTAAATGGGCCAATTGCCTCTATGAGGCTCAGGACACAACTAAGACGGTCAAAGTGAGAAGTTGACATGCTTTCGGAGAGGCTAGCCAGTGGAGGTGAAGCGATATAAGGAGTGGCGGCGAATTGTATAACAATCTTCCTTGTTCGGATTTTCTTGGCATCAGGTCTAGTTTCTATGCTAGCCAAAAAACCAATTATCATTGTGGTCTTAGAAGCGCAAACCCCACGCAAAGACCAAATGTGATGGATCTAGATGACTTCAAAATCATTCAATTCTAATACATGAAGTCATGAAGCAAAGAGAGAAGATAGGGGTTCTTGCAATAATAGAATGGACAGATGCTTTAAGCCTACCATCCAAAGAAAGCTAGTCGAAAACCTGATCCGTTCAGTTGTCATTCAATACGATTTTCATCTTACCAACAATCTCAAGCTCCAAGGTAGCGAGCCACCCATGATTTGATAAAGAACAAAACAGCAAGCAGCCAACATAAAGTAAAAGAGTCTCATAGCAACACGTGTTGTTGGCCGATATGTAATCAGCTACATACGTCCAGTCTCTCCTAATCTACGGAACTCTCCTCCTGAGACTTGACTTGATGAAGCATATCTCAAAATTGAGTTATGCGTAGCGTTTACCCGGTTCGGCCAATTCTACCTCGTCGTTGGAAAAGGCGCAATGTCCAGTATCTACTGGTCCTTCTGGTGAACGGACTACCCCCCACTTTACTGGTAGTAAACTTGAAGCTTCCCCGGTCGTATGGCACGCCGCGGATATGGCCAAGCTACAGCTTCCGGCAAGCGGCATCTCATCCCTCAACCGACGTGTTCCGAGAATGGCCACGCTCCCAAACAATATAATAAGAATAACGCAGGTGAGAACCATGGCAATCGGAGAGTAAGCGCCCGTTGTGGTGACCTGCATCTTATCCAACACCTCTTGGTCAAGCCTATCATTATCGTCAAAGTCCCACAGTTACCTCTCAAATATTTGTGCAATAAAGAATCCCTGAGAAATGAGCCAATGCATCAATATCGAGAGAACTAGCATGGGGATACTATATTGATATGGAAGCTCCAGAAAGAATGCAGACTTCTGTGCCCCTCTGGGGAAGGAGACTCGGAGTGGCTCGTGTGAACCGTGAGCAAAACTGGCCCATTCTGCGGCGGCAACCATCGACGTGAGCAGGGAATTTAGAATCAAGTATATGAAAGACAAGATGAGCTGAGGCAAATTTGTAAGGAGGATGGTACCAGCAACGGCTAGATCGCCGTCTGTTGGGATCTTCCAGTTTCTGATGAGCGTGTAAGGGTTGATAGTCCCGATACCAAAAGACATAAAGAACTGAAATCGCTGCGAGAAAAGCGACTTCCCAACATCTTTGAGGCATAGCCTAGCAGCCCAAGAATCACACCTACTGCAGTAAGAGTCCTATCTCATCACATTAGTTCGCTGCTCCTTATCGAGTGAAGTAAAGAGCATTATTGTTACAGCAGGGTGGCAATTGTCCAGCGGAAGTGGCTGCCAGCAGAGAACCAGCGTTTTCTTTGAGGATGGTAAACCGTCCGGGATCTTTCTTCAGATAGTTTGTTATTTCTAAAATCACGCGCAGATGTGAGACAGATTCCTTTCGTTCTCGGATCAGGAGACTCAATGAAAGAAGCAGCTGCGTCTCCGACAGTTACCAGAGGCTCGTCGTTGATCCAATGACTTGTCGCGATGAGGATGATGATAATCAGTTTGACCGCGTTGAAGGCTATAACCACATAAATGAGATTGAGGGAAACTCTCAGCTGGCATTGACTGTTGAGTTTTTCGCTAAGACAGTAATTGACCTTGATGCCATGGACTTTCCATGGGTCTGCTCCCAGCTGGTCCTTCCAGGCTCCATCACTGCATAATTTGTCAGGTGGAGACCTGGGATCATTCTCGGTTTCTGTTCTATAGACTGACTCTTGTGAGCAGATCCAGTAATACCAATTGGTGATGTAGGGATCGGTTTCGGGACTGAAATTATTGTTGTAGTTGTCAACTGCGTACAAGGACGTGGCCGATGTGTTTCCGCAATTCGCGTGAGAAGAGTGTCCGGGTTCGCTTAATCTCAGATCAAAAGGATCGTTAAAGATGCTGCAGTTTTCGGGTATATCCATGACTAAAATCACGTTCCCTCTATCCTCAATCAACGTTTTTGCGTAGGCGTTGATGCATTCGTCATTAGTGAGATTTTGATATCGATCGCCGTGCATAAGTTGATCTTGCACTTTGTCGGCGTTGACATTTCCAAGGGCTATAGCTTGTGTGAAAAACGTCTCGTTGAAAGGTGCACCTCGCGCAAAGGAGTCGTCGGCATACCAGATCCGGTACAAATTGTTGTTAGCGGATACAAAGAAGATAGAATTGTACCTATGGGGAGTTAGAAGTGCCCGAAAGAGTGGGAAGAGTACCCTTACACAAGGTGAAGTGGAATAGAAGTAATACCAAGGCAGAACCAGACAAAAGCTCGCCGATTCCTAATAAACCACAGATTTCGGAGGCTAGGTATGCCGATGTCTACCCACGAGCCCTTTGCATGCGCTCTATCAACGTCATCGCGCGACGGAGCACTTATAGTCTGCATGCAGTAGTTGCTTGCTCCCAAAAGAAGAGTGCTAACGATATTGATAACAAGATGGATCCCAATGCCAAGTTTCTTAATGTCGCCGCACTTACCAACGCTAATGGGTGCGACGTTTGAGGTGTATCCTTGAGCTCGTACCCTTGAGGTAAACACACCCGCAATTGTAACATTGCCTATCAAGACAGCAAGCGTTACGGCGGCTGCAAATAATGCACTAAACCTCCAACCTGTGACTGTATTTCGAGATGTTGGCTCGTCATCAGTCTTGCGTCGCATACGAAAAAGCTTATCACGAGGACTCTTGCCGCCAAATTCCTGAACATATTCGTCTAAGTACGGGTTCGTCAGTAGACCAAAGGCGAATCCGGCTGGTTGGCATTAAAATGTACCTTGATAGCTACCATTCTGGAGATTCATCGTTTCCAAGGCTATCTCCGAACCAAGGAGAGGCGTGCCACTTTCCTGGACTGTACCTTGATGCATTTTTCAACGGACGTCTATTTGCTGCAGATAGTAACGCAATGAGCAATTTTCATGGTTGCTCCGGAGGTGAAGTCAGACGGCAACAGTAATAAAGAGCTCCCGAGTTTAGGATAAGTACATGGCATGAGATATATATAGAGTTGACATGCTGACAAGAGTTTGTGTCATTGTACTAACAAAACGCGTAGTCCTGAAACGACTAAATAGACGTCAGATCAAGGATGGCTAAGCCACTTTCGCTGACCAACGCCCATCTAGTTCACAATGCATTGTGATAAAATACCAATCACAGTAATCGATTATTTTATTCCAACCTGCTTAAGCTGAGTGGGACATTATTTCCGAGGTGGAGAGCTAACGGAGTGTTGAATCTCGCTGTGAGTGATGTCGTCAATTGCACACAACATGATTGGGAAAAAAGATACATGTTAATTTAAAGCAAGTGTCTAATATATCAGTGATCACCGCCATGACAATATCCTTCTTCGGATCGATTAAGCACCACACATCATCAGTAACTGATGTCAGCAAGGGAGTTTCATACCATGTGGTGGTCAGGCTGGTATTCGCCACAGCCGTAAGCGTCGACTTTGGCTGCTATACGCACTTCTCTCTCTTTTTTAATCTGTATCATCCAAATTGGAAGTCGTAAACTCTGACAACGCATCTTCGTTTATTTGGAGAACGGCCCATCTTTATTCAAGAACGCATGGGAGAATTTGCTCGTTCATCAAGAAGTCTCATATTGAAGCTTACCCTATACCACGGCACGGGTAATCATTAATCCGCTACAAGGCACTCCTAGAATTCTTTTTATTCAAGAAGACTTGTTATCTCGCCTTACAATTATACAATTATCTCACGCCTGGATGATCTTTATCGATTCTCAACCATTACTCATATGTGAAATCATGAATTCATTAATATCTTAGTTTTACTTCCTACAATAAGATCGGTGATGGAATTCCTCGTTACTTGGCGGCTGTCCTTGCAATTGGGATGTCTAGGGTAGTCTGATATAACGGGGCCTTGAAGATTGTCTCTGAGTGGCTGATTTAAAGTCTGAAACGGGGCGTAGGGTGGAGCTAGCATTTTTATTAGTGGGGCTGGGATGGCAGGGCGGTTTAGACTCGTAGAGACGGTGCTTTTGACATTACGGTTCTCTTTACTTTGTATTGCTACAATGAGCTTGCATAAAAGCGTTGAGGACTTCTTGGCATATTGCCCTCAGACAATGGACATTGCCCAAAGCTTCTTTCGAAGGTCATTGACACGTTTGCGCCGCTGAGTTCTACCCCTCTTTTCTGCGGGAACAACTCATTGCGCTTCACACCTAAGAAGCTTACCTAATCTCTTATCGATATCAAATGGCGGTGGGGCTGGTTACTTTTTTTTTTCCTCAATATTACGACCAGCCTCTGTTCTTAGCATCTTTTTGTTAGGACGAGGATAACGTTGGCGACGCAAATATGAGGTCAGTTGCGGCGTAGCCCTATCTTTATGGAGGATATTTACTAACCAGAACTGCAGAATCGAGAGCTGTTACTTTTGCGGCGCTCCGGCGTACCCTTCGAAGGGGATTACCTTCATGAGAAATGATGGTGCGTTTCTCGTGCCACGCTTCCCTTTTGCCTGGAAATCAACACTGACAGTGGCTGCTTCTAGGGAAATCCTTCCGATTCTGCAAATCCAAGTGCCACAAGAACTTCAAGCTTCGAAGAAACCCCCGCTCCCTTCGCTGGACAAAGGCGTCGCGCCGCAGGGCCGGCAAGGAGATGACGGTCGACAATTCGCTCCTATTCGAGGCCCGCCGCAACGTCCCCGTGCGATACAACCCCGAGCTCATGGCCAAGACGCTCCAAGCCATGAAGCGCGTGAGCGAGATCCGCGCACGCAGAGAGCGCGTGTTCTACAAGAAGCGCATGGCCGGGAACAAGGCCCGCGAGCTCGCCCGTGCGGCCAAGCTCGTCGCCGAGCACGAGCACCTCCTGCCCCGTATCCGTGGAAGCGAGTTGCGACGCCGCAGAGAGGCAGCAGGCGAGGATGCCATGGATATCGAGGATGGTATCATTGATGAGGATGCTCGTGTCGTCAAGCAGAAGAGCCAGGTGTTTGGTGGCGAGAAGAAGCGCCTGAAGGTCCGCGTGGAGGAGATGGCCGAGGAATAAACACCAGCCTCTGTTAATGACATGGAAAAGGGTGGCGCCGGCGTTTTCTAGTTTTTCTGAGCAATGAGTCGACCAGATAGGCTTTGATATTTCGTGGGTAAATGGGAATATGCAAATTGGTATTCATCCAAGCTTCGCATCTACGCATCGCTGAAGATCTCACCCGCCATCTTTTGGGATTGCTTGGTGGAATATCTTGGTTTAAATCATGTTGAGCTATCAAATTTGAATGATTGAGTGCCAAAAGTTGTCCTGTTCTCAGGCAATGTTCAGAAAACAACCGTTCTACCCTTTTGAACACTACGAGCCTGAATCTACACTGCTACGTTTGGTATTATCAAATCTTGAGCTACATTACCCAGAGGCCATCACTCCTCAGGTTAGATAATCAACTTGAGATACGCAAATCTTAACTGTACACACGAGTCAAGCTACCAACTTCCACGAGGCTTGTCTCGGCGAGGGGAATTCAAGTATGCAATAGAATAAGTAGCTTAGTGTTAAAAAGATCTCTTCATACTACCTTAAAATGGTCTCATAATTTCATTTGTCTTAAACTCTTCAAATGCTCTTAAATACAGAAAGACTGGACAGAGCCTTGCCAGGCCACTCGAACAGCGTGTTGGAAGGGCAGGACGAGCCCAAGGCCTGGTTGTTCATCCATGCGGGCTCCCAGTAATAGAGACCTGTAGCACCCACATCATTGGCAACCTGGGCTACCTTTTTAATAAAAGTAGTTTGCCCGGCGGCAGAGAATGGGATGCTGGTGAGATCGGATGGGAATGCGTATGCTGGGGAAGGGCATGAGGTTGGCCAATCAGTCTCGACAATCATGAGCTCTTTGCCCCATGTGCTCTTCATGTTCTGTAGGCTTGATTTGAGGGCTGAGAGAGTAGCTCCGTTGCCATAAAACGGATAGTAGGAAACTCCCATAACATCAAAGTCGCTGGCCTTCAGAGGACCTGCAGCGAGGACGCCCTTGTACCACCACTGCTGTGTGTCCCACTTCCAGCCATTGTCGAGGTGAATCATGATTTTAGGCTTTGGGTTGAGGTTGGAATCTTTGATCCCATAGGCAGCAGAGTTCAGAAGACGCGCCACGTTGTAGAAATTGGATGTTGATCCTGTAGGGAATAGGAGGCCAGAAGTGATTTCGTTGCCGATGGAGATGATGGCTGGTGCAACGCCTGCGCTGCTAAAGGCATTCGAGACATCCCTGGTGTAATTGTACAACTTCCACGCGAGGTCATCGATCGCAGTGGGCCACCCTGACGGAATTCCTTGCTTGCCTGGATCGGCCCAGGTATCACTGAAATGCAATGTGAGGTAGACACTCAACCCTTGGGCTTTGGCTCGCTTAGCCAGCTTTAGGTTGTAGTCCAGGTTGTACTCGCCGTTGGATGGGTTCACCCAGACACGCTGTCGCACCGAGTTGACGCCATTGTTCTTGAGGATCTGCTCGAGAGGGAGTGTGGAGCCGCCATCTGTGTATGAGATGCCTTTTCCTTCTTCCACCGCTACCGAGGACCAATCGACACCTTTGTAGGTGAGTGCCGATACTGATGTTGTCGACAAAGCAGACAACGCTGCCGCAATGATAGAGAAACGCATCCCTGTAAGTTTCAAGATCTCTTTTATGGATTTTGAGTTCGAGATTTGTCCTTTCCTGAGCAACAGAAAATCTTGCGAGGACAGAGTCGTGTTTCCCCGAAATAAGGGATGCTGTGAAGTTATAAGTCCACAAACTCCTGACCACGATGAAACAGAATTCCCACTCTTGGACCTTGGCCTTCGTTTCAAGGAGCATTTCCGTTGTTGACCTAATTTGGGGATGGCTGGCGCTCCGTCTAGAGCTCAAATGGTGCTCCGGAGGGCTACACTCCGTCCACTGGTCCCGGGACGACACCCCAGAGCATCCGATTATGCTACCCCAGAATAAGAGAACATTGAGCCTGAAAATAATTTCTCTAGCGAACCAATCATGCTATTCTTGCGGAAATCATGAGAACGGAATCCTCGCTATATTGCGCGGCCGAAGTGACGAGAAGAGCCTTGAGTGACATCCCTCCGGCGCGGAGGCTCGTCGCTTGATTGCTCTATCATATCCGCCAAAGAGCTGGAAACATTTGATCACATTAAACAGAGAGGCGATTTAAGTAATGAAACACGGTTGGATACGACCAAGGAAGTCAAATCCTCAGGTATTACTGGCTACTGGCATGTTGGAAAATATTCGAACTGAGCGGATTCTTAGGCAGTTGGATCTGCAGTTGCAACTTGCGCTAGGCGGGTAAGTAGCGAAGATCATCAATTTTCATAAAACGCTACTGGCATTCGGGCCGTAAGTTACATGCTGCGTATCCCCACCCCAACTCGTATGATGGTTTGCTTGAGGAGTATGTGAAACTGTGTCTCTCCTACATGAAGTCGGGCTGAGGCAGGCTCATGGCTGGTCCAGACGGCATCGTCGACGGTGTTATCCATCCTAGCGAACTGCTAATACCTATACCTCTCATTTTAACTCATGTCTAGGGGGAAAATATCTCCCAGTGACCACCGCTCCGCATGTCACTGCCACGTACTGTGACATGGGGGCACGCTAGTGGTATTATGCACGAATCATTTGTCTGCCTGTTGCGCGAATGTGCTATGTAAGTTGAGAGACGTGTTTGCTGAGGCCACCTAGAGGTCAAGTCTCGACTGGTAGCTTGTCATAATGGGCCGCTCGGTGAACAAATTGTTGATAATAAGCGCCTACTTAAATACCACGTCCTAACTGCGCCTATGTAGATGATGTGAACCAAAGCCCAGTTATTGTATAAACGCACGACTTCAAGAGGTTGTTAGCTCACCATATATACATAGAATGTGGCGCTCTGGGTAGTTGAAGCAGGATGCCACCACGATTACCTTAGCTTAAGATATATAGTAGTGAAAGAGTCCGGCAACTACAAGAAGACTGCACCAACGAACTTTGGCCAGTGAACCGGAACTGCCAACTCCTTGGAAAGAGAGCTATTATCAAAATTCATATTATAAGACACATACCCTGGCTGGTTTATTTTTATTTACCTTGCAGTATTCGGCCTGCGAGTACTGTTTTGTTTGAGCTGGATGTCCGTGAGACTCGGACCTGGGGAGAGATCTTTAGTATAGGCGCATATGAATGGTGCGTTGTCTTACTGAGGTTGGCTGAGCTTAACTCAAGGATGCATGCCATAGATGTTGATTTTTGGCACAAGGCTCTCAACCCTGATTGTTTGCCTCGGCTTCCCTCGACCCCATATATAATCCGCCATAAAAATGATAAGTCTTTATCTAGTACTGCATGAAAGTGACACTTCTTATGCTAGCATTTCCTAAGCAGGCACGTTAGGCACCGTCTAACTTACTTACTGTGGAGTTGGTAGGTTCAATTATTAAAACCGCTGCTGAGTTCACTGATCTCTTTGCCTAAATTCAATCATAGCATGCCCTTCGTTGAGCATTAAGAATGAGGCAAGCTTTGAAAGACAACCGGTGGCGCTGACGCAACAGAAATGCCCATTATGTGTCTACCCGACGAAATTTTGACCGTGATAGTTGAACTTGCCGGAATTCGTCGGTACACAACAACGCCCTGGCTAGACGAGGTGAATGTTGGGCCTATTTCTCGGGCGTGCCGTCGAATCTGTCAACTTGCAATGCCGATCCAAAATCGCTCCCTCATGCTGGACCGAGGACCAAGCAATAAGCGCATCCTCGTACCCCCGTGCCTAGCTATGCAGGCTCTTCATCGTTCACTCCGCGGCAGCCCAGTACTTGGGGAATATTATCATGAATTTGGGTTTCACTTCCATCGCTACCAGTTGCCGGATACATATAAGATCGCTTCCGCAGGTGTTTCTGTTCTCACAGGCCTTGCAGCTTCCTTTCCTCGCGCTCAGTTTTGAGAGCCGAGGTCGACTCGCTGGAGGACCCAGACGCACGGCATTTCTGGGACATCATTCAACTTTGTATGCAAAGCATGCATTGCCTTCATGCATTACATCTGATAGGGGATCGTGTGCATGGGATGGACCTTCGCGAAAAGATGAACAGCGTCCTCAACCATCAATCCGAACCCTAAATGTCCGAGGAGTCCGTGTGGATTCGAGCCTTGATGATTCCTTTTGGAAATCATATGTATGTGTCCCATCTGAACTATCGGTGCTAGTTGTATTGACATTGTGAAAGAAACCACATCCTTCAAAAGTTACCAAGATGACACTGAGCCAGTTCAACGCAGGAGTTCAAGCTACATCTAGTTTCCTGAACTGGCCTGAGGGGCTCATCAAATTATCCTGTGATTACTATTAATCTTCACCTCTAGCGGGGCTGGATTTGGAAAAAAATCGGAACTATTCTAGAAAAGCACAAGGACACATTGACCAGGCTAGACATTGGTTCGATTTAAAGAGAAGGACGAGGGAAAATCTTCGATCTATCCGAAGTTACTGCTCTGAAAGAATTACGGCTGTCGGCTTGGCAACTCGGCTTAGAGGGAGACGACGACTTTTCATTCCGGAATGAGTATAAACTTTTGCTGTCTCCAAGACTTGAGAAATTCAGTTTTGTGTTGAATTTCCTGGGTCAATGGAGAGAAACTTGGCTTAATTTCGCCAATCCGGAGCAGAGCTGGCTATGGAAATTTTCGGATGCAGCGATTGCCAAAAGGATACCACTCGCGGAAATTGAAATCACTTACGGGGCGGCCACCCATCATTTGAGAAGAGATGATGGCTATCCCTGGGATCTTATGGACTCTCTGAGGCATGACCTACAGCCGAAGGGGATTGTCTTAACTCACCCTGAGCCATCATTCTCTCGCGAGGAGTATTTGGAATGGTCTAAAAGCTATGGCCGTGGACGCCCCAGGAAGGCTGATTCCCAAATAGCGAACGAGGAATAAATGTACTTTAAGCAATAAATAGGTGGTTGAGTAGCCAGACGTCGTCGTTCGATATCACAATCCCATTTCTATCACTTAAACATGCCCTGATTGCGGGGACCGAGCATAAGAATTGCCACCTCTCCTACCATCAAGTTGGTTTCCTTATCTAGTCCTTCTTCTGACAGCCCGACTAGACGACGCCTTCTGGGATAATAAGATTGTTTGAGGTGATAGTTAGGCTGACGTCACTCAAAGAACATGAAGCCAGCATCAGGTCCGAGCGAAAAGTGGATCCGGAGTTCCGTGGAGTTTTGCCTGCGGAGTTTGTTTCTGGACACCGAAGTTGCCATTCGTCAGTCCCACCGCCATCTCTCCCTTTCCTCTTCGCCGGGCGACAGACGTTGGGCCTCGCATAGAACTATTGGATATTTCCCGAGAGAGAAGCCCGTTGCATTGTATCTGTGCCGAAGCCCCGGTCTGCTGTTACTTGGCTACGCGCTTGTCTACGCGGAATGGATCCTCTGCCCTCGGGCCGTCGTAAAGGTACGTCCATGACGCTGGAGATGTCCATGGTAGAATGCCGAAATGGGTCGATAGCACCACTTGATACACTGACATCAACCGCCAATAGCATGTGACTTGTGCACAATTAAGCGTATTCGCTGTGATGGGCTGAAACCCCTGTGCACCAATTGCAGTCTCTACGGGACAGAGTGCAAGATGACCCCCCTGAACAAACCACAATCCACCTCGCGAGCGTCTGAGTCGAACAACAAAAAGAAGAGAAAGCAATCCAATGACAAGTATGTTTGTTAAACGCGAAGCATAGCACTGTTGTCTAATTGATGGACTAGAGAGGGACACCTTGAGCAGTTGGAAGCTCGCCTGGCACGGATTGAATCTCTCACACGAAACCTTAGTGGGGACTCATCATCTGGACAACCCCAACGGAATCATATCAATCCATCCATTGGTGATGGAAACTACATGACACCGGGGAGTAACGGTTCGATTAATGGCACTGGTGCAGTAGTCGAGACTGATTCCTCGCCGCACAATTCGTCACACACGTCTTGCAATAATGCGTCCCAATTGCAGCTACCGTCCCTAGAAACCATGATGCCTACGTTGGAGTTGTATTTTAGGCATTACAATTCTGCTATTCCCCTGTTCGATGAAAAGGAGTTCATGCGGATGGTTCACGGATGGAGCTATCTACGCTCGCCTGCTGAGTGGGCTGCCATCAATGTCGTCCTTGCCCTCGGCTACCGCGTGATCGAGAGCCGGCCGATGGAATGCCCAGAAGTGGCCATATGTTTCGCAAATATTCGGTCCATACTTATGGAGATGATGATGCGAACGGAGGACTTCTTAGGGTTGCAAGTTCTGTTGGGCACGGTGCTCCTTTATCAAGGAACCTCTCGGTCCCTACAACACAAGGACACCCCTATGCTGATGGGCGCTGCGGCAAGGTTGGTGGAAATTCTGCGATTGAACTCGAGGTCGGAAACGAAAGGCGCTCCTCACACAGTCGCCTTGCACCGTAGTAGGCTGTTTTGGATAGCCTACATCCTTGACAAGGTAGGAGAATAAGTGTTTTCTCTTCACCTGATTTAAATACTCACTGCTTGTAAATCATAGGACTCTGCGGCTCATTTCGGCGTTTCTCCAATACTACTTGATTCTGGAACAGATCATGTTCCCCCATCTCCGAATCCCAGCGATGGAGTTGGCAATATCACTACCTTAGATGGCACTACGTCGTTGAACTTTCTTCATCATCGTGTGCAGCTTGCGCACATTGAGGCGCTAGCATACGATTGGTTGTTAAGTTCAAAGTCGAGTAATGCAAGCGACAAAGACAGAACAAACAGAACCGACACGTTGCGATCCATGCTTTGCCATTGGTTCGGGGCGATACCAAGTAATATGATGTCAGGCTTAGCCCAGGGAGCGCTGTGTGTGCACTCTACTCAGCATCTAAAATCACTGTTGAATGTACACCAATGGTGCGTTCTTCTTATCTTTAGGCTTCATAAGGAGAACAGTTCAATGATTGCAAGACTGAGAGGCATAATCCCTCATTTCCCCCAAATGAGTACTGAACACTTGAACTCCATTTCTGACCATAGGAATTCCCTCCCTTCAGGATGGGACGAGTGTTTGGAGTACAGTCGGAATGCACTCCATCTGTCTACACTCATCGGACAATCTGACTACTATCTCTGGTATGTCTATAATTCTCTCACTTTTCCATCCCCATAACAATTTTCATGACTTCCAGTAAGCTGACTGTTCTCAAGGCATGATTCGTGCTCCCTATTTGCTGCAGGTTTGATTTTGCTTGTCAATGCTGCGGAATATCCAGACAGCGAAACTGCCAATGACGACCAATGGTTGGTCGATAAAAGCCTAGATTTGTACGAAAGATTGATCAAATTTGGGCCCTGGGAGAAGGACGCTCTTCACGCCGATTTTCACAACTTAAAAGCACGCGCTAAACAGGCCGTGACCAAATCAAATGAGGAAAGGATGGCACTTGCAATGGAGAGCTTCCTCGATGATTCCATACCACCTGGTCGATTATGGACCATGAGTGAAACGGAATGGGGAACTGACAATCAAGAATCCACTGTAAGTCTATTTGGCCTGACTGGCCCTATCGTGAAAGCATATGGATGCTGACTCCCTTGCTAGCTACCTACAAGGACAGGCCACGAGCCAGAAATTGATCCCGTCATGTTCCCTAACCTCATAATAGATGGCTGGAGGTAGAGCGCTTTAAGAATCTTCGCCGACACGCATACGATTTCAAGCATCAGTCTTCTTTTGGAGGCTGCCATAGAATTCCTTGACATCACTGGCGTATAGAGCCGTCTGGCTGAGGGCAGGGAAATGACCTCCATACTCGTACCTTTTGAAGAAGACCACTGTTGCCATTCTCTCGCACCAATCTCGTGGCTATTGATTTTCTATATTAGCAAACCTCTTGTGATAATACATGTTATTGAAGGAGTAGATCCAACTTACAGCCAGAGGATACTTAGCAAGCTCGGGGAATGGTCCATTGATGTTTCCCCACTGGGTCACGCCTGTGGGAACATCTGTCTTTGAAAATGCCCAGTTCTCAGGCTATACGCGGCAACTTGTTATCAGTCTCTTGTTCTAGGTGTACTAAAATAGCAAAGAAATTCATACCTTGAAAACCTCCAGATAGGCTCGGATGGAGGTGTATGGTTCCTGAATCCACAACAGGAACGAATCCGTGATGATGTCGTCGAGGGAATAAGCATAGCCGTCACTGGCGACGTGCTTGAGGTCCCATATCCACCCCGCGAAGCCAACCGGGCTGTCCGCGAAGGAGTGCGACAGCGCCAGCGGCTTCTGGGCATGGATTGTCGAGTACGCGAAGTGGTTGTTGCTCCATTCGTTCATCACAGCGAGGTATTCGTTCTCCTCTGCCGTTGTCTCATTCTTGGCAAAGCGCTCGAGATCCGCAGGCGTGGGGTTCGAGAGGAGGAAATCGCAGAAATGGCCGATGATGCTGGTTTGGACATCGGTTACCATCCATTCCCCCACCATGGCCCCCAAGTCGTTTGTCACCAAGCCATACTTTTCGTAACCGAGCTGCTTCATCATTGCGTCGAAGGCGATGCCCATCTCCCGAGGTCCCAAGCCTGGCTTGGTTGGCGCTGGGCTAAATCCGTAACCAGGCAGATCAGGTGCAATGATGTGGAATGAATCAGTAAGAGGTTCGATGAGTTCCACCCATTCAAGATGAGTAGACGTCCACCCATGTAGGAACAGAAGAGGAACGGCGCTGTCGTTGGCAGACTTGTGGTGAATGAAGTGGAGAGGGATCGGGTCGGCATAGTCTCTGTTGCCAGGGACAGTCGTCGTGAAGTGGTTATACTTGCTGTTGATTCGCTCTTCTACAGCTGACCAGTCGTAGGAGTCCGCCCAGTGCTTGGCGAGGCTGGCCATGGACTCAGCAGGAGCTCCTTCATTTGACCATTCGGAATAAAGACCATGAGAAACACGGTAGGTAGCCGCCCTGTCCTTTGCGAGCTGGACGAGGTCACTGTCGACTTTAATTTCGAAAGGCACAGGAGAGGTGATATTTGGGAAATTGAATCGAAGATTGGTTGCGGCCATGGCTGAAATGATAAGGTTCTGTCCGAGCATGACAGAATATGGCGGTGGTGAAGATATGTCAGTGTCGTGGAGAGGTCGGAATGATGAGAGGTGTTCAATCAATTACTATCTGAGATTATTTAAAAGGTATTTATATTATTTCTTAACGGGGTTTACGGATTTTCGAGACAGTCATTATCTCTTTCACACCGTACAAGAGGCGTCGCCGTTCTTACCACGGAACACCACGGAACTCCGGACGAGCTGACTGCATGACTTCCTAAGCTACGATCACCCAGCTTCAAGCGGACTCCGAATTGAAACTCCGCTGGAGTGAAAAGTATTTCGTCGGAGTTCATGGGTTGAAATACCTGCTGAAAGATACATTTTTACTATTCTATCATGTGAACTGTCACTAAAGCTCAACCGCCTACAATGTCTCACAGCCAAATACTACAGTTGTTTCCCATATTAAACTACCATGATGATCGGCTCAATTTAGTTCTGATTAAAATCGAATATACTGAGATATTGTCCAATCATTCAAGCCTTGTCCACAGGATATACAGTCCCTCCCTGGCGCCTGATCTCGTCCATAATCTCCAGGACCCGGATGGTCTCGCTCCAGGGCATAATAGCGCTCTCCTTCTTTCCTGCTGCCAGGTCCAAAGCAGTGTTATCAGCTTCGTAGATGAAGCCCTGCTGTGGCCGCACGAAGTCATACTTCTTGCCCTCCGGCTTCTCATCTCCAGTCCACTTGGGGTATACGGTGAATGAGTGTGGATGAGATGGCGCCTGTCCCTCCACCTCGATGAAACCATTTGTGCCGTCAATTGTAGCGACGATCTTCTTTGATCCACTTCTCTTCTCAGTAGTAGAGGTTATAATGCCTTGACGACCGCTCTCAGGATAATGCAGAATGGCACTTGTAGTGACCTCAACGCCCTCAACAAATGATTGGGCGGCCAAAATCTTGGGTTTAGGACGAGGAGCAGGGGCATCTGGCTCCAGAGTCAAGATGTTCCATGTGAGGGGGTAAATACCAATATCTAGCAATGATCCAGCTCCAAGGTCGAGGTTTCTGAGGCGTGAGGTCGAGGGGAGATTCGCCATGTCGACATACATCTGGAAGTCGGAAGTTGTTCTGAACACCTCGCCAATTGTCTTGTCCTCATATAGGATCTTTCTCAGTTCAGCCACCATAGGTCGATGTCGAAGCCACATGGCCTCGGCGACATAAACGCCCTTCTTCTTCGCCGCGTCGAAGACCTCCCTCGCCTCTGCGGCATTGATCGCGAAAGCCTTTTCACACAGCACATTTTTGCCCGCCGCAATAGCCTCCAGACAGTCGCGCTTGTGGAAACCGTGCGGGCTGCCGATGTAAATACAGTCAACGTTGGGGTCATTGTACACCTCAGCGTAGCTCCCGTAGACGGCGGGTTTCTGGTTTGGAGCATCCTTGAGGTGTTTGGCGACGAAGTCATTGCCCTTCTCGACAGACGATGATCCGATGGCTTGGATAATGTGGTTGGCCTTGGCGTCCGAGCGAGGCATGGCCAGATCGGCCACAAACCATGACGAGATAAGGCCGGTGGCTGGAATGAATCGTGAGTCTCTGGGTGTGTGAACAGTGAGAGAACATTGGACTTACTTATGATGCCCCAGCGGCATGTTGGAATCGAGTCAGTAGCCATCTTGTGTGGACTTGGAGTGAAATCAACTGGTCTGCGGGGTTAAGAGTTGGTTGTTAGGAGTGAAGTCATAAAAAAAGGAGCCCAAAGTGGCCTGGTGTGAGGGGTGATGGATGAGGTCGACGGGCTCCACTATTTCTGTCTGCGATTACGGACCGAAACTCCAGCATTACGATGACGATCAGGCAGAGACACTCCATAGCTCGACGTGGAAACGGTGGGGTGCGTTTTTAGCAGCTATTGAGTGTAGCTAGGTCTCAATGGAGCCTCTTCCATCCTCAAGGACAATACAACGGTGGATTGTGCTGGCTAGCTGATCTTGGACAAACATGCTTCAATATATTAGTTTTGGTCTGGGTTAAATATAAACATGCCCCGGATTATTGAGATTCCTTGAGTTATACTCCAAGAAATATCCCTCTACGAAGACGTGATGCTGAAACTGAAATAATTTGCCTGTAGCTCGGCAGAGAGGGTGAACATAGTACTGAGAGATTGGGCTAGAATGGCCACTAGACTTGTGTCAGCGATTCAAAATAGTTGCAGTCCAACATAACATATGATTGTAGTCCTTGCTTTGGCTATGCTGATGAATCTGGGCGCTGTCCCTTTTATTACCGATCAAGCTCGGCTTGAAGCCAATATTACAAGTAGAATTTGAGTCACTTCAATGTTCCGTGCGCTGAACGCACCGAAATGCCTCGGAACCGAGATCTGACCACCGGAGAGCGGATAAATAGACACCTCACAATTTGGCTTGCCCTCGGAAACATTTGTAATATCGAAATGCTTTGAGGTAAGCAGAGAATAGACAATAAATTACGGCGGTTACCACAACTTCGAAACGCCTATACAGTACAATGATTCTAAACAACGTTAACTGACTCGTCCTTATCATCCCTTAACTCCAAAATGCTTCCACTACGTTTCATTCTGTTCGCACAAATTGCTTCCCGGGCTATGGCCTCTTTCAAAGGCTCATACCAGGAGAGTGACAACATCAAACAATACCATCACCGCACCATCGCCGGCGTACAGGTCATTGATACTCCCCTCGTCCGTGCCGCTCAACAGCTGGCTCTAAAACATAGTACCGATTGGGCCTACAAGCACATCATGCGGTCGTGGCTGTTTGGTACGCTTATTATCGACCATAATGCCACTCTACGCGAATCCGCCGACCTTGAGGTCCACGCCATAGCCGCACTGATGCATGACATTGGCTGGGACCCAACACCCAACTCGCCGTTTGTCAGCAGTGACAAGCGGTTTGAGGTGGATGGCGCAATAGCGGCCAGAGAACTTATTCGCAGCAGCAACGTCAGCACTCAGTGGGACGATCACCGTGTTCAGCTTGTCTGGGATGCGATTGCCCTCCACGCCACGCCCAGCATCCATGCTTATAAAGAACTTGAAGTGGCCATTACTGCAACTGGAATAAGTGCCGATGCCGTCGGGCCAATTCTTGGAATTACGAAAGATCAGTATGATGCTGTTGTGAAGGAGTTTCCTAACTTCGACTTGGTGGACGGTGCCAACAAGACCATGATATGGCTCTGCCGGACAAAGCCTCGCACAACGATTGGTATGTCCCTATGATTAAAAATCTAACATTCAAATGGTTCAACTTACTCTTGCTCCTCTGAACAGACACCTGGGTCCAGCCGTGGGGTGAATACTTTGTGCCTAATTACACTACAAAAGGGTTTAGAACTATCGACCAAGCTCTGGGAGGCAATGTTCCTGATGCTTAAAATAGCCCCATCCTGCATGTTTCTTATGCTATTGACTACGGTTTTATTATAAAGTCGTACATTATTTGGGAAAGATGGAATCGAAAATCTCAACTCTAGTTGCAAAAATTCGAGTATTTCCTTTGTTTCTTAGCGTAATTAAACCTTTAGTATTAAACCTTGTAGACAGCCGGGTATAAGCTTTATAGCTGGGTAAAAAACTGAAGTTTAATATATTTAGAAACTAGTTTTGTAGACATCCGCATCAATTTGAATAGTCACAAGAGGTCGACGAAGGTGATCCAAAATACCTGAGCTCTAGGGTAGCTAAATTCAGCGGCAGCAAAGAGAAGCCAGACGAACTTGTACGTACCTGTTTCAGCTGGACATAAGCTGACAGCATAGGAAACTTCGGCCGAGGGAGAGCGGCTCTGAAATTCTGTATAGGTAGTTTGCAGATGTCAATTCAGCTTTGCTTTCAGCATCCACAATGGGAAGACATTAAAGAGTTGTTCGATTCGCTTGACTTGACTTCATGCTCTAGGAGGTCGTCAATTCAACATAACGGCACTGACTAATGAACCCCAGCCTGATTAGCCCCATTCATATAAATTAATAGAGGGGTTGCCCAGCCCCGGTTGCCCCGGCGCCTTGCGAGTCTCGCTTTCTTGCCTCATACCTACATACGCAGCCCTGCACATCTAGTCGCAATGCCGGGCGTTGCCAAATCCACAGCCTGTGCCAACTGCAAGAGAAAAAGAATCAAGGTAAGCCGCTGCAGGGAAGTGAGCCGATTAATCGGGCGGCAGATGGGTACCTAGGTAGTTAGCTGACTTGCGACAAAGTGTGACCAAAAATGGCCAACATGTGCTCCGTGTCGCCGAAGCGCTCTGGTGTGTCCCGGCCCATCGTCGACGCTCAAGTTTATTCAACATCTGGCTCCTCCCGCTGATGGCACGCCTGCTGGGAAGCGGAAAGCGCCTGTGAGCTCCAAGGCCGCGCACCCATTCGCGGTGATGGTGGATCGCGGCCATTTGAGCCCATACAACAACGGCGATGCTCTCCACGGCAGTTTCCGGCTCCAGGTTCCTCGCTTTAAGTCTACCACAACAGCAGATCGGGTTACATCCCAGCTTGTCCATCTCCTGGAAATCAAGGAACGCACCGGGCTTGAGCTTCCACCGTACCTGAAATTCGTACCAGAGAGGCTATCGCACAGCGCTTGTCTGGCTGACTCTATTGCCCTACTCTACTTGACTTGGCAGCAAGCGAGTCGCGGCCAGTCACAAGCCAAAGTGCTCGAGTCTAGAATTTATGGAAAGGCTTTGAAAAGCTTACAGCGCGCTGTGAACAGTCAGGCGGTTTACACGGTTGAAACACTGGCTGCCATGGTGATATTGCTGGGCCTTACTGTCCATTACAAACCATTCACACTCATTGACTACAGACCGCACACGGTTGCGATTCGACATGTTATGAGGCAGATGGGTGCACCGCAGATACAGAGCAGCCTGCACATTGGCTTGATACAGAGTACTGAAGGCCTTATTGTGAGTTCTAGATGAATTCCCTTCGAATTTTCCTCAGAATCATTGGTCTCAGCGTTTTTGGTTGGTTGGTTTTGAGCTAATTACCAAAATGAAAACAGGGCGGCCACTTCGAGTCACCATGGAGAGAAACAAATGAGATATTGCAATCACTATCCGGGGACAACGAGCGCCGAGAAGGCGAGAAAGAGGTCGAGGCATTTGCAAGGACGTTGCTCGAGGACATTATGACCATATTTCGCCCATATCTGACCAATACCCTTCCCACAGTACTCAAAATCCGGAAGGATCCCATCGCGATGAGAGACTCACATGAGTCTGTACTTCAAGACATCTTGGATGTAAGGGGACTAGTTGAAGCCGCCCGAAAGGACCTGTGGGAAGTTTGTTCATCTCCTGGATTCATGGCTGAACTCCCTGAGCCGAACTTCTTCCTTGGTCACAAAGTCGTGTTCACTTCATCCACGATAGCAAATTATGTGTTATCGCTTACCATGATAAATATCAGTGTGCTCGCAGTTCTCTACGACGTACAAAAACTATATGGAACTGTGAACGAGCCCGCACGTGCTGAATATCAGAGCCTCTGTCTCAAAATGTGGAAGTGTTTGCCATATCTTGAGACCCTGGACGCTGCTACCTCTACTCGTCTTCTCAAATCCGTCGCATCGGTTTTTGAGCATGCGACTGACGAGGATATTAGTAGTATACTCAAGACCAACTTGGAATGGTCTAACCTGGGGGCTAAGAGTAAAAGCGATAAGGAAGGTTTCAGAGCAGAGGTGACAAGGATATCTAATCTATGGTATTCTCGAGGTTCTGGGGAACAGGAGGTCCAGTATTCAATACGACCTGCCGATAAATCTTAGGGCTCGCAAAGCAATCTCACCAAACCCAGCTGTTTTGTATGTCTCCCACTCGTGAGAGGGAGGAGTTGATCATAACTCATGTATTTGGATCCGCCAAAGTCATTGTTTCTCAAATGATTGGCAGCTGGTCAAAGAACGTCAAGAATGTTCGGCTGAGATTTGGTTTCACCATTGTCCGATACAGTGTACATGTAGGTATGTGGAATAAGCGAGACCACGAATCGGTGGATTTAACAAGGTCGCTTCCTTCTGCAGCGATCTCAACGAATGTCATGCTCTTCCATGCAGACCGACACACCATCGGTATGCTCAATGAAGGCAATGCCGGCGTTCAAAGTGATTGCAACGGGCAAAGCATCTGCATCATGACCATTTTTTATATCCAAAAAACAAAAACAAAAAAAAAAACGGATAGATTAGCTTGAAGAAATCGTAAGGGTCAAGGGTATGGACATTCTGTTGACCGGGTCCAATGACTTGTTAATCGAGGCGGGCGTGCCAGGCGATTTTACACCCGCGACCTACCGCCGAGGGCTTGGAAAGACCAGTGTTGCCTTCACGCAGTACGGTAAGTTTATGGGCTTTGGTTGTTATCTACAACTTGCTTTGGATTCAAGATCAGGCCACGGTGCGTGTTCTCCTGTATCAAATTATCTGCCCTCGGATGATTTGGTTCGTGAATTCTCCCACGATAACAAAGAGGAGCAGAGAGTAGAAAAAAACACGTCCATAGGTATTATGTGAACGAAAAATGGTTGGTTGCTTCTTCAAACAAAAGTGATTGGTATCACTTGATAGCTGCAGCTCTGCCTGTCATGTGTCAGCAGGAAGGATGAGGGGTTGAGGCTCGATTCCACCAGGGACCCCCGAAAAGTACTCAAACTCCTACAACGCCGTCATCTAATCCTTAGAGCATTTAACCTTAAACGACTATGGCCGACTTAGACTGCCCGAACGGTTTGTGGGACGAACATTTAGGCACCGCTATCGACGTGCAAGAGTTCAAAGATTGCAGCCGCACCAACGAATGCGCTTATTGTGGCATGCTCTTGGATATCATCACCCACACCAAGCCGTCATGGCTAGCCAACGAGTCTAGCACTCGCGATCTCTCCATTGCAATCAAACCCCGCGAGCGTTGGGTGTTCAATACAAACTTGTCTTTGCCAAACTCCAAGGGATCCGGATCGATTCGACTGCTCGAAGATGGACAGCAAATTGATTCGGTGCAGCTGTTTAAACCCATCACAGGTGAGCCCCGCAGCGCATCTCAATCACTCAGGGACGTGTAAGAAATGCTTATGAAATACAATAGATGTTCAGAAGCTGTCTCTCATAAGCTGGGATAGGTATGAGAAACTCTTATTCGGCGAGAGTCTCAACATCGCGCCATCGTCCGATTCGACCATTGCCTTTGAACGTGCCTCGCATTGGCTCAAGGACTGCGCTGAGAATCATTCTTGTTATAACGATGCTCAGCGCAGTTTCCTACCCAGCAGGATGCTGAAATTAGAGAAATCTGAAACCGCCTCCTCCGTACAGCTCGTTGAGCGTTCAGCTGTTTCAGCGTCGCCATACGCGGCACTGAGCTACTGTTGGGGAAAGGACACAAGTGGTGTTCTTATCACTACAAAGGCTAATTATTCCTCCCATCTCAAAGGGATTCTTGTGGCTTCCTTACCGAAGACTGTGCAAGATGCCATCACGGTCTGCCGTCGGCTGGGGATTTATCTGCTCTGGGTGGACGCGTTGTGTATTGTCCAGGACGATGGCGACGACTGGCGCCGTGAAGCAGAGAAGATGATTGACGTGTACTTCAATTCATTCCTCACTATATCAGCCAACGAGCCCAATTCTTGTAAGCTGGGGTTTCTTGGCCCGCAGAGATTTGGCTCCTCGGAATGGCAGCGATCTGTCCCGGTTCAAGTACCACCAGGAGTAGGCGGACCTTCTAGTCATCTTCTATTCCGCGACAGCCAGATGGAGCGCCCAAAGCTTTTCTCTTTAGATTCCAGAGGGTGGTGTCTTCAAGAAAGCGTAATGCCACGTCGCAGACTTGTATTTGATGGCTGCGAGTTATCCTGGAATTGCATGGAGAAAATGTTTTGCGAGTGTGGCCACCTCGACGAAGAAGCTTGCGGTATCTATCCCCTTCTCAGAACGGGTAAACACGCCGATGAGGAAGATGACGATGAGGAACTGAGCACTTATGCTAAGCTACACTTGGAATGGATGGACTTCGTCGAGCAGTACTCTCAAAGAGCTTTGACAAAGTCAAGTGACAAGCTGATTGCCATCTCAGGTGTCGTTCGGCTCTTTGAGACGAGATTTGCTAACGCCAAGAGCAAGGAAACAGAAAAGGACAAGCAAATCTTAGGCTTGCTCCGAAACCTAGTCATCAAAGGCTCCTACATGCCTCCTGGAACCAGTGATGGTTACTTCAGCGGCTTGTGGGGAGATTGTTTCATCCCGAACCTTACCTGGACTGTCGATCATACTCAGTTAGAGAAGAGCGGCAGGATGGAACATAAGAAGATCGATGAATCCTTAGGCCCGTCATGGTCTTGGGCCTCTATTGATGGACCGGTAACGTTTCGGCACATGGAGATATCGATAGGAGTCTGGAGGGAACGTATGAATCCCGAGCTGACGTTTGACGCTATAGTTCACGAGGTGGGCTGTAAGCCTATAGTGACTGACAAGCTAAACGGCAACGCGATTGAATCTTCGTTTCTTCGAATTTCAGGACCACTCGTTCCTGTAGAACTAGCAGTTCTTCACCTAGGAGACGCCGTTGGTGCACCTCAGTACTTTTGGTACAGGAGGATGGCAGGGCAAGGGGATGGGCCTATTCCATGCAGACGACAATGCTTCGCCCGCACCCCGAGATTACAATCTTGGAGAGTATTTCTGGATGTCGAGAGGTTGCCCACGATTGAAAAAGGAAGTCCCCTCGTGGACTGTTGGAGCCATCCTCGTCACGATGATGCAAATGATTGCGGGTGCTCATTCAACTTTGAGACGGAATACGTTTGCCTTCGACTCATGACCTATAAGGCAAACGATGGTTACAGAACCAATAATGTTCCCAGCATTGTTTTGTTTTTGGTTTTGAAGCGTGTTCCCGGCTCTACGCAGTCTTATCAGCGAATCGGTCTGGGGCTTTGGAACAAGGATGAGGGCGTACAAGAAGCGCCGATGAACGGGGGCGACTATGACATGTTCGTGGAGGCATCCTGCCAAGAGGTGATTGTCATCTAGTCGAGGCGTCTCAGGCTAGGCGTATAAGGGATGGGAGGGAAGAATCAAAATTTGCTTTATAAAAATCATGTATTGAATGATATACTCATTCTCTAATGTTAAACTACCTGCGTCCCGTACCGATTTTATAGCAAGCAAACGCGGCAACAGCCAACAACACGCCGCTCAGATACAGATCTCCATCAGCCCCAAGTGTCTTCGCAACTAAGTCTTCATTTTTCCTCGTGTCACGCGGTATCAAGTCGAAAGTTGTCGCAATGGCGGACCATCCTGCCGCTGCTGGAGCGGTCAACGTATCGGCCATCCCAAAACAATGCTCGAACGGAAGGCCCGTGGCCAATGACAGAGCAGATGTGAGGCCGAGAGAGTAGAATTCCATGAGTCGATGGCGACGTCCAGACCCGAAGCACGGTAGTGTCAAGAGGATGAATCTGTATATCGCGTGCGCAAATATCCAGGACTTGCTGACGGCTGTAAAGACGAACAGATTGTCGTGGAGACGGACGGTCTTGAAGCCAACTCGATACCCTTGTTGAACGACCCAGATGAAGAGGGCAAGGCACGCCACCTTGCTACACAGTCCCCGAAGGGTGCCGCCTGGGGGGGTTCCCAGCATCATAACAATATTCCCGTACACGGCAAAGTTGATGTAGGCCGTAAAGGTAGAAAGGTGCCTGATCTTGAAAGATCGGCCCATGGTTTGATATGCAAGCACAGATCCTAGGCCAAGGGGAAGGAGAGCGACCACCTTAATCATCTGCACAGTAGTTGAAGTCTTGTCGAAGAGTGCTATTGCCGTGCTTGCTCCGAGAACGGCGAGTAATAGGAGCCTCGGGCTTCGGATAGCGCACACATAGGCGAAAGCGAGAATCAGAGTGAGCCATGAGTTGAATGGGATATCAATGAAAGGCTCAATGGCATTGGACAAACTTGCAATCGAGGACATTGCGTATTCTAGGCCCCGGAGTTTTGCTATGGGTCTGATTGGGCTGTCTTGCGGTGAGCGTAAGATTGAAGTTTTGAAATGTGGTCGCGTTCAAATGAAAATGCCGCGCTAACTGTAAAAGAACGATTACTCAGCTTATTGTTCATGCCGTTAGCTAGGCTCTCAGATAGGTATAATAAAATTATTTTGGATGTAATTCATCTTGCCTTTTGCTTGTTTGGTTTTTTATTAAATCCTTTTATTAAATCCTTTAATGTCTACTAAAGGCTTATAATTGCAACTACTCCTTCATCTTACAGAAGTTAAATAGTATTTCTACTCTACGTGCTTATATATATCTCATTACTATCTTCATGCGCTTAAGAATATCTGAAGCGGTGACTTTGAGCATGGTTAGCGGAATATACTTAATCAATCACCGTTAGAATCTTGTCTGGCGGCTTTCACTCTGACTACAACAATATTTAATGTTGTTGCTGATACTCGCGACCAGAAACTCAACTACAACTGCATAGTCGAAACATGGTATCCGATGTGGGCTACGTTCGGAAAAGATTCTTTCTTGGGGAGCGTATTCCATTGGGATATTCGAGATGGGGTGGTGAGTTTAGTTTCTTGATTCCCGGTGGACAGCAGATATAACAGTGCTTGGTACTGAAAGATGAATCACAAGAAGAATTGATATTAACTACCTTACTCAAGTCGTCACAGATTCCACCACACGTTTCAAACCCAGCAAAAGACAGCAAATCTGAAACTACCCCACCCTCGCATCGTAAGACGAGAAGCGGTGCTGGCGTGAGTATCGGCGTTTTAGTTAGGAATGGCGTCGATCTGAGAAGGCGTATAATGGTTGAGATCATCCTGCCATTGACGCAGGATTTCGTCCGTGGCCTTGTGGTTCGTGGTCTCATTGTTCGGATCAAAGACAATAAGGCCGCCATCAGTAATATCATAGATGACCTGGAAATCGCCCCAATACTTTTTATCCCACGAGGCCTTCATCTTGTCAAACGAGGTGCGCAGGTGCTGGAACTGGGTCTTATTAGGGTGGAAGGTATCCAAAACTTTCGCTTTAAGCCAGTTCTTCAGATCACCTGCGTTCTTGTTCATCTCCAGGTAGCGACCGGCAGGGTTCTGAGCGGTGCGCAAATCGAAATACTCCTCCGGGAAGCCGTACACCTTACCGGCGTCGCCACTCTCATAGTTTTCAAGCTCATAATTGATTAAAACGTCGCTCTCTTTAGTAGTGGCACTGAAGGGCTGAGGGACTGAGACGCCGTCATGGGCTAGGCGATTGAGGATGGAAATCTCGTCCTTGATGTCCTTCGCCCCTGTGGACGACCTGGGGTTGTGCTGTGTGCCGAGGACCCAATTGGTGGGCTGGGTGTTCTGAGAGACGCGGAACACCATCTTATTTGTCCCTGCGCCCAGGTACGAGAAGGAAAGGCCAGCGCTGACCTTAGGGTCGGTGCCCGGGGGGAAGGTTAGCGTCCATTTCTTTGTGCCGGCGATGAGGTCTAGAATCATCGGTTGCTTGACTCCTTCGAGAGCTTGCTTTATGACGGAGTACTGCATTTTGAAGGGCAGGTTTTGTAGGATTAAATGGATGATGATATTGAAGTGGTTGTGGTCTTGTGCATGGAAAGATTATTCCACATATCAGATATTGAGGTAGGCCATCGCCCCTTTATATTCGATTTCGTTGTGGGCTGACAGCTTGTAAAGGCGCAACCGAGCACACCATCTCAGTATGAGCTGAGGATCGCTCGGCGAATTGGATGCGAGAGCGACTCGTAGAAGTGAAACCTTGCGTCATAAATTTTAGAAATATGCCATTATCTGCTCGGCGGGCTCTAAATGGTGTTGCCATTCAAAAATGATATTCGCATATACGAGACGCTAGAACGTAGCTCATTGGCTTCACAGAATTTCTCGTTAGACTATAGCTGCAACTCTCAGCTCCAAAGTGTTGATGATCATCTACCGACTTAGTCGTTTGATGACTAGCGTGTGCCACCCCGTTAAGACAATTCGGGCAGTAAGCCAATAGGAATATGTCCGATGTCTTATTGCTACGGTGGTAGGTAAGATACTACAGAAATAAAAGCCCAACCAGACCACACGGACTCAAAAGGCCGAAAGTCTTATGTTTCGTCCAGTAAACGTTTCTGACTGCCCGAACATGAGACAAACAGCATATGCAGGTGTCACTCAAGAAGGCCCGTAAGCTCTCATGAAGTGCAGAGGTAGTCATATTGATTGGGTAGTTGCAGAGTAACTATAGGTCAGTATAACCTTGTAACCCTACAACAGGGAGGGGCCGCGCATGAGACAAACAACATGTGCAGGTGTTACCCAAGAAGGCCCGTAAAGTCTCATAAAGTACAGAAGTAGTCTTATTCATTGGATACTTGCAGAGTAACTATTGATCGGTATAGCCTAGTAACCCTACAACGGGAGGGCCGTGCATAATCACGAATCATCCGGTCCTATTATAAGACTGCACCACCATAATACTACAACGTAACCAGAAGGGATCTCCATAATTATCTTACGTAGATGTAGGAGCTGAATGCGGGGAGTTATCCTAATTAAGAAGCCCTTTTGAACCATAGTAAGACACTTAGGCTATTGGGATAGGTCTCTTTGATATGCGGTAAGAATCATCCACAATTCAGCTACGCCACCGTATGCATCCTATGTCACATCTGGCGGCTTGCGTGCCCCATTGTCTCCCTACCTCTGTATCACGGGTTGTCTGCCGACTGGACAAGTGCTAGTTCTCGGCATGTGTATCTTATCCGTGGATGACCATTTCCACCACTCAATAGCATCGAGATTAACTATCGTAGCTAGGTATTCACTGTTCACCGGCCCAAGGAGAGAACTAGATTATGTCGGCATTCATTCCTTAAAGTCTTCGAGTATATGAGCCTTGATATCTCCACTCTCTAACTTGGTTAGATCCTCAATAGTGTGCCAAAGCGTGGAGACCGACAACCACCAACGACCCCTCGGCAGCCACGTGTCTGTGCCTGAGGAGATTCCCGATGCTGTCACCACGTACGGCTGGGTAGCTCACTATTGTTATCGGCATATATCAACCTAATCGATCTGAATTCAGTCGGTAAAAGTCTTGCATTCTCCCATGAGAGTTCTGTCTTGTTCTTCCTTTAACTGGTCACCTAGATCGGCTGATTTCTAGGTTTAGTCTCTTGCATCTACTCGTTCAGTCGCCAATTATAGAGTTGTTCAACGCCGCGCCTCAATGCCACATGTTTCACCAGCCATATCGCCAAGCACCCATTGGGTGTCATTAGTAGACGCGCAATTGAAATTAATTATAGAAGTTATCCCACTCAACTCCACCAATGTGAATTTTGATAACGTGGTGGAGCGATTCCGCGCCCCCCGCTCGATCTCCCGGAATCCCTCCTTTTGTTCCGAAACTCCATGTCCGTTGTATCCCTTCCCCCCGCACCTCAGTCGCCTTTTCTAGACACTACTCATCACTCATCTCTCGACGTAGACACTCCTCTATCAACCTTTAAGGAGACGTTTAATCTTACCATGTCGATCATTGGACATTGCAATTGTGAGGCCGTGAGCGTGGAGCTGGAGGTTGGGGAGCAGAAACTTTCATCCATGACATGTTATTGGTAGGTCTGAAATGGTAGATGAATGATACAGGACCCATTCTTATTGACGAGCATAGCAAGAACTGCGCTCGAGCTGGTGCAGGTGAGTGAAGCCCTTTCCGTCACCCATCAACACCGCCTCGGTAACTGACGTACACTGTATGGCATAGGATACTCGATCAATTACATGGTTGACCAAGCCAATGTAACCATCAAAGACCCAACGGGAGCGCTTCAGACCTATGTAGATACCAAGACAACAAGCGGAAAGCCAATGGATGTAGGGTTCCCAGCTCCTTGATGTGTTGGAGCACCCGAAACTAATATGAGGATCAGCGTCTCTTCTGTGGCAAATGTGGAAGGTAAATAATCATTCCGCTGGCGCACATTTTCCCCCCCCGATATTGATGCTAGCTTAGTGCTGTTCTAAGTCAAACCACGGATGGTAAGAGTACTGGAAAAGTGTTTCTCAAAGCCACCCTCTTTGACGAACAAGCCGCTCCTTTCGTGGAACTATACACAGCTTCTCGAAGTGACTGGCAGCCTGCCGTCGCGGGAACGATTCAGAAGTAACCAGAGAGTTGAAACACCCCAGAAAATACCATTGGCTATATGGGATAAGGGTTGAGGCAATACGAAGCTTTAAATGAGATAGATGTAAGGTCGTTGGCGACGCAGACATGGTTATTGTTTTGGCCTACATACATTCTCGGGCATATTATGTTATTGGTCTAAAAGTATTTGGGACATGATATATGTATCACTTGCCTCTTCTTTTAAAGAAACGAATTCTCCTTACAAAGTATATATTGAACCTGTGCAAATACGATGCGCCACCCGTTAGGATGGCGTGAAGGTTAGGTAACGCAAGGGGTCTTCCCAGAAACTTGCTAGGGGATTGGTCCGATATCTCTCTGTGGCGCAATACGTAGAGAACAAGCTCATTTTCGCATGCAATTGGCTTTCTATTGCTAAATATGAAGCCGGGATCACTGCGCTTGGCTCTGGCTTCCTAGCCAAATAATAATAATAATAATAATAATAATAATAATAATAATAATAATAATAATAAATAGGGAGTTCTATAAAGCCTTGGAAGCATCAAGTAGAGTAATATCCGGAGTTAGAGACAAGAACTCGCACTCAAACCTTGAGGACAACTTTTTGGCATGCACGTTTGGGCTTTATTTCATCTGTTTGGGTGCATAAGAAGCTTCTGTGAACAACATACTTTTTCATGTTGCTAATAGTTATGTGTTCAATAATTCGATAAAACGCCAATGTGTACCCTTCCTATGAAATGATGGTCTAGGCCTCTGGACACATTCACTGCCACCCACGGCGGGCTATTGAGATAAAACCAATCCTAACACCAGTTTACCTAATGCTCCAATCCATATCGAGATCCAAATCCAAGCCTACCATAGAAACAGGTGATCATCCTCGATACTAGCCCCGTGGCCTCATACAGAAGGCGACATCATAGGATGAAGATGGTTGGCGGCACTCGGGCTTTGCCCATCAGGTCGTGCCTTGGCCTCTGACTCCATAGCCGCAATCTCCTCATCTGCAGCGTCCTGCCCTGGATTCGCAGTGTCGTATTCAAGTCTCTTCATGAGCGTATAGATACCGAACGAGAGTATGGCACCCATCGCCGGTCCAAGCCAATAGATCCAGTGGTATCCCGGAAACCCTGTGATGACCGCAGGTCCGAATGATCGAGCAGGGTTGACCGACGTGCCGGTGAATCTCGTCCCAGCAAGATGTGCGATGAAGACCGAGATACCGATGCCGACTGGGGCGAGGAAGGTAGCTCGATGCTTCTCGACGGCCAGGAAGTATACCGTCAACACCAACTGCGCAGTGAGGAACATTTCCAAGAACAATCCCTGGGCCACGCTCATATCGTGTCCCAGGCTGTTAGTTACTTGGAGGGGTCCGGGGAGGAGACCGTCCACGACTGCGGCTGCCGCGATTCCGGCGACGATTTGTGTAGGTATGATGCATGCTGCACTCGTCGGCGACACCGCGCGAACGAGGAGAAGCCCAAGTGTCACCTGAAACGCGTGAGTAAGTGATAATGGGAGTGTTTGTGGCGCTATACTGAGACGTGCTACTCACAGCTGGATTGAACATGCCTCCGGTGACACGATAGAAAACCCAAACATTAACAGCGAGGGAGCTCCCAAAGGAAGCTGCAATGTAGAGCAGAGTGGCAGGCTCAAGAGGAGCGCTAGGCTGAGTGGCATTGTTAGTCTCGAGAGCTGCCTGAGCGCCGATAAAAGCCAGCATAAGAAACATAAAGGTCCCGCAGAATTCGCCGATGATCACCACGAGGAGATTCCGGAGACCATCTGGGGTCCTGTGTTCTCGCTTGGGAACATCGGGGCGGCTAGTGTGCGAGTGCAAAGAGGAACGCGGGTTTGATGGTGTTGCCATGGTGGGCAATGTTATCCAGGAGACCGCTGGCCTCCCAAACTGGATGGGGATATAAATAGATTCTCCGCGAAGACTTGAGGAGAAGAGCCGCAAGATCGAGCGAAAGGGTGAGATGAGCAAGGGTTAGATGGGTAATAAGGGACCTGGTTCTTCGATGGCCTCGAAGCTAAGGATATATCCTGGGGCCGATCGAGAATGATGACGATGCCTCGCAGTGAGAGGGGGCATTGTGTTCCACGGGAACGCGACACAGGTTGATCAAAACATAGACTTGCAGAAAAGGACGCATGCATGACTGGATAGCACCTACCACAAGCCTCCATTGCCATCATTGTGCTGCAATCGGAAAGCACATGGCGTGATGGGTAACGTCGCCGGCTCTGTAGGAGATGGTGGGCGATCGTGCCGTTGCCTCATAGATCGACTGATGAGTGTCAGACAGGCCAACCCATGCCACCACCAACGGGAAGACTAGTGATGGGATGAACTCAACGTGGTGAATCATTTCCCTTCACATTCTAGCCGTAGTGCTTAGTCTTTTGTTCAGGCCGCTCGGGTTCGTGACTAGCGCACAGATGCGCATCTCGTGACGTCAATTAGTCCAGTAGCTGCAGCGGGATCTACTCGGATCCCCAGACAATCGATGAATACTGGTCGATTATACGTCGTGAATTGCGTGGCTTGGTGTTTTCCCTCCCTTCTGTCGTCGTGTGACGCTTTTGGTACTGAACATGGCGGCCCTACGACTCACGAGGGTGTGCTCATCAGCACGAAAAGCTGCTAATATGTCTTAGAAGCTACATTCAGCTTGCCCCCATTTACTGGATCGCATCTTACGCATCGAGAAAAGGCGGTGTCGGTTCAACGAAAGGGGCACGGATTGAGCTTAGTTTCTCATAGATGAGGCACAAAGAGTAGGGGGACAATGCTGATATCATAGTGCGTCTAGTCAATACGAGGCCAGGAACCGCATTCATTTCAGGTACGGATCTATATGTGCAGTAATATGTATCTCCTGTCACATACTCCCCTTTCCTACCTGCTACATGGGTGAAAAGTATAGGGAAATCTTCATCCAAAGGACATCATCGCTAAGTCTCGCAGGCTAAAGCGGCTATCGTCACCAACAAGTTGGATTACGGCTGAGGCGTGCAGTCAATCTATTCGGATGTCGAGGAGACAAATGCGGCATAAGTTATACTATTGTTGGAGCCTACATGACGAAATTTTTAGCTTTACTTAAGAGCTAACAAATGAATATATCTAGACCGAGAAAGGATTTTTGAGGGTATGTGAAAAGAGTGAGGAGTTTCGAGAAGCCAACCTTCATGTCGAATTAGGTGTGAGGGCCAGGCCTTCCTATACGACCTCTGGCCCAAGGATAGGTATGATACTCCCCGTGTGTAGCTTGTAAGTAAAATTGAGTCTAATCGATCAGTTACTCAAGGACAGACATTCAAATCCCAGGCAAAACCCAATCCTATATTTCAATCGAGGTGTCATCGCTCTCTTGTACGTGCTTGGCCCGTGCAAATGGCATTTCCAAAGAGCCAAGCTTTCGAATTCATTGTGTTGAGATGTCGGGTCTGGTATCTTTCATTGTTGTTTTTGACTTGGTACTCGAACTCTCTCGTCATGGCATTTTTGAAAACCACCAAATTAAACTGCCAGTCCACGGTACAAAAGCCCTGCCCTCGTCTCGCCCTTCAATAATTTTCTCGTCACAGAAAAAGACGCCCCACTCGCTAATGTTGTATAGGCTCCAAGCCGAGAGTCATATTTATGTCGGTAAGTCTATGAACCGAACTGTGTCAGAACCCGTCCTTCGGCCATCTCCCTCCTTTCTTCTTCTTCTTCTGTTCAGCAGCTGCTGCTAAAATGCATAACTCCCCCGCTTCCACTTACTACTCAATGCCATCTAAATTCTCCAACAATTCCCAGAATGTCGAGGTATCTGGGATGGTAGAGCGCTGAGAGCTAAATAGGAGACGCGAATTATTATCTCAACTTATCGAAGACAACCGCATCCCTACATCGAAAAATGTGGAAGATTCCAGAACTCGATTCCAATTGTATGTAACCAGAGCCAGCCAGCCAGCTACTCGACACCCTCCGTACTTCAAGGCGGGCCAAAGGTCCTACCCGACTAGGTAAGTAGAATGAGACCCAGGAGATATCCCCGAACTAGCGTGTGTGGGATGGTTGTGGTGGAGTCTCAGTAGGCTAAACCGGCATTCTTGGAAAATTTGGATGGTGTTCGTATATAAGGGAACAGGGTCCAGAGGGGAAAAAATCACGCTCTCTCTTTCCCGTTCTATTATTTTATTCTGTTTGCTCAAAGGAACTCTTTCCTATCGCAAATATGTCAGGCTTCACGCGTATACACAGTGACAAGCTCGCCAAGTTCAGCTTTAGCCATGGAGCAGTCATCCACCCTAACGCTCAAACCATTGTCTTGGCCGGCAAGGTGGGCTCTATTGACCTCAAGGGTACAATGGCTGCGACCTTCGAGGACCAAGTTGCTGCCACCTTCAAAAATATCGAGATTGCTCTGGCTGAGGTCGGCGCTACCCCCAGGGACATTGTTCACATGAGGTACTACGTCACAGACGTTCGTAAGTATCTCACCCTCCCATCTTGTCTATAAAGCAAAAGGGAGTCCAGTATATTCTTACACCGAGAGTTAGAAAGCCGAGACATGGTTGCGTTCCGGAAAATTAGGACGGACTTTCTAGGACGCTTCCCAGGCGCTGCTCCTGCTGGGACTGTCCTCAGCGTGCTGGCGGCAGATCCCGACATTCTGTTTGAGGTAGATGTCATTGCCGCAATTCCTGCGCAGTCAAAATTGTGAAGAAAATACCTTCTTTCGGGTTTAGATGAATTTCTTTTATTTTTATTTTTCTTTACACGGATGCAGTTAGATGACATGAATCTATGTCTGAGTGGAATTGAACCCGCCTTACGTGCCCCTGTTGGTCAATATCGACAGTCGTCGTATTCATTGTGTTGAGTTGTCGGGTTCTGTTATCTTCCATTGCTGTTTAACTTTCTACTCAAACTCTCTCCCGTATCGACAGTCAGAGTTGACTTAAATTATAGCCCAACTCAATGAGTCGATCCTCTTCCTCCAACCATCTTCGGCAAGTTATTCTCGCTGTTACCGCTGACAACTTCATAAGTTCATTGGTAAATTCGCTCCATACAACAAAAGGCTCAAAGCGTTCAATACCTGCATATACGGCCATGCACATGCACATGCAGAGCTACTCTCTGGCCTTTCTCGGCACTCTCCAGGATCTGGATCGAGTCTTGTGGTATCCTAAATGTGAATAGCCCTAGAGTGAGGAGGTACATATACTTTGTCCCCAGCCGTCTCACACTTGATTTGTGCGAGGTTTTCCGGGACCATATAGAAAGGTTTCCGTTAAGTATATGCAAATCATATGCTCCCTGAACCAGATAGAGATTAATGGAAAGCGTGGAAAGGAGTCGATGATGTCCTAGATTCACTCTTCTAGTTCTACCCTATAGACCTGACAGAGCGTTTCGATCCCACATTGAATGTATACCGCACTGTTGATATGGTAGTATGACTCAATTTTGCTGACTGTAGCATAGTTTCTTTTAGTCAAATTAATTGCATGATGCTCCGCATTCGGATAGCATCGCACCATAAGTATTCTGTCCACATCGCCTTGTCCGTTGACGTTAACGTTAACCGCACCTAATCTCGACAAAATCTTGTTATCGCCCTCTATAGTAACCATGGCGAATTTGAAGAAGTGGCTTCCCGGCGTCTCTCTGCCCCTCATTCTCAATGCTCCTATGCACGGCGCAGCTAATGGTACCCTCGCGGCAGAGGTGACAAAAGCAGGAGGATTGGGTCAGCTGTTCCACGCTCCCTGAATCAATAGACAAAAGATATACTGACACTATTGAATACTAGGCTTCATTCCGGGCGGAATTGTTCTCTCCAAAGACTCCGACGACTTGAAAGACCTCGAACTCCAGCTCACAACGGCACGTCGTCTTCTGGCTCTCGATGAGTCATTGGAGAAGCCTATACCGGTAGGCGTCGGCTTTGTCACGTTCCACCCCTCCGTAGCTCAGTTCGAAGAGTCGGCATTGCCTATAATCCGTAAGCACAAGCCCGTGGTCATATGGCTCTTTGCTCCGGAGCCGAACTCAACCACGCACAAGCACTTGATCAGTCTTCTGCACAGTGCAGGTAGCTCCTGGAACCTCAAGGTCCTGGTCCAAGTCGGGTCTGTTGCAGCTGCCCGGGATGCGATCGAGAGTGGCGCCGATGGCGTCGTTGCACAGGGCGTAGGTGTGTTGTTTTCCTTCCGTTACTTTAAATGACCGTCCACCAATATCGCATGTAGATGCAGGAGGCCACCAATGGGCGCAGGGTGCCAGCATTGTCTCACTGGTGCCTGAAGTCCGAATCTCATTCGAGATGAATTCCCAGGTAAAGATGTGGCTTTGATCGCGGCTGGGGGCATTGCGGACGGTAGCGGCGTGTCAGCTGCGTTGTCTCTGGGAGCCGAAGCAGCCGTCATGGGCACTAAAGTAAGTCCGGGGCTCTTACATTTGACGAACGTGTGCTTATCGTCTAGTTCTTGGTTGCCGATGAAGCTGGAACCTCCAGGGAAATGAGACAAGTTGTCCTAAGTGCCACCGACGGCGGAGCCAGTACTGTCAAGTGAGTATATCTAGGTTTGAGTCAAAGATCCGATTGGTTGATTCTAATACTGATAAAAAGGTCATACCTGCACGATGATGTTCGAGAAAATAGCATTTGGCCGAAACTGTATGATGGACGGGCGGTATTAGGGCCATCGATTATTGACGAAAGAGCTGGAATTTCGCTATCTGAAAACATCACGAAGCTGAAAGACGCACAAGCATCAGGGGATAAGTCCAGAAACGTTTTCTGGTCGTAAGTTTGGTTTCCATCTGTCCCATTCAAACCTCTTGCTAAAATGTGCTATACAGTGGAACCGGAGTTGGCTTGGCGAACAAGCTTCAACCCGCTGGAGATATTGTCCGAGAGACTCGACTTCAGGCGATTGAACGGATCAAAGAGTTGAGTGTCTTCGTAGAAGACACTTTGACACGCTAATCTCGTCCACAATCTTGGATTTGATCATTTACTAGCCTAACCCAAACTTGTAGAGCAGGCTTTAGTTCAGCCATACAAGGCAATTTAAATGAGCTACATGGAACCAGCCTCAAAATCAAGAGCTTGCTTACCATTCCCCCGTCCCTCAAGAATTGTGATCGCCAAGATCAGTGCAATAAAGAAAAGTAATTATCTGGCTGGGGTTATTCCTTTATTCGACACATCGGAGATAACACGGGTGGGAAGATAGATCGTCTGACCTGGTGATTGACGTTTTGGCTTTGACTTTTGCCTGAACTTGCGGACGACGTCACCCGAGGATAGAGAGACGAGAAACTCACCAAACCCCTCACTCTACTTAACTAAGACAAGACCGAACAGTATATATAGATTTCCCATCGGCACAAAATTTCACGGACGCGACCTTTAGGATGTTTCACCTCTTCAAAGGCTCTCAATCCACCCCACGTACATAGAATAGCTGAAACAAATGGCTGCCGCAACGAAGCTACGACGGATCATCGAGGATCCCAACTCCTTCATACTATGTCCCGGAGTATACGATGGATTCTCAGCGCGAGTCGCTCTGAACGTTGGATTTTATGGCATCTACATGGTATGAAAATCGGTTTGCATTCTTTACTCTCCCTCCATGACTGACCAGTTTTTGGCTGTTTGCAGACAGGAGCGGGAAGCAGTGCCTCGGTTCTAGGCCACGCCGACCTCGGAATGATGACCCAGACGCACATGCGCAACCACGCCGAGATGATTGCCGATTTGGGAGCCCTCCCACAGTACGCGACAGCAGACGGCCCCGTTCCTCTTATTGCCGATGCAGACACCGGATATGGCGGTCCCATTATGGTATCCCGAACCGTGGAGCAGTACGCACGATCTGGCGTGGCCGGGTTACATATTGAGGACCAGGTCCAGACAAAGCGTTGTGGCCATCTGGGAGGGAAGGAGGTTGTGAGCCAGGACGTCTACTTCAGTCGCATTCGCGCCGCCGTGAATGCTAGGAAAAAGATTGGAAGCGACATCGTCATTATCGCCAGGACGGATGCTCTTCAGACTCATGGATACGAGGAGGCGATTAAACGACTCAAGGGCGCCTACGAAGCTGGCGCAGATGTGGCTTTCTTTGAGGGGCTGACATCCAAGGAGCAGGCGGCCCAGATGATCAAAGCCGTGGCCCCGATGCCGGCGCTCCTCAACATGGTAGAGTCCGGGGCCACGCCGTCTTTTACTGCTGCAGAGGCCAAAGAAGCAGGGTTCAAGGTTATGATTGTTCCATTCGCTGCTATTGTCCCGGCTTATGATGCTATGAAGGCTGGTTTGGAGCATCTCAAAGCTACGGGATCGATGCCGGATAAAGCGAAAGAGATGACACCGCAACAGCTTTTTAGGGTATGTGGATTGGACGCTAGTATGCAGATAGACAAGGAGTCTGGAGGTGAGAACTTCAAGTCTGGCGTTGATTAGGAGCGCGGATGCCTTAAGGATGCATCTATACACTGGTTGCCTGGACAGTTTCTTCTATGGTAGCGGAATCAGTGTTCATACAGGTGAAGTTACCAACTTGCAAACACAACTAAGCGAGAGATGGGATGGATTTCTTCGTAGATACAATACAATGATGAGTGGATAATGTCATGATCATCTTCTCATGATCTTAATCTTCAGCCCAAGTGGTTTCCTCAAGAACCCCTCCCGCGTCTCCATGATGTCCTGCCTCAGCTCAACATTATATCTCTTAACCCACGTGGCAGCAATCAGTTTCATCTGCACTTCGGCCAGATTCCGCCCAACACAAGACCTAGGCCCGTGGCTAAAGGGAATAAAGGCTTTCTTTTGGTCTGCGGTTTGATTCTCCCACCTGTCTGGGTTGAAATCATCGGCATCGGGACCCCAGATTTCTTTGGAATGGTGAATCGTGTACGCCGGGACGCTCAAGACCGTGCCTGGACCGAAATAATGACCCTGGATATGAACACCAGGCGACTGAGGAGGGACCTGGCGAGGCAACCCAATGCCGGACGTGGAGTGGTGCCGTAAAGTCTCATTGATTACCTGCTCTAGGTATGGGAGACTCTTGACCTGATCATATGATGGAACTTCAACATCATCCAATACAACTTGGTCAATTTCTTGTTGAAGCTTCTGGAGCACGCCTGGCGTCCTGACAACATGATAGAGCAATGCGCACGACGAATTGGACGTGGTGTCACTTCCGGCAATGAGCTGAGTCAACGCCTCAGCAGTCAGTTCTTCTCTGCCAAGAGGCTCACCATTGTCGTCCTTTCCCTTGATCAATCGTGCTAGAAGGTCCTGCCGATCGATATCAGGCGGGTTTTGGAGCCGATCAGATACACGGGCAACGGCTATGCCCGCAAGTCGTTCGACGGCCTCCAGGCCCTTGTAGAAGAAAGGGTCCGGTAGCCAGCGAGCGTAGGGCTTGAGCCAGGGCAAGCAGCCCAATGTGGCAGACACTTCGCCTCTGCGGTTGATAATCTCTACAGCAGGTGCATAAATCGATGGGCCAGTGGGAGATGTGCGTACTTCAGCGATATCTGCTCCGCTGGATAGCATCCCTGCAAACGGCAGCATTTGTTAGAATCATCCACGCCACTACGAGAGGGAGTAACTTACCAAATGGCTTGCCAAAGGCCAGGTCGGCGATGGTGTCAAAGGCGAGATAATTGACTAAATACATAGAAAATACTATCAGCAAGACGTCCTCTATGTTTGGAAGCACTCAACTTACACCATGACAGACAGTCAAGATGTGCTGACCCATCTCGCTGAGAAGTGTTCTTTATCCGGGCGTCCCATTGCCGTGTGAACTCCTCGAGATTCTGGCGCACATACGGCTCGAACTCAACAACAGATTTGGGAGCAAAGATGTGCGACACGAGCTTGCGCTTCCTGGTATGCTCAGCGCGGTCTCTGGTGTTGAAGAGGCCTCGGCGGATAGAGACAAAGGCGTCGTAGAAATCGCTGGTCGCAGTGTTATCATTCAACGTGGCCAAATTGAATATACACCGCACGTCAGGTGTTCACTCACGATTTGAGAAAGCCATTGCCGTGACCATAGATGGTATTCACGGCATCCGCATCGGCGACGCTGACGTGATTCGGTGCAATGCGGACAATAGGACCGAGCTTCTTGTGAGTCTCATGGACAATGGCATAACGCTTGCCCCGGCGACAAGTCCATAGCAGCCACAGATTCGAAAAGGGAGCAATTGAAGGGCCTGGGATGCTGCGCAGGGCCGCATTGGTGGTGAAGTACGGCAGGATAAAGAAATACCCGAGCACAGAGACCAGTCCTGCGATGGCCAGCCACGGCGAGGTGAGGAGGTTGAGGAGTGCCATTGCTGGAATTCAACTTGTCCCTAGTGAAAATTTCAGACACAGCTCGTCTATATATGCGAGGGCATACGTCAGCGCCTGCTGGTTCAGACGTTGATATCTGAGACGCGTGGATGTGAAATTTTCTCCACAGATCTGATACTGTGGATCGGGGATGGAATCGAAATTATCGCGGATGTGGCCTGGTATTTATATATCCGTGTCCATGCGTCAACTGCATTATGCTGCTCCTCCCTGCCAGCTCAATTGCAGATGCGCAAGTAGTGTGCATCCAGAAGGAAGGCCAGTGCAACCACACGATACGACCTCCAAAAATGAATCGCCATTTTGTTGTTACTACATGCCATGACATATCCGTCCATCATCACTGGCCCTCAAAACCAACCCTCAATGAGCCTAGTCCGAATTTGAACTGTGAGATAGCCGGATCTCCTTCGGAATCGGCAGGAAACGTGCATAATGCATCGGGAGTGAGGAGAAGTAAGCACCTACTAAAGAAAGATCGCCATGAGACCATTAAATTTACCTTCGGATGTGAGGAGTATGTGCCTATAAAACGGATTTTGTCAGCTTTACTTAAGCAGTGTTTTGTACGGAGTATCATACCCGTTTCCTAAATCCTTACTTGAAGTACCTACCTTAGTACGTACACACCAACAACCAGCCACAATGGAGCGTTCTCGGCTTTGAATCCGAGGAGAAGCACATCCGATGTCTCAAAGTGTATTCATGCTAGGATTCAATAGATTTGGATGGGTGCAACGATCTTATAAGGGAAATATCGCCGGACTCGTAGAGCCGTAATCACTTGAAGTCCAGATTTTCATTTCGCTTACGTCAAGTTACTCAGACTCGGAGAGGCGAATGAAACCGAAGGGTAAACAACTACTTCGAGGAGGTTCAATAGTGCTGAAGCTACGGGTAAAAGAAATGCCAGAGAGGAGTCACATTTGATATTTCCAGAGGATGTGCAGAAACGTTGTATTTAAATTAGCGTGTCCTCAATATCGTGCACACTATGTAGACTTATCGTCGAGTTATAAAGGCAGGCAACATATCAATTGCAGCCAAGATCCCTTCCAAGGAGCGGGGACAAGAAGTAAAAGGATAGAGTAAGGCTCCCCAGGAAAAATCTCATCTCTCTTAGGACAGGTTAGCGATAGCGACAGGATTGTAGTATTCTACAAGATCAATTCAAGTTCGGGATCATCTAAGGCAATGATCCAAAGAGGGAGCATTGTTGAAATCATTGCCGTAGTTGATTGTTCAGTTGCAAGGGTGACTTGCCTCAGATAGCTGACCAGCGGAGAAGAACCGCGGCAGCTATGACAGGCAAGACGCTCACCAACTCTCCAAGTCCCGCAAATTCCGGTGGGATCCTCGCATTGACAAAAGCCCCGGCAGCCAGAAGGACGGCGAAGGTGTTGTACACAAAGCTCCATCCGAAATTGAACTTGATGCGGTTGACCGACTTCCGGCTGGCGTTAATCATGACGAGGATTCCAGAAAGGGCGGGTCGCATGAGGACCACATCTGCCGCAGATTGCGCAATGTCTGTGCCCTCATTCATGTGAACACCAATTGTAGCTTGCGCTAGAGCAACAGCGTCGTTTGTGCCATCGCCGCAGAACACTACGATCGGCTTCTTCCCGCCTACATTGGTTTCAAGAAGCGCTTGGATGTAGTCTCTCTTGTCGGCAGGCGAGCTGCGAGAACGAACGTTGTTGGCAGGAATTCCGAGCTTGGCCGCCAAATTCTGAACAGCGCCGTCATCATCACCAGAAACTAAATGAACTGCTACGCCACCTTTGTCGAGGGCCTCAAGTGTTTCCGCAGCATCAGACCGCAGCTCATCTTCCAGACCATAGACTGCAACCAACACGCCGTCAATGGCGAAGCAGAAAACAGTATACCCACGAGCAAGCATCGACCCAACATGCTCATGGTCATAAAAGTTCAGCCAACGAGAATTGCCAGCTTGAAGTTTCTGGCCCTGAAAAGTGCTCTCGACACCCTTTCCTGTAAGGCTCTTAGGCTCGGCAATGGGCTCGGCAATGATTCCTGCGTCGTTGAGATGAGTGCTGACAGCAACCGAGACTGGATGTCGGCTATTTTCGATAAGACCCAGAAGGAGTGGAAGTTTATCCTGGCTGTCACAATGTGTTTCAACAACAGAAAGCTTTCCTCGGGTCAAAGTCCCAGTCTTATCAAACACAACGTGCGACGTCTTGTGGGCGACTTCAATAGCATCTGCAGACTTGAACACGACGCCCCTCTCCGCTGCGACACCACTTGCGATAACAATAACCATGGGAACAGCCAGCCCAATAGCGCAAGGGCACGACACGATGAGGACAGTAATCGCATAAGTTATGGCCTCGATAGTAGCTTCTGAGCCATTATATCCACGAATCGTCATGCCCACCGCAACCCAGATGACAAAAGTAATAATAGTCAAAGCCACAACCACTGGGACGAAGTAGGATGCTACCTTGTCTGCAAGATCTTGCAGCTTAGGCTTGGACAGTTTAGCCTCGTCGACCATCGCAGCAATCGTATTGATAGTGTTGTCGCTAGGCAAGCGGCCCAGCCGAACAATCAGAACTCCAGATCCATTGATGGAACCTGCAATAACTCCTGATTTCGGAAACTTCTCGACTGGCCTCGATTCACCTGTGAGCATCGACTCGTCAACCTCGGATGAACCCCTGATGACGGTGCCGTCAGTGGGGATTCTGGTGTCAGGCAGAACCTTGAAGATGTCGCCATACTGAAGAAGCCGGGCGTCAATGTCAAGTTCTGTACCGTTTTCTTCGTCCACGAGGATGGCTTTTGATGGCTGAAGTGATCGGACAGAAATAGATTCGACAGCTCTCTGGCGAGCCAGGGCAGCAACCCATCGGCCAAGCATGATCAGGGTGACCAGCAGAGTGCTCGTTTCAAAGAACTGGCCAGTTGAGAGAGGGTTTCCGGCAATCAGGTATCCGAAGGAAACCACAGAGAAGATGTAGGCAGCGCTTGTGCTTAGGACGATCAGGAGGTCCATCTCTATAACCTTGGAGAAGACCAGAGCCTTGAGAGCCTTTGGGTAAAATGGACCCGCGATGAAGAATTGAACAATCGTCGCCAGTGCCATGGAAGCTGAGGAATATGCGACTTCGTTTTCGGGAAGGGGGGCCCACGCCATAACCAACACAGGAATGGTCAACACGGCGGAGAGAAGTGTCATGTACCCAACATGTCGGACGTGCTTGCTCCCAGCCTCTAGCGACGGGTCGGCACGTAGAGGAGCCAATTCCGTTGGTGAATGCCAAATCTTGTCGCCAAGATCGCGAGCTCCGACTGTCTTCGGGTCAAATGTGACTCGTGCGATCTGTTTGCCAACAAGCGCAATGTCGATTACACCATCCGGCCACTTTTCATTGCTAATCGATTGAAATTGATCGTTCGAGATGATGAAATCAAGACTGGATCCCTGGCTCTGAATCCTTTCGCACTTGAATTCTGTCGTTCGTTCCAGATGTTTCATGACTTCTTCAACAGATCCAAGTCGAAGGTCAAGGTGGAACTCAGCTCGAGAGAGAACCAGGCTGGTTTTCAGATTTTTCACGGCGGGAACGGTAGCGAGGGTTCGGTTCAGTTTTGTCTCACACCCGGTGCAAGTCATGCCCGAAATGCTCAAAACCACTCGCTCTTTTCCAGTGCCTTGATTCTCAACGTCGCTTACGGCCTCAATTAGGCCCTTTTCAATACCTGAGCGGGCATCAGGGGCAGAAGAAGCGCAGGTAGCATCGGCGCAAGACCCTTGGCGGCGGACCACTGGCTTATCAGCGCAGCACGAGTCAATGAATAGGCGCTTGGTGTCATTTATTTCTATCCCGTTATCTCCGGAGCAACAAGAGCCGGAGCAGCCAATTTTAAGAGAAGATTTCCCAGGAGAAATTGTCTCCGAGCAACAGCCCGCGCGTTCAGAAGGGGAAACCGCTTCCTTATCCGGCTCTGTGGAAGCGCAGCAAGAGTCGGCACAGTTCTTAAGAGGAGACTTTCCAGGAGAAATAATCTCCGAGCAACAGCCTGGGCTTTCAGACTGGGAAGCCGCCTGCTTCTTGGGCTCGGCAGAAGCGCAGCAAGAGTCAACACAGTTAGTCTTAAGAGGAGATTTTCCAAGAGAAATATTCTCCGAGCAACTACCCCGGCTTTCAGGCTGGGAAATAGCCTGATTATTAGGCTTTGCAACAGAGCAGCACGAGCGGGAACACTGAGTCTCGCCCTTCTTTGGGCCTGCATTGGCAGCCTGTTTGTCCGTGCAACAGAGCCCTCCAGATGCGGCTTGGGCTCCCGAATAAAGGATATCCGCCTTTGCAAAGCAATTATTTCCATCATTGCTGTCTGGCGGATATCCTCTGCCCTTGCCTTCAGAGCGGCAGGCCGTCGGACCTTTACCCCTAAGCGATGGGGCGAGGGTAGGCTTCTCCTTGGAGCAACAGGAGCCACCACAGACATCCTCTACGGTGGACTCCTTGGCAGATTGAACACTTTCTTTGAAGCCTTTTCGTAAACGAAGGCGATTTTCCGCAGCTTGATTCTTCGTAACGGAGCCACTGGTGTGGCCAGAATCCAGCGAAGTGCGGACGGAGGCGACAGACGATTTCTTGGAGAGCTGGTTGCCGTCGAGTGAGTGTCGCTCGCGTATTTCGCAGCAGGTTTCCTGGCCAAGAGCAATGAGGGTCCGGCAGAGGCACCCCAGAGCCCGCAGCGTCGCGCCATAGCGGTCCAATGCTGAGAGAGTGTGCTCGTTGCAAGCCTCACCCTCAGCAGTTTTACAACAGGCTGTATCGAATTAGCAAACAGTTTATTGCGCCAGAGAACCTCACATTTCATCTTACCGGTCGAATTAGAACTTGTCGCAGCACTCATACTACACTCGCGCAGGGCCAGCCGGTCAAGGCAAGACGTGTCGCAGCATGGGTTGGCTTTACCGCGGCAACAGTCAGGCGCGTCGGAATCTTCCTCGGCCACGTCATCGGCACATTTTCCGGCGTTGCAGCAATCATCTTCAATCTTCTCTTCGTCGGGTTCTTTCTGAATTGAAGGTTCGGCGTCGCGAGTCTCGACACTCTGCCCTCCGCAGCAACCACCCTGGCAGGCGCCCGCCTTCTCAGCTGCGGTTGGCGCAGGAGGAGGCTCGAGAGCCGGGGCCGCTGTGCCACAACAGTCAGATTCCATTGCTGGAGTAATCGTTTCCTGCATTCCAAATATTGCGAGTTCAAGTTTCCGACGAGGTGAGTTGATGTGGGAAATTGGTTAGGTGGCTATCGGGGCACTGTCGTCCGAAACAACATAAATGACCTGGAACATTCAATGTCACGTGGCTCCCACTCTCTCTTTCCTTTGGGCAAATCCCCAACAACTGACTTGCACTCACCCGTGATTCCTGGGATATATATGCACTCTTATTTCATAAGTACATAGCTGGAAACACTTTCTTAGACAATTATCGGCTAATCAAAATCGTTACCGCTTCATGAAAGTGCTCGCACATTAGCAGTGACTCGACAGCGCCAAGACAATATGATGTGATCGCCCTCCCTAGAAATTAGCACCTTTATCTATCACACACCGCCTCCCTCTCACATGTCGAATTCGGGGTTAGACATTGCCGCAGCGTCTTGACTGGCAAGCTACCCTGAAGTGTACAATCTGCGTTCTCATAAACTCTTTGAGATCACGGTGCCAAACACCATAATCAAGGTGTCGTGATTGCACGGTTTGATAGTCAAATTCTACTTACAGCTTAGCCTGATTTAGTCATAGCTTAGAATTGCGAATAAATCTCAGGAACGGCAACGGATTCCGGCGAATTGCTCTTCGTGATACTATTTTGCTGCCTCTAGATGCCGATATCGCTAGTCGTATTGGTAATATTACAGACGCTTTGGTAAGAGATGAAGTCAATTGAAACACGTTGACGGTGATTAATGGTGCGGCCTATTGCGAGGCAACTCGGAAGCCTCGCAAGGCAGAAGGCTTGGCGCGGCGAATCATCATCCCATGGTTCCGAATCATGTCACGTTGCGTCGATAACCCCTCAAAAATGAGATGGTCATCCTCCCTATACTCGAATCATACCGAATCTCGGAGGGCCTAGACTCGGCATCCAATTGAGCACTTCGTTCAACGGGGAGGGCATATAAGGTGAACAATGACTCCCCGAATTGGCAGTGTAATTGGCCAATTACAAAAGCGCAGAAACACTCAGAGGACCTCTGCTTTATTTTCTCCCTCACAATATTTACCCTTTTCACCTGAGCCATGAAGTGGCAACCACAGTCTCAATCTGGCTGCGTCGTCGTCGTCGATGGCCGCCCGAGATATCTTCCTCAAGTCAAAACGGATATCCACACAACCATTTTTGACATCACGTCAAGGACACATTTAACTCAACAATTTGTCAATCCTTCCTCCAAAGACCCAATTGACGAGATCAGTTACGTCTTTCCCCTCTATGACGGCGTCTCCGTGATCAGCTTCACTTGCACCATAGCCGACCGCATTATAAAGGGCGTTGTCAGGGAGCGGCAGCAGGCGAGGCGAGACTATTCCCAGGCGAAAGAGGAGGGGAGAGTCGCTGGCCTTGTAGAACAATCCTTCCAAGCTGCGGATGTCTTTACCACAACTATCGGCAATGTGCCCGCTGGTGGGAAAGTGGTTGTAGAAATTGTCTATATCGGCGAGCTGAAGCATGATGCACAGGCTGACCAAGTGCGCTTGACTATCCCGGCTCGGGTCGCCCCACGATATGGATCTTCAGGCTTGGATACCAATGGGATACACCCCAAAGAAGAGGGCATTTCACTGACAGTCGATGTCGAAATGCCTGAAGGGTCCTTCATCGAGTCGCTCGCGTCACCCTCTCACCCAGTTGTTGTCAGCATTGGCGCCCTGTCCACGGCTGAGGCTTCTTCGGAGCGCTCATTTAACAAGGCATCTGCCGTGCTGCACCAAACAAACTCTACTTTGAACCATGACTTCGTCATTGAAGTCTCGGCTAAGGGGTTGATGGAGCCTACGGCGTTTTTGGAAGTTCACCCTACGATTCCCAATCAGCGGGCTCTCATGGCGACTCTGGTGCCAAAGTTCAATATGCCAGTATCAGAGCTGCCCGAAATCGTATTCTTGTGCGATCGGAGTGGTAGCATGGAGACAAACATCAGAAACCTTGTTGTTGCATTGACTACGTTTCTCAAATCCTTGCCAGTCGGTGTTAAATTCAACATTTACAGTTTTGGTAGTTCCTATACTTCTCTATGGCCAAGGTCGAGAAAATACGACCAAGAAACGCTTGATCAAGCCGTTGCTCACATCAACACCTTCAGGGCCGATTATGGTGGCACGGAGATATATTCGGCGATGGATGGTGCCTTCAAGAATGCCTATAAGGATCTCAATCTTGAAGTGTTCTTGTTAACAGATGGCCAAATCTGGAATCAAGAAGCCCTGTTTAAGTTGATCAATGACCAAGCGGCTTCAACTCAAGGCAGAGTCCGAGTTTTCAGTCTCGGCATAGGACATGGTGCCAGCTCAGCGCTGGTCGAAGGTGTGGCGAGAGCAGGAAACGGGTTTGCGCAGATGGTTTCAGACAACGAAAGAATTGACGACAAAGTCGTCAGAATGCTAAGAGGTGCGCTTCTTCCGCATATAAATGAGTATACCCTCGAGATCAAGTATGGCCCATCTGGCAATTCTGTTGAAGAAGAGGACTTCGAATTCATTGAGCGAGTCGTGGACTCGCTTCATCTCGATACAAACTCTGAAAAGGTGACAGTACCAAGAAAGATCAACCAACAACAAACTATCTCGCTTTACGACCCAATTGTGGATACAGGCATCACTGAGAGCACCCGAGACGCAAAAAGGGCCAAGCATGACCATTTGTTGACCGTCGAGGCCCCTCGTTACCTTCAGACTCCTACCCAGATTCCACAACTATATCCATTTATTAGGACTACTGTCTATGTCCTACTTTCGGATGCAACACCCGAGAAGACCCCAAAGTCAGTCCTCCTCAAAGGCGTGTTCCAAGACACGACCCTAGAGCTGGAAATACCTGTCAAACAACTTCCCGAAAAGTCAACCACCATTCACCAGCTGGCGTCTCGGAACGAGACCAAGGACCTTGAAGAGGGTCGTGGATGGCTCTCCAGAGCAGTAGATAATGATGGGAGGTACTTGAGAGATAAATTTGAAAGCAGATTTTCTGAGATGGTTGAGCTTGAAGCAGTCAGGCTCGGGGTACAATTCCAGGTTGCAGGCAAACACTGCTCATTCGTCGCTGTCGAAGAGCTCACCTCCACGGTTCTAGGAACTTCCGATAATCAGTTAGACAGCACTCAAACCGGCCTTCGGAGAACGGTATATCCACCCCAAAGTAGTAACCACTCACTGTCTGATTATCAGATGCAAATAATGCTACTCGAGCAACAAAACAAAAAGAGACTCATGATGGCACGGCAAGAGCACGATCATGTTGCTGGCAATATGGCTTCACAGAGTTTCAGCCTCGCTGTCCCTTCGTCGAACAACCCAGGAGGCGCGGTCCCTGCCACGATCAGTTTCCCCACTGACTTTGGAACTCCCTTGGGCACGTCCGGGGCCTTGCACTCTGGCGACGTATTGAACGACTTTGACTTTGATTCATTCCTTCATGACGGAAGTGAAAATGGTGAACCTTTTGATTTTAGCACAGCCTTCACCACCACTGGAGATATGGTGGACCAGCCGCTCCAGAGCCTCGCTCCAGCTCCCGCATTCGTGAGCCCGGGCGGCGTGCAGGCTTCCTCGAACATTCAAAGTCTTGATACTGGAGGTCTCGGTCGCCTCCATAGCCTTATCTCGCTGCAGACATTTGCGGGTTCCTGGATTTTGGACCACAACTTGGAAAGAGTCTTAGGTATCTCCAGCGATCATTTACTACACCTACATCTACCTGATTCGGTCGTCAGCCACGCACAAAGGGATGAAATTATCGCGACTGCTTGCGTGATTTCTTTCTTGAGTAGAAACTTTAGCGCCGAGAGGGGGTCGTGGGAGATGCTGGTTGAGAAAGCTGACCGTTGGCTGCAGGAGCGGGTTGGGGAGGATGTAGCAGCCCTCAAAATGGCTCTTGAGTCTTCTCCTGTGGTCAGCATGTTCGTTTGATCCAACTCAATTCGTTCCATACTGGATATCAGGCCCAAAAAAATGAGTCGATATTCTACCTTCCCGAATACGAACATACTATATGCCGAGCTTCCGGCACGCAAGGGGCGTTTCGCTCGATCTCGCCACAAACAGGCCGGCGTCGTAATGGGATGTACGGAGTCAGCAAAGGGTAGCCGCAAGCAACAAATATGTGGATAGAAACCTAGTTTTATGATAAAAGCACTTGTATGAGAGGTGGTATGTAAAGGCTTGATCCCTCCGTCTACTAGTTATCTCTAGCCTTTTGATAGATGAGTTATGACAACTCTTGCTTAGCGCATGAAAAGTGAGATATAAACAATGCAAATAGTGGTTGGTAGTTCTTGAAGTCCTTGTTGAAGTATCAATTCATAGAAGTTACCAGTCTAATTCAACGCTTACCAGGTAACCGAGCCTCTTTGCCAGCGTGAAACTGACCCTACATTAAATAGACCCCATAGGAGGGGTTCCCAATCTTGTCCTCCTCCATCTACATGCCTCAAATGTGTGTCGATATTTGTCCATCAGTGCTTTATGCTGAGGATTGTCTTCATGCCAATGAGCGTCACCGGAAGATGAACTCCAGCTTCTCTCAAAAACGTAGAATCCACGATAAGAGGTTTGGCCATAAGCAATTACCTCAACTGAAGGCAAGCCTTCAACCCCAAATACCGTCTCAACAAACTCCCGGAATTCAGGCCTCAGTGTTTCAGGAGTCAGCGTCTGCATGTGATATTTATCGTCAAAAGCGGCCCAGCAGTCTTCGTAATCATAATAGGAGCGACGAATGTGAATCACTTTCAAGGACGACATTTTTCTCAAAGGGAGTAGCTTAATCTGCAAAATTCAAATCAGTACAAGGTTAACCATAGTTCGGATTAACGTAGGAGCTACTTACGAAATATTTGGGTTCGCACGATAAACCGATCGATTCAAGGTTGAGACCTGAGAATTGCTGATCTATCAAATCCTCACTAGGGAGAGATAAGCTTCCAAAATCTTCGCCCATGCGGGATACATATTCTTCGATGCTCTTTGGAGTAATCTGACGTTGGTGATGCACAAAATGCCGCAGGTCTCCTTGATAACGAGTGATATTTTCCCACATTTTCGGTGTTCCAACTGGTGCTAGATGGTTTAGGAAGAGCCCTTCCAGTCTGTTGATCGAGGAAATTACTTCAATGAGGATGCGCTCTATATTAGTCGGTGCGATACAATCGTCTCGTATCTCAAGTATCTTCAGTTTCTGATGACTTTCGAGTTCGCTTATGGAACGCAGCAGAAATTGATCCCAACCCGGACATGAGTGAAGTCCAAGGGATTGAAGGGATTGGAAATCGGCATAGAAATAGATCCGACCAACCAGAAGAGTAACATCTCGGTTCTTTAATCAGTCGCCCATGACTCCCGAACCTCGAAGTAAAAGCCAAGCCAAAATACCCATAATCCTACCTTAACATGGGACGACTTCGGGACGGTTAATCCAATAGGTCATAGGGTCGGAAGAGAACGTCATTGCTACTTTTGCATTTCTTCTATATTGACTGGGCCATTCATGGCCTCAAAATACACCTTTAGCCTCGAATGAGCCTTTTAATGATCTTGGTCAAGACTTTGTCTACCGTCTATATTCCTACTCGGTAGATTGAAGCTGGTTTCTACATGCCTCATTTGCAGGCCTTTTCAAATTCCTTCAAAATCATCTATATAATACATTAGTACAAGGGAGAGGGAAGAGCCTAAGTAGCACATGGTAACATACCTCGAAATCATCATCCGCCATCGAACCGAAAATGGGATGCTTGCTCAACTTCGACTTGGTTGCGCGCGGGCTAGAAATTCCAAAGGCCACTCTCGCAAGGAAAAGGGGATCGTCGCGTATCTTTGTTGCCGCCAGTACAGCGCGAATTTGCTTCTCATCCACTGTCTTTGGTTTCGGAGTCGGCAGATGCATTGATGTGCCAGTGTAACAAGGTGTGCAATGTCCGCAACTCTTCTTTCCGTCTGGCAGGCTCATGCCGAAGTGTTCAGCGATGAAACGCGCGAAACATGTTGGACTCGCAAGAAAGTCGAGAACACCCTGTACCCGTTCAAGAGCTTGCTTCTCACGCTTTTCGAGATCCTGGTAGACTTTTCCAACCAAGTTGTCGATTTCAGTTGCAGTGTGAGGAAGACGGCTCAAAACCTTGTACTTTTGTTCAACACCACCGACAGTAAGTTGAATGACCCCGGAATTGCTAAGATCATTCAGAAGTCGCACAATGTCATTGCGTGAAGCACCTGTGGCATTGGTCGCTGCTTTAAGATCGATGCCGTAATACTTCTTGGCTTTCTTCGCAAACTGGAGCACTGCCTTCGCCTCCACGGACTTATTTGCTTTGAGAGTTGACACATAACTCGGAGTTTCTTCAAACTTGTATGTGTTGTATTCGGGAGTAATAGCGCGAATCAAATTGAATCTCAGCTCAAGGGTGGCGTAGATGTTTCCTAGGGTGCTCTGGCGAATATCAAATTCGGAACTTTGCGAAGCGTGGCTGACCTTGAACGTGTCTCCTGGCACAGCCTCACGTTTATCGACAAATATCTCTTCGAGAAGAGATTGGACAGAATGCCTAGACGGCATGTCACCCCGGATAAAGCTTTCCTTAATTTTACAGTCATTCGGACAGAGATAGAGCATACAGTAACTCTGTTTACCGTCTCGACCGGCACGGCCAACTTGTTGACAGTATTCTTCAACGGTGTTGGGCAAGTCCCAATGAATTACGTTTCGTAGATCTATACCAGTTAGTGAAAGTACCACTGCTATGCTGAGAGAGAGATCTCTACCCGATTTATCAATGCCCATCCCGAAAGCAATGGTAGCAACGATCTTGAGTGCGTGAGTTCAAGTAAAACAGAAGTTGAGCTACAGGCAACTCACTATTCGAACTTTGGAAGCCATGAACTTATCTTGGACAAGCTTCTTCTCGTCTGGTTTTCTCCCCGCATGGAAGTAGTCGGCACTTAGGTTCCTCTGCTGCAGAACTCGTGCCAGGTCCTCAGCTTGCTACAAGTATTGTCAATTGAAGGTTGGAACATGCATGAATTAGGCAACGAACCTTTTGCTGTGTGACATAAACGAGAGAAGAACCGGGGTGGGTTTCCAAAAATTCAAACAGAAGCTTCCTTTTTTCAGACTCTGATGCAAGTGGAGTAGCCTCAAGGCGCAGACTGTCACAATACGTAAGAATAACATCCGAGCACTTGATTTTAGGTATGTAGGACAGCCAACTTACTTCGGGCGATAAGGAGAAGTCCGAAATACGCCATCTGCAGTGATATTGAACGCTTTGCAAACATCATCAGCAACCTTGGGTGTGGCTGTAGCTGTCAAACAGATCACGCGTTCCGCATTGATCTCTTGCACAAACCGGGCAACTAGAATTTGTTAGCCATCACTCATCGATGAGTTCATCTCGGCAGCCTAACCTTTCAAATAGTCCGGGCGGAAGGAATGTCCCCACTGGATAGAGAAATATCAGTAAGAATAAAACCATTACAGGGTTGTCTTGCAAAGACAACATACCTCGGAGATGCAGTGAGCCTCATCCACGGCAACGAGACGAACACCCCCTTTGACTCTAGTCATACTCTCGACAAAACCTTCATTGTTAAGTCTCTCGGGGGCACAATATAATATTCGAAGCGTCCCTTGACGAATTGAGTCATAGATCTGTTTTGTTTCTGACCAATCGTTGCTAGATACCAACAACTCTGCAGCAATGCCCTTTTTCTTAAGCACATCGACTTGGTCTTTCATTAAGGCGATCAATGGCGACACGACGATGGTGATCCCCGACTGGCCTGAGGCTCTCTGCTCATTTTGGCGGTCAATCTCCTCGAAGGCAATAGCCGGTATCTAGTATCTCAGTCAGCTAGTTGCCCACACGCATCTCGTACTTGGTCTATGCTTGCCTGATAGCACAGAGACTTGCCTGCCCCGGTGGGGAAGATAACCAACGTATTCTTTCCACACAGGATTCGATTGATAGCTGACTTTTGCTCGTGACGAAAATCCTTATATTGAAATTTCTCCACGAGCAGGTTCTGTGCAAGCTGAGCTTTGGATTCGTCAAAGAGTGGGGGCTGCACTGCTGTATTGGAGGCTGGACGGGGCTTCTTGGTGGGATTTTCCGAGGCTTCCTCACCATTGCCCCTGGCACGCTTTTCGCCCGTCAATTGGAGGATATCATTCTCCGTGACTTGGTCGAAAAGGTCATCGTCGGAAAATTCATCACCAGCGTCCATTTTGTCACAAGGAGATGTATCTCAGATGCTCACCGGAGAACACTGATGCTATTTGGTTTGCGGATGGGTTTGCGATGATGCACCGTGGCTTTGGTCGCTTGGTAGCGCGACATGCTACACGCCATCCACGCGAAATCACGTGCACAATTTCTCAGGCAACACACTGATCTTTCCAGCTCAGCCTAACCTAGAGCTGCTAACGTAGGTATGTTACAATTCGTCTCTTTGGCTCAACCATGTAAATCAAGTTTTGACGATGAGTTAGACAGGTGAGGCAAAGGATATTGTTATGCACAATTTATGCTTTTTTGAGATAATTCCAATTCAGGTATATCAGAACAATACTGTTAGCTCCCATACGTATACAAAAGTACGATCAAATCTCCTCCATACATCCCAATACGATCGATTTGCTACCAAAGTCTATGACTTCAACTGAATACAACACTACAACTACTACGTAACCTGAAGGTAAGACCAACCAATCAATGTACTTCTATAATTGCGATGGAACCCAGTTGGGTTTCTCTTCCTTAGCAAAGGCTTCTAAACCAATTTTTAGATTTTTTCCTTCCAATAAAGCCTTCTTGTACCGTTGCTCGATTAGTTGACTTGACCTTTCAACGCTTGCAGTCTCCCAAGAATCTCGAAGTGCTGCCCGGGTGACGGGGACTGCATCGGGCGACTGGGAGGCGATTTCTTGAGCGATTTGGATGGCCTCTTCTAATAGGGAATCCTGGCTCTTGGCAACTCTCAAGAACCCGAAGTGTCTCAACTCCTCGGCCGTTAGTGTTCTTCCCGTGAGTGCAAGCTCCGAGGCCAGCTGCATCCCCAGCACTCTGACAAGTCGTGGAAGACCGCCAGCTGCCGCGTAGAGACCCCTCTTCACTTCCGTCAGACAAAAAGTAGCAGTTGGCGAGGCGATAACCAGGTCACTACATGATGTAAGCGTCTAACAAAGGGATGCATAGTCGATGATGGGAGCTTCTCACCAATTAAGTGCAATTTCGAATCCACCACCGAGAGCAAAACCACTCACGGCCGCGATAACAGGCTTCTTGCCGACACGCCGACTTATGCCAAAGAATCCACCAGGTGGCATGTAGTGAGGAGAGAGGGTCTTATCTGAAGTTCTAGATCGGACCTCCATCAAATCAGCCCCGGCTGAAAATGACTTGCGTCCTTTGCCGGTGAGAACGGGGACTGTGAGAGAAGGTTCACCATCGAACCAGTCCCAAATTACCTGCCCCTCCCAATGGCCTGCCGTTGGGATGGCGTTCATGGCTCTCTCCCTGTTGATTGTGACGAGCATCACGGACGGCAGAGGGAAGCTGACCTCTGCCATGGTCAAGGTCGGGACGGCTGAGGTAAAGGTAGGCATGTCTGTCATGGTAACCGCTGTAAGGAATAAATTGGTCCAAGGAAGTTGGCGAGGAATAATTTCAATTTTCCTTATAGGACCTGACAACTAAACTTGCTGAAGAGCGAGGAGTAGAAGTAGAAAATTAGAACCGCCAAGTCCAGTTCAAAAAGTCAATTCTTAGTGTGAAGGAAAGTTGAATCAACAAACGCCAAGCTCCAGAGAGATAAATCCATCTAAATTGACATTATGGTGGATGCCGAGGTAAATTCTCAGGAGCTCCGGGGTTTGTTGGGGGGATCTTGTAAGAGAGTCATTATTGGCTCATCTATGAGGAGAAGCCTGATGTGGCCGGGGTTGATATCTCCATGAGTTTCCCCCGCAACGCAGCGATTGACGCTTGATCATCGAGGCGCGATACACGCCATTGTGAATGTCTCCGGCGCAATTGAGGGCGCAATTGAGGCTGAGCTTGGTGCAGAATCGCTGAGATTCAATGCAAGCATTTAATACTGGTAGTTATGGTAGAGTTTTCTAATTGGTTGTCCCCGATCATTTCCACATTCCGCCCTAATGACATTCCGCGCGGAAAAAGCTTCGCGCGGAAAGGTTCAATGTTGTCCTTTTTCCAACCGGAGATGAAACGCGTGAGTAGATTGCTGATCAATCATAACACATACTGCACACACGTTTGACGTACGACTACTATGCCGAAGCAAAACCCCCAGAGCTGCTGGACTTGCCGGCTACGCCACAAGAAGTGCGACGAAACAAAGCCAGCCTGTGGGCAGTGTGCTGCCTTGCAGATCTCCTGCATCTACTCACAAACTAGGCCAAGATGGATGGACAGCGGGCCGCTGAAAAATCAGATGATCCGGGAGATTAAAAATCAAGTTAAGACCAGGGCTCGTCGGCGTCGATTCCATGGTGCTATCCAAGAGATCGAGCGGAAGCTCCAGGCTGATGTGGCCGGTAGCGATATACTCTCTACCCCAGCAGATCAATCCAATGGAGAAGATCTGGTCGATGAACATGAGATACAAGGTTCCCCGCAGGTCCTTTCGAACCATGTACCATTGGTCAATATGGGGGATGATTCTGATCTCCATTACATTATGATATACATTGACCATATCTTCCCTATAATCTTCCCATTCTATCGACCATCTGTCCTTGAGGGTGGGCGCTCTTGGATGCTGTCCACGTTTCTCAACCAGGAGACGATGCGTTGCACCATCCGAGCCCTAACAGTACAATTCTTAGCCATCGTCCCTTGCCGACCATCGCCCGTACCACTAAACTGTGCCTCTGCGGCGCAGGAGGACAGTCGAGAGCAAACAACATCAGCCATCAGGCAACTACAAGAAGACCTCGGGGGCCTGATCGAGAGGGGTCCAATGACTACGCCAGATGATGTATTGCGAGAAACTAAGGTGTTGAACGGAGTTGTGCACATGCTAAACGCCGAAAAGATCTTGTCAGCAGAGACATGGCATCATCACTTAGACCCAGCTATTGCACAGTTGGGCAGCATCCTACAATCATCTATAGCGCATGGAACGTCTGCCTGGGTGAAAGTGCTTAATACACTGCGTACGTGTGCGTCGGAGTCGATGTATCCAATTTGGAGCGCGGACCAGGCTGCGTTTCGCTTTTCCGTCGGCTCGCTCTTGGTAGATGACATACTAGCAAGTGTGTCTCTCGAAACTCCTCCGAAGCTAGAGCCATATTGGCCCGACATTCTTGGAGACAATCCCTCTGCTCAGAATCTGGTTCATCTCAATCTGGAGGATCTGGTTGGCTGCCAGAACTGGGCAATGCAAGGAATAGGCCAGGTATCAACACTGGCTGCCTGGAAGAAAGAAATGGTCCGGGACGAGATGCTGCAGAGGTCCGAGATTAAGCTCCGAGGATCCATCATCGAAAATTGGATACGGGAGAGACTGGTGGTTTTCATGGAGACCGCATCGGGGAACGAACCTGATGCCTCAGACTTCTCTATTGACACGTTTACAAACAGGGAAATCCGCAAGTGTTCTCCCACAATCACTCTAATCTGGGCACATACAGCCCTACTTTTCCTCCAAACTGTGGTTTCAGGATGGTCGCCTTTAGATTATCAAGTGCGCGAATCCCTCGCAAAGCTTTTCAATTTGTTCAGCGAATTATCCGACGCTCCCACGGTGCTGCACACGCTCGCATTCCCTTTGGCTATCGCTGGCTGTCTATCGACAGGGCCTCATGAGGGTCGATTCCAGACTATAATCAAGAGAATGGGCGCCTTGGCGAACCTCGGAGCAATGAGATCTACAGTAAGAATTGTAGAAAATGCATGGAGAAACCGAGATCATGTTGTTGCAGAATCTCAAACAATGGCTGCGTGCTTGAATAACTTGGGTTACGCAGTCCTGCTGAGCTAGGTATTCCTGAGAGAAGCTGGGGATATCAAGACCGCCGACTCACTGCGGGCATCTTATGAATCCAGTCTGAAGAACCGCTCTTGTACGCATCAACCAGCCACCGAGCCAAAGCTGCTCGCTTGATCGAGGACGTCCACCCTGTTTGCCCAACATTTCCAACAAAAACTTCTCCACTCTCCCTGTCTGCCTTCCAGCTAATTTCGTCCGACTCTCCTGGTATCTGTGCGATGCGGAATATAGTCCAATCTAGGTCCTCTGCAGATTTCTGAAACAGATCCGCCAGTCCAGTCATGTTCTGGTATATGGCACTCGCAAACAGCCTCATAAAGACAAGGACCATCGGCTGAAATATCGTCCAGATGTCGTCCTGATTCTTGATGGACACAGTGCCCATGACGAAGATCCGTTTGACGCCGTGAGCGCGCATAGCAGGAAGCACATGCTGGCTGTACAGCTTGGGGTACAGCTCTGGGTCGATTTTGGGTTTCTTGATATCCGGCCCGAGGAGCGAGATAACGGCCGAGCATTTCGCCATGGCAGCTGCGAGCTTTTCGTCGTCGCTGATCTCGCCTATGATGAGCTTTCCGAGCCAGTTAGTCCAGGCTGTAAATTAATATCACTCATTTTTTTCATACCTCTATAAGTTTTTGTTCCCGTATGTCATCTGGAATCTTCGACGTATTTCTGGCATATACGACCGTAGCACAATTGCGATGAAGTAGCTCTCGGAGGAGGCATATACCAGCCGGGCCAGTCCCGCCCAGAACGAGTATTTTAGGATGAGCCATTTGAATTTTTATGAGATAAGTTTGTGCTTTGATCACAGTGATTGTGCAAAGAATCTTCCAATTAATGACAATTTATAGTTGTGTGATTAAGAGATTAGTTTCAGATTTAGTATTCCCGCCTATAGAGTATCCCGCGCGGGAAAGGCTCCCCTCGGAGGAAGCATTTCGCCTAAAGATGTGGAGTCTAGGTTTTATTACGCCGAAAGGTAAAAGGGTCGTATACTAGATTAACGGTGCAGGCTATCCTAACTACTTTATCCAACGTGCATAATACTGAATGTGGAAAGTTTAATCATTCTTGTTACTCAGGTCTGTTACGTAGGTCTGTTAGCATATCGTCATTAGATAATGAAAACTTCAGATTTAAGCATAAGCCGGTGGCTGAGATCACATTGACATTATTATTACGTGAGTCGGGTAATATTCCATCTTCGTTCCTACTACCAGCTATTCCCCTTTTAGAACAGCCTTGCGTTGAACATGCATATATGAAAAGTCGATAGCAGGCTACTGCAAGTCAAAGGCTTCGTCGGATGCTACGCGTTCGCGCTTATCACAGGTACATAGTATAGCATACATTACAAGCATGAGAGCGAGGATCAATGTTGAAAAAGTGAGGTCTAGCCTGATAAAATGGGATAAGCTACCCCTTTATATTCACTTCTGAGTCAATAATAAGCAGAGGCTGTGGTACTTGTTCATATTTGGTGGGAGCTGAAACAGAGCCTTATTCCATTCGCTCCTGCTGTGCATAGTGCAAGAATATATGGACATCAGCTGCAAACCATGTTTCATACAAGCCACAGTCACTTAGTAGTTGACTTGGCAGTCAGCCGTAGGTCAAAATGCACTTCTCCTACTCATCTGAGCACTTGAACTTTTTCTGGCCAGTTTCTCTCTTCCGTCCTCAAACTACATTCGACCTAAGCATCAACCTAGCATGAACATGCAACGCCCAATGGAGGACACCAGAGCCTGGCGTGCTCCCGCTCTGAGCAACTTTCCTTTCTTAGCTACGCTTTGCCTTGCAGGGGCTCTGATGGGTATGACATCAGCCTTTGCCATACTCTATTTTGCAAATGACAGTCGGGTCGACAAATGGCCTATAGCGCCGACAGTTTTCCTGTCCATTATTGCTGCGCTGACCAACCGCATGATCAGCGCCGCCTTTCGTTACGCCTCAGATATCCACTGGTGGTCCAGGCTGATTGAAGGTGTTACGATCCAGGAACTGCATACCCTCTGGGATCTAGCTTATAATCCCATTTCTCTCCTGACTAGCTTCCCTGAAAACCGGATACATCCTCTTGTTCGCTTCGGCGCAATATTCCTTTCCCTCACTGCAGTCAACGGGCCCTTTCTCCAACGAGCCATCACAGTTGAACTTGAGAACCGCATGTCGGTGCATTCTGAGATTCTTCCAATTCGACAGCAGCCCATGTGGAATCTAACGACAAAAGTTACGGGAAATATCGGCCATGTCTGGACGGTACCGCCGTACCAAGATGAAATCGCCGAGATTGCGCTTGAACTTAGTCAACGTCAACCGATGAGACTTCAGTCATCAGTGTGCAGTGCTAACTCGACCTGCTCAACGAATGTGGCCATTGCCGGGTTCAATAGGATGTGCGAAGAGTCTACCACCCGCGTAGCAAACCTTTCTTCCGTGGACGTTGCTAAGTACATCCGAGTGAGAAACGAAATGAGAGACGACATGCACTATTGCCCCTATACTGCCGGTGCTGAGGGCGATTCCGATAAAATAATAGTTTCGGGGAAGAATATGAGTTCCTACTGCAGACTTCTAGAGACAGTGTTCCAGCTCTCGATTCACGATTTGAAACCATCTTTCACTGAAGACAACGCCACCGCGCCCCCATGGGATTTACCTTGGAAGGCTCCTGGAATGGCGCCGTCAATAATCCAGTATACAAGTTACATTCGCCGGGAAGCACGGAGTGAGGAGATTCTAACTCGAAATTGCAATTTCTCCACAGCATTTGTGCAGCTGCCCATTGAGATAACCAACGGGAGCGTCGTGACTCTACTATCGAGCAAGGTGGCTCGTCTAGATGATATTAGAGGTGAAGAATCTATTCCCCACGCGATACGCGGTCCCACCTCACAGCAACATAATATTTTCCTAGGAGGAATAATTCAAATTTTAAAGGACCAGTATGATGGCTATATAATGCATGACACCAATGAGCTTTCACATGTCATGCAAGGCTCTAGCCCTCGGCAGTATGTGAATCAGAGCAGTATAGAGGTTCTCAACCCCAATGTTGATGGCCCAGAGAAAACTTATTTATTCTCAATGCTGGATCCTTTGGAGGATTTCACGAGGACAATAAACGAGATATCATTGCGATATGCGCTGAAGCCGCTCCCTGATGATGATAAGGCACGCACGCAGGAGCTGGCCGATTATGTCCAATTCCAAACACAGTCAGGTCGACGTGGAGATAATCGCCCAAACGCAATACCGTTGATGAATACCAATTTTTCAAAAACGGCAGACGTTGAATTACAAGAGAACCAGACGGTTGCGGTGTACCGGTCCCAGTATGTTTTTACGGCCGTGGCAATGGGTTTAATTGCCATCTCCTCCGCGTTTATCATGATGCTTCTACAGGGCTGGCGTCGCCTCGGCCGTCAGACCAGTCTGGCGCCGCTGGAAATTGCCAAGGCGTTCGACGCACCACTTTTGTCAGATGTTCCAAGCAACTCGACAGGAAACGAGGTGGCCGCCGGGCGATTAAGAGACCTAACAGTGAAGTATGGCGAGGTCTACCTGTCTTCCAAGGCACACACAGAGAGGGGGGGTTTGTTGGAATCGCAAGAGACGTTTATCCTCCCGGGGTCAGATGTGGAAAGTCACACGAACCTCTTGGAGACTTCATCAGCAATTGAGTTAACAGAGGAGATGGGGGATATACACAGAAGGATCCAGGGACCGAAGTTAACAGTCGAGGTTGCTGACTTAGTGGCTAAACCTCAGAGCGGAACCAAGTATCATTGACTTACTCGAACTTAGCCTAGGGGCATTTTACAAGGATTTTTTTGGTTGATGGCTGAGTTTGATAATAAGTGCTATAGATTTCTGGGAGGACAAGGATGTTTGAGTTGTTAGTTTCTATCTACCTAGCTTTCTTGCAGGACAACGTTAACTTAATGTTCTAATTACAAGTGACGGGGGGTCAACGGCCTAGGTACTAAACTGAAGCTTCGCGATTCTTATTGTGAGCGGTTGCCGCCGGTGGTCTTCATGCTCTGACTCTTGATATTATTCGGAAGCTGTCTTGAAGTTTCACCCTTGGTCTCGATGGCTGGAAGCGTTGGATTGGGGGACCCATAGATACCGCACCTCGAATCAGAAGAGTTTTATATCTAGTAGGAAGTGTGCATCTAGAATTTACCGTGCGAATTTATTTTAGAAGTTAGGAATAAAATCATACGATAAAACTAACAATTATATAAAATACATAATAAATTAGAATGGCCGAAGCCTCTGTTCTGCTACGCCGATGAGATCTTCGAGATAAAGCTAAGATGCCATGAAAAGCAGCGTGCAGGCAATGGTAAGTAGTGACCAGTGGCTTGAGATAGATACGAGAGAGCTCGCACTGTCTGCAGAGCAGCTATAATTCCCTGGAAGCCTATCTTTCATTTCCGTAAACGCGCCGCAGTCGAGAATATCAGTTGAAATGACGGTAAAGCGTTGTGTTATTCTCGTGGTTCCTTCAATTAGAGGTTTACTAAGAAGAAAATCAGCGATAGAGGCCTTCAGATGGTACATATTCTACACTGACAAAAAGTTGGTTGTCACATCCCCAAAAATGTAGAAGCTGGACATGGTTTGATTGGGCCAGTACCACGTCTGTCTTCCTTCTGCATTGACCAAAGACTCAAAACGGAGCTTACGCACCAGCCAAATTGAGATGCTCACATTGTTCCACTGCTCTGCTTCTTTCGGGAGTTCCAGGGAGGTCATGCGATCTCCTCGAATAGCAACGTCAGAGACCTGGTGAAATGGAAGTCGCAGGTCCGTAATCATATCATTCATCGACCTGAAACTCCCAATCGAGAGATTGCTTGTCTTGGATCCTCGCTCAAGGCCAATAATTCCCTCTCTAGTCTCCAGCTCGTGGATATGGACCGTTTCTGAATTAGGGCCTCCAAGAATAAGTGTGATGATGGGAGGAGGGCTCCAATGTTGATACCACAATTGGCCACTGATATGCGCACTGAGAATACTCCTCCAGCCCAAAGTGAGTTGTTTAATGTTGGGTATTTTTTGAATTGTGATGGTCGGCAATTGCGTTTCATTTGCGGGTGCAATAGGACCTTTGAAAAGACCATCGAGACTTTCAACACTGCCCCCGTCCGATATGAATATTCTACCAGTATAGTTTCTGGTAAACCCTTTCAGCTCATCGATTTTGAACTCTTGTAGCTTTGGGGTCTCAAGATTTAGGGAACGAAAGTACTTCAAATTTGTGAAGTCAACATGGGTGAGATTTGCCATGGAGTCAAAGGAAACTGACTCAGAAATATTTCCAAGATTCGGCAGAATTAGTCTCTCAAGTCCGTTGGGTCCTGTTAGGTCGAAAATTCCATCAACCAGCTTCAAAGTAGAGCTGCTTATATTAAACAGTGTACCGACTTTGCCACGGTAGTCGCTGAGGGGATTATGCCTCCAGTCACCCCGAACTTCCTCAACGCCATCTAGATTGATGTTCTCGCTAATATCACCTCCAAATTTCAAGTCACCGCCAATTATCTTGCAATTTTCTCGTAAGTCCTTGGCATCGCTTGCTTTGGTGATGGCAAAACTTCCATTGCAGTCAATAGCAAGAGCATAGGCTGGAATACCAGTCAATCCTGTAGATCTGTACCAGATTCTATGCGTGTTAGACTCACTTCTAACAGATATTAGTATCCACAATGAATGGAAAAGGCCAGTCATGGTATATTAGACTATGCGCAGCTGTGGCGGCACATCTACATGAAAACAGACTTTGTTGGAGGTTATGCAAACAGGAGCTCGGTAATAGGAGGAAAAGAAGGATCGCCAACCTAGGTTTTGCCTCTCAGCTCGATTCTTGGCAAAATATGTAACGTGACAATACCAATTTCGCATTTGCCCCTTGCGGTTGCTGACGGAAGCGGATCCATGTCATCAACTCTGTTAAGCCTGAGCTGAAATATTTCTTTTGGTTATGCCTCGCTTGCTCCGAAGCGACCAGGTGCCTTCTTAATATCGGCACAACGACGACTGCATCCAGTCTGACTGTTTTCACAGTTTAAGATATTCGCACAATGAGACTGTGACCGTTTAGTCTGGCTTGATTCCTGCTGTGGCTACATTTCTTAAGAATTTTGCCTTGGCTGCTTACTTCAATTGACGGTTTCTAGAGTCTACGCTTGGTGACAGGTATGTACTCACCTCTATCTGACTACTACAGTCCTCTATTTCGGTATCTCCTCCGCCTACTACACTCATCTACAATATTCGTATTCCTCCTACTTGTTATCGAGCTGTTAGATTATACCTTAATTTTCTTCTAGATACTTAGATTATATATAGCAGCAGCGTTTATTGCGAGCCGAGTCTTGAAAGCTCTACTAATTAATGGTCAGACCCACCTACTAGAAATCCTTTGCTTAGGATTGAATAGTTTACCCGTCTCGGACTATACAGATAGGGACTTCTGGCCTATTCACTTGCCTTGTGGCCCCAAACCCTCGTCTGCAAAATGATAAGTGTCGTACATTTCACCTACTATTCTTTATTGCAACTAACTTCTCAGCCTTCGATTATATTATCCACACGGAGATAAGATTCCTATATGCAAAACTTGATAAGCAAGTTGGCTTCAGATTCAACTACATGGAAGGCGTTCCCAGCTTAATAGTCTGTAAATATGGGTTTCTTATTATTGGATCTCTCACTAGAACCAGGAGACTTCCAGGAGTATCCCGCTCTCCCCTGGTCACCTATCGCTGACCCCGCTGTAGATTCTATATCATCACGAACCTGGGAACGACGGATTCTAGACGAGTAATGCGGTTTATTAATATTACAAATTGCTCTTCGTGGTCTTTACTGATAAACATGAGAATACCCAACGTGTCCCTATAGACTAACTATTGAGTCTTTCTAGAGCCCCTTATATAGCCGGGTGGGAATTGCTAAGCTTATACAAGAACCAATAAAGCAGTACCGGAGAGACACTGCTATAAATGACCAATAATACTGACATTTTGGAGTTTCTACAGATAATAAGTCCCATTTCTGCTCGCAAATGGAAACGAGTGGAAAGTAAATCCTACACGAGGGGCTCAGAATAGCTAAACCCGCTGTGATAAAGGTAGATGGTAGATCACGGTGACAACGGATAGCAGGATAACTGATATTTTGGTGACATGTTGTGTACGGCACTCTATCTAATTGAGAAGCACCGAATATTCAATAGTGGTGGAAATGATAAAGATTTCTTGTTCTTGAAGTAAGACATGTTTAAAGGCTTGGAACTTAGTATGTTAGATGAAAACCAGGTCATTTTTGGGTAATTCTAGAAAGTATATGGGCAAGCCCAATATAGCCAACCCTAGTATACCTAGGGTACAACTTCCTGTACTTCGGGGCTTGTATCGGTAGGTATGCCCATTGTCTGGAAAGCTGTAGGGAAAAGTAAAGGAAGATCACTACAGACCAGATCCCGTTGGCAGATGCATAATTATTAGCTGTCGATGGATCGTGATCCCTTCAACTGCGCGAGAGTAGGTTTTGAATTATGTTCCAAGCGACCTCGTATAAGAAGGTCCACCAGGGTCATGGCCCTATATGACGAAGAACAGTGCTTTGTTGTGTAGACGCCCTCGAGAACCTCGTAGCTCTAAACTTCGTAAACGTTGCAGTGACCTCTGCATATCGCAGCGTGTTGTGGTAGGCTCTCGAGTGAGAAATGCTGTTGAAATTATGACACTACGTTCATCCAAGAGAAATACCTACATAAAATAAAAAGCACGACATGTAGAAAGAAAATTAGGTATACGTAGTAAGGGGTATTCGTTCTATAGAGCTGTGAGTGAAAATCGCAACAAAGGTTTCATCGTAGATCGAGCCTCTTGTAGACAGTGAACTTGGGTATTACCATCCTAATATGCCCCTATGACCGTAGATCCTCTACTAATTAGGCACGTTCATATTTCCTAGTTCGAACTAGGGTTATTCGGCTATTCTCTCTTTCTCTTCTGGTTTCAAAACCTGCCTAGGCTGACCAAGCTGTTCCATTTCGGGCAGCTAAGTAACGTTCATGGTTAACAATCTCGGTTTCGATCTCGCTGTCGGTTTCGGTACTCTCCAATTGGCCGACCCCAAACTCAGGTCTGCGATCTGAAACAGATCTTGCGGGCAGAGTGGACTAATCAGGACCAAGATATTGTACATCTTGTAGCCCTGTAATAAATCGCCTATAATGGATGGGTAATCCGTCTCACTTTATAGGTCCCCCAAGAAAAAAAGGTCATAGGACCCCTAAACACGCCTCTCGTATAAATTACGTTCAGATGTAGTCTGTGTTGCTAAATTACTGCCAGCAGCACTCAACTGCTGTTTCTACTGTATAATTCATCGAGACCAACCGTTGAAATGGAATATACAGACTACAGCATGCTAATAGTGTCAATGCAATGCTCGAAGGTCTTTTGCTTAGCCATCGGAACCGGAGATGAGATGCCTCTGGCATGTCATTGGCGACGTTCCAGCATCTCGGTAAGGGTATCTTGTACTTGAAACTCTCCAACACCTTGCTAAACAGGAAAGTGCCAAGGATTCCTGATACTACTGTGTCCAATTTACCCAACGGGCCTGGAGTCTATGAAATGACACCCCAGAGTCCGAGGTATTGGCTCTGCGTTTCAGATCAGATTCCGATCTTACATTGCTATATATTGCGTTCTTTCCGGAGTTGCTATCCTAATGTTGGATTTTTTGACATAATATACAAGCACACACGAATGGAATACACAAACTAGAGTTACTTGTCGTCCGTTATTCATATACTCTTTCTTGCTCTGATCTTCGTCATGACGGGCAAGAGCCTTTTGGCATGGCTCGCCTTTGGCTTCAGTCTTACCTCTATTGGCGTACACGCCCAGCAGTCTGAGTCGTTCACTGATTCCAAAACAGGAATTACATACCAACAAGTTACCCAGGGTGACTACACTTTCGGTATCGCCCTCTCTGAAACCTCTTCTACCGATTTCATTGGCCGGCTCAGTGCCCAGACCAAAGGATGGGCAGGCGTATCACTCGGCGGTCGCATGAGTGGGAGCGTCATGGTCGTTGCTTGGCCGAATGAAGGCAGCATTGTGTCGTCGCTACGCAAAGCAACCGGCTACTCAAGCCCTGCTGTTTTCACTGGCACTGGGTCATTGAAGCCTATACCTGCCGGCAACTCTATTGACGACACGTCATTCACCTATACGTTCCTATGTGAGGGCTGTCTCCAAACTGATGGCAGCACTTTTGCGGCGGATGCTTCGTCGGCCAACATTGGCTATGGCCTCGCGGCCTCGGCGGTCAGCTCGCCCTCGTCACCTTCTTCCGCTCTTGGCTTTCACTCTTCAGGCTTCGGTCTGTTCGGGGTAGATATTGCCGCTGCGAGATCATCAAAGTTTGCCGAATGGGCCGCCCAAGCTGAGGACCCCGACTCACCCGGCGACCCCGGCGGCCCTCCTGGAGGTGGAAACGGAACAGTCCCCATCTCTAACTCGACTTACGACTATATAGTTGTAGGTGGCGGTCCTGCTGGTCTCATTGCATCACAGCGTCTGACAGAGACCGGCCGCTCCGTTCTGCTCATTGAGCGCGGCAAGGCTTCCACCGCGTCAAGCGGAGGCACGCGGTTTGTTCCGTTCAACGATAGTCTCACGTATTACGACGTCCCCGGGGTTTTCTACTCTCTGGCTACTGCTACGCAGGGAGAGGGATATTGCACAGACACGGCCGCCATTGCTGGGTGCATTCTCGGTGGAGGCGGCTCCGTCAACGGTCTTGCATTCATCCGCCCTCCCACCTGGGACTTTGATGACCATTGGCCCGAGGGATGGAAATGGTCAGACGTCGAAGCCGCATCCGAGAGACTTTATTCCAGAAACCCAGGGACAACATCACCATCCCGTGACGGCAAATGGTACGATAATGAGGTTACCGATGTGATGGGCCCCTGGCTCGAGAGCAATGGCTGGAATCGATCTGATAGCATCTTGGACACCGATGACAAGATTAAATCTTTTGGCCCTCCTTCAATTAACGTGAGTTTGATCCGCCTGCTGCATTACCACGATTGGTTTAAGCTCAAGTTTCCTAACTATTGTACCAGGTCGCTAACGGTCTCCGTGCCGGTCCCATCCAAACCTATCTACCCTTAGCCCAGGCAACTGGAAGATTTAAGCTTGAACTTAATATGAAGGTCATCAGAGTGATTCGTACTGGATCTACCATGACTGGCGTCGAAGTGGAGACAGCGAGCGGCCGACTGATCATCAACTTGAAACCGGGAGGTAGTGTTGTCCTTGCTGCCGGCGTCATGTCCACTCCCAGAGTCCTCTTCAACTCAGGCATTGGCCCTGCGGAGCAAATAAACATCGTCAAGTCGGGCTCGGCTAGTGTCACACTCCCGCCTGAGAACGAGTGGATCGAGCTTCCTGTCGGCAAAGTGATCAAAGATCATTCGCGTTATCAGATCACTTTCAATGTGACCAACGGTTTGACCACATACAGTCAGGACCAGCTAGTACACCCTTCAGAAGCGGACGAGAAGCTCTTCAATGCGGGTTCGGGTGTTCTTACTCAGTCTTTCCAACGCCTGGATGCTTGGAGACGGGTCACCACAACGGATGGCCACAACATCATGTTCCAATCGTACTGCAACTCCAACGCCAATGGCACGGTCACATGTGGTCTGATGATGACTCACGGGTTGACTTCAGTAGGCACGCTCGGAATCGATGGTACTGGCACCACACTCTTTACCAAAGAGCCCTGGACGAACACTGATACTGACCGGGAGGCATGGGCCCTCTTTATCAACGAGCTTTTAGACATGGCTCGTAAACCTGACAGCCCGCTCGTCTTCTCTGGTGGTTCTAATGCCACAGCTGATGTTCTTCTTAGCACTCCTGTCCAGCCTGGCATCCATATGGTCGCAAGTGCTAAGATGGGCACCGATGATGGCCGTTCAAATGGCACAGCAGTTGTCGATCTGGACACTAAGGTGTACGGAACCGACAATTTGTTCGTGGTTGATGCATCCTTCCACCCTGACCTTCCTACTGGGAACACTCAAGCTATCGTCATGGTCGCTGCTGAACGTGCGGTAGAGAGAATTATTACGCTTCAAAGCAGTGGCTGCTCGCAGCGGAAGAAACGGGCTGTTTATTTGAGTCCTTGAGTTGGTATTTGGGTGATTCTATTGGGAAATTCCAGAATCCGTTTGTTTTTCCCTTACTCTTAAAAGGCCATAGGCTTTTTGAGCTTAGTAGTAGGAAATTGAGCTTGGGAGTACTTGGAGAAGCCAGTTCCAGTATCAACCAATGTTATATTAAATTTTATTAACATTGACATCCATCCCTGACCCGGCTTCACTCAAATTTGTCATCATCTCGCAAGAGTAGTTAATGAAGAAGGGAAAGGCATATGGAACAGCTTCTGGGTAAATAAGAACTGGGCTTAAAAGAATGGCTTCGACGATTTTGATTTGACCTTGTATACGTTCTCCCTAAAGTTACTGAGTGGGCACATGTAGGTATTAAAGTCACCAAACATTCCTACCCAGGGGGCATAAAATTTGGGCCAAGTAGACAAATGATAAGATGGTTTTTGGTTAATATCAATGACATTCATTACATGCGTATTCTCCAATCATAGTTTCGACAAAGTGAAGATGCAGCTGGTAGGGAGCGAGATTCAATGTACCTGGTCTTCTCCTCTTTCTTAGTCACGACTACTTACATGGAGAAGAACACTACTTGGGCAAAATATAAGCGTAATATGTTTTTTTCCCTTCAGCTTGGCTAATTACGTTGCCGTTGCTGTTACCTTTGGCAGCGTAGTTTCAATAATCACATTATTCTACTATGTCTACCTACTGAATGGACATGAACTTGACATAGTCTGTAAAATTATACAGGAGGCTTTTATCAAGTTAAGTGTAATAATCTTCCCTTGTTTATTGGATCATTCCTTGAAGCGGTCAAGCCGGAAATCACTCAAGGCGGGGTCGCTCTCTCCAGTGAGAATCTGCTTGCTGAGGAGCTCGCCGACGATAGCAGCATTGGTGACACCCGAATGCATGGTGGCGATAGTTAGCCCATCAATGCCTGTAGGCCCCAAGATTGGAAGACCATCCTCAGGGTATGGCCTATAGCCAACAGTATAGTAATCAAGCTTGAGCTTCTCGCTATGCTTAAGTGTCTTCTGCACCAAGGCAAACACCGCCTCGGCTACCTCCTGTGGATCCTCTTCCTCGACCTCAGCACCCGCGCGGATGCGGCCGTCGAGTGTTTGGCGCAGATGCAGGTCTTTGGTGTAGACAACGCTGTTGGCCAATTTGGCCTTGCTTGGCCGAGAATTGACGAGAATACCTTCCTTGCTTGTCACGGGCAAGGCAACGTTCTCCGTGGCAAGGAGATCAACACTGCCGACACCGGCAGCAACAACGACATGGTCGGCCTGGATCTCCCCAGCGGCTGTGACGACACCACTGATGCGACCATCAGTTTTGATAAATCCCGTAGCGGTGGTTTCAACGAGCTGAGCTCCCTTTGCCTCGGCGTGGGCGATCAGTTGGCGCGCAGCGATGTGTGCCTCAACGGCGCCCTCTTCAGAAACATATACACCCCATTCAGGAATAATGTCGTCTTTGATGTTGGGCTCGAGCTCAGCAATAGTCGAGTGGTCGACACGGATGATGTCAGAGCCCCAGCCCGCATACTTGTCCAAGTACGCCTGGAGTTCCTCGGGATCTAAGCTCCAATTCAGGCCGCCTCCCCAGTGGACAGGAAGGTCTGGAAGCTCTTCACTGATCTCTTTCCATCTCTTGACAGAGCGATCGCGGAAGTTGTAGTAGTACTGGGGGTCGCCAGATACCGCGTTGATCCAAGCAAATGAGTTGGGCGTTGCCACACCGCCAACCTGTTCGGCAATAACAGTGACGTTGGTGTCTTGGGAAAGGTGCCAAGCGATGGAAGCACCGACAATGCCGCCACCCACGACTACAACGTGCTGAGGGATGGATTCGACGCTCATTGTGGTGTCCTTGGGGGGGAACCAGGTAGTTGGTGCGGAGGACAGATCAAACTGTTCCATTGTGCCCTGTCCAGAGCTTCAGCAGCTATATATCTTCTTGATATTAAACGTCGGCGCTTTCTCCGATAGTTTTCATAGCTGTTGGCACGCCGACATCGCGATGTTAACAGTTACACCTTCCAGATTAATATACCCGGAGTCCTGGTAATGGCTCAGCGGGGTATTTCCGACCCAGAAAATTGAGCACTATGTTACTATTCTCTGTGGAGAAATGAGCTCATTGCGACCCTATTATCAACCAAAGGATCAGCGGTGCAGGCTACAAGGCTATTTCACCGACAATACGACATATCACGCAACTATGTGCTTTTTGACACTACGATTGCGCTATCTATAAATCCATATTCTACGTATGTTATAGACAACTTCTAATCAAGCTGCAGCCATCTTTATTATAATCTAGGGTGAATATAATCGTCCTAAAATCGATTTCCTGCCAGGTGCGTCTCCAAGACAGCATCTAAACTTTTGTACTCGGCCATTATCTTAATTACACATGATAGATACTAAGCTTAAATGAAGAAATCTTATAATCAAGTGAATCTAATGTAGCAAGAGATCAAAGAACGATGTAATCTTCTAGTGTATGGTCAAAGATTGATCTATACTAAGCGGAATCTTCAAAAAAAGACTAGATTTATTGACTTGAAGGAATGATGGTTGTTATTCATGCAAAAGCGTTATTACGAAGTTAGAAGACGATCCTAGAGATGGAAGTCAGGACAATTTATCTCCAGTAATGCCATGCGGTGTGGGACTTGGCTTGCCAAAATCTCCAATGTAAGTACTCAATCGTCCTGGATACTTGGGTCAGGGCTTTACTTGAAAGGGAAACTGATTTGATTCTTTTTCAGTACTTATAAGAATCACATGGTGAAAGTTAAGGCTTCAGAATAGAGACCATTACTCCAGCTTATTTTTCCGCTAAACCCTCTATCACGCTTTGGGGATGATCTTTGTTTTTTTTAATGGCTCAATCATGCCAGCGGTATGTTTTCAAGGAAAAATTCAATCGATGAGCTTTTATCTACGTATGCGATGATTGATTCTTATTTCTCTTGCAGACGCTATGAAATGGCTGTCTTATAAAATCCCACACCAGGAAAATCAAGTTCAAAATACTAAAGTGTTCCTTGACTCCCAAAAGGCCAAGTACACTCTACTTACATATTGGGTTAATACGTGTCCTATACTTCAGATAATGTATATTGTCTTGTGTTTATTTATTTTCAAGGAAATTCGCGGTTTCTAGCCGTAGGTGAGTCGTTGCATTACCAGCTCCGAGTGTGATTCAGAAGCACTCCCGATAAACATTTGACCGATAAGTACTTAATCAGCGCAATCTTTCCAGCACACTACATGAAGCTCGACGTTTCATTTCAAGCGCAGGGTAGGAGCCGTGATTGGCACCTCTTGGATGTATTCGTGCGGAAGAATCGTCCAGCTGGTGGAAAATCAAGACATTTGGAGGCACGACTGGATACTCCCTGTGAATCTCCCATTCCCCCCTTCAACAAGATTCAACTAAACTGAGCCCAAAAAGAATTTACAGCAAGGTGCTCCGAAGAGTTTTCTCATCGGATCGGTGATAACATCAACTCATGGAGCGACATGCATGAACCCTTGGCCTTGTCGATTTGACACAGCTCAAATTTCCCGAGAGTGCGTCGGGAATATAATTATGATACAAAAAACAACGATCTTGTTCTCTATGGGATGTTTTTGCTTTTGGGCGATGAGAGGTGGGGTCATGCGGGAGATGCTGTCCCGCGTCGTGTTTCGAAATCATCGGGCATCAATGACCACTGGCCAACAGCTGCGGAGTCAAGTCAGGGAATCCCCGTGTATTCTGGATGACGTTCGCTGCGGATGAGTACTTTATTATCTGTATGGGTGTGGATCCATAAGATGAACGAAAGATAGCGAATACCCCAAGGAAGAACGAGCTCCTGCCCGTCGTGATTTAGTGTAGGTAGGCTTGATATTCTATATGCCAAGCCCAAAGCCCATGATGGGCTAGATTACCTACCACATGAAGGAATATGACTACAAAAATGACAGGCCTGGAACGGCTCGTCTTGCACTGTTGCCTTCCGAATATTTTCGCGGAGTGCTCTGTTCGGCCCCTCATCTATGCCGTGTCTCACTTTGTTACAAGTCCTGCCATGGAGCTCCCTAGGACAAGGACCAATCCCTTCACTCGATCTTAATAAGCCATTAGTGATATATCCTCCGTGCTCCCACCTCGGTAAAAACTCTTCGCGGTCCGACGAATCAGACTCGTACTAGCGTTGATTCCCTCTTCTTTGGTATTCCACTACCGTTCTTTTCTTTTTCTTCCATGAAACAGCCTCTACTAGAAATGGAATGCTGCCGTGCATGAAACTGCCGTCGTCAACGATCTAGCCCTTGGTAATGCTTGTCACCTGCATTTCGCTTGATGCCGCAGCAGAAGCGGCCGCCCAGCCACAATTGAAACATGCCAGAGCGAGGGAGGGTGTGAAATACAGTAGTTGTGTGAAGATGCCGGGCCAAATTGCAGCCTGCGAAACAGCAAGCTCCCCGCCCGGGTATGCCAAACGAAGACGTTTGAATGATTCAAGCCCCTTTAATATTTGGACTAGAGATGACGCTTGAATTACTCCCCCATATACTTGCTCTACCCAGAGATTTGCGCATGTGGATTTTGGGATGGTCAGACGCAGTGACCACCGACCTGAACGAGCGAGGCAGAATGGCATGGAGGATTTTCATATTGGCGGGTCAGATGATAGTTGCCACCGCTCTCAGCGAGACTATTGACGCGGCTTGAGAGGTGCCGGGTGGGCAGGAATCACACTGTTGGGCTCGAGGACAAAGGTCGTTCCTTGTGGCTGATCAAGGCTGCCTTGGCGCTTAGTTGTCAATATTGATGTTGGTAGCAGATAGTCTCTAATAGGTCGCCTGATGGTTCGTCATCCATGAGCGATGGATTCCAAGCCCTTATTAAGAGCGGCAGTTGGTGATCGGGAGTCGCATCAGTCAGCACCGTGTTGGCCCGCTGCTTGCTTACAGGGAGCTTTAGCCCCAACTGGCCACTATCGGCACACTGGCCAGCGGGTGTTGGCCACTAAAAGGCTCAGGATCCGCGCTTATGCAGCTTACCCGATGTCCCCAAGCAGTAAGATCTCGCCCAACGGTGAGCTGACTTGTTAGACCAGACAGTTGAAGCGAATGAAGATGATCATGCATGGTTTTTTCGATGTTCTGATCGCGGGACTAGCTCTTTCGAGGCCGGCATTCGCACATCGAGGCGCATGCACTTACGAGTCACTACTCTTTGGGGTGGATCGCCAACCAGAAGAGTCAGGAGAGGGGCTCGCGCGAAAAAATAGCCAGACACACGGGGACTTTGGCCAACCACCACGGCTGGGCCACTCGAGACGTCGGCCGTAGAGACTAGAGTGATTGGTCCCTATTCGAAACCATAGTCGGGCCATCCGCGCACTGACTAAGGCCGATGGGTTCTCGTTCTCTTCGGGAGGGCGCGTGGCTTTTGCACGAGGCTTGGGGCTAGACCCGACCCTGGACGAAAGCGGAAGGCATCACCATGGACAAACAATCTGCGTTTCAGTGGCCCGTTTCAAGTTGTCGACTGCGGCCTCTGCTGCACCATGCGATGCGTCATTTTCCCACGCGCGGTCTCGTTCACTCTCATGAGACAGTGAGACCAGCGCCGCAGTGAAGACAGACTTTCTCTGGCGTGGCGATACGAATCAATAACAGCCGGGGCATCACCTCGCGGCCGGCCCCCAAGCGGCGGTGTTCTCTGGGGTGTGTGCTGGCTGACTGGCGGTCGGTGCCGCCTCTGCCTGTGCGAGAGTGGCCCCGGTGGCTGTTTCGGCTTGCCCAGCTAAACATAGGTAGTCGCTGGGTTCCTCTGAGTACCACCACAGGATCCCACGATCCAAAAAGCAAGAAATCGTGAATCATGACCAGGGAGGGGTCCCATCTTGGCCGCTCAGCCCCTCACCCACGCCGCCGCCGGGTCTGAGCCGCGTGTGTTGCAGGCTTCGCTCGGGAGGTTAGGGTTATGCCTCCTTGCCCCAAACCACGTTGTCTCGCCTCGTTGCCTTATCCCCCCCTAGGCACTATGCCTTAATTTATCATAGCCTTCATGCTTGTGCATGTGTGACAGGAGGAGGGGTCCATGCAGGCACCGCATATGATCCGCGGGGGGGCGTCTGCCCTCCCGTCTTATAAACCTGGGATCCCTTCGCTCTCCCGCACCGCTTACGTCTTCAAGCTCTTCCGTGGCTGGCCTGCTCGAATGGTGTTGCTCCTCTGATTTTCTCTTCCCATCCAGCTGCTGGTCAGTTTTCTTGGTGCTCTTCTCTTGATGCTCTGCGTCTGTTCATACCGGCTTGCCAACCATGACCACGACGTATACGTTCTACTGCCTCACCCTCGCCTTTCTAGCCACCGCCCTCGTCACGAGCATCGTCATATGTTTTCTGTCATTTCTCAAGCTCCATGCTCGAAGTAAGACGGCAGAGGTCGGGGTCAACTGGATCCGGGCCTCGATGACCATCACCTGCATGTAAGTCAGCATCCGACATGCAACGATCCCAGCCAAGGGGGCCAAGTATCTAACATGCTCCGCAGATGGCTCATCGTATGGTTGGTAGAGGCGTCCATGGCTTTTTATGTCGACAGGAGCGGCATCACGGGGCCCAGCACCCTGCACAGCGTTCTAGATCATATGGAGGGCGCGAGGACACTCTTGGGCGTCGTGACATCGGCGACCATCATGAGCACTGAGGCCGAGCTCGTCGTCACCCTCAAGCAGGACGTCACGATCAAGAACACTCGCACCCTGACTTGGGCCTTGTGGACGTTTATCCTCTTTCTTGGGCTGATTCGCTTCATCTTCTACGAGATCAGCCTCACGACACACGACGCTGAAGTCATATACAGCGCTTCGGCATATATGGAGATGGCCCTCTATGTCGTCATCTGCCTGATTGCCTTCGTTCCCTTCATCTGCCTCGTCCTGTACCGCTCGATGCTCCCCAACTCGGTAGGTTCACACCCAAGGCATCCACTCCCAGTGTGCCCGTCTCTAACAACAGCGGAAATGCAGATTTTCTTCCTACTCCTCGTCGCCTACTTCCTCACCGTCGGCCGTCTCGGCTTCTCCATCGCCCAAGACGTCCTCGTCGGGATCGGCGCCGACCAGCACGATGCCTACCTGACCCTCCCAAATTGGATACGCATCGCCGAAGCCGCCGTCGTCGGCTGGGCGGCCGTCATGACCATGACCATCATCTACAGCGCCATCCCCAAGCCGAAGAAGAAGAGACCTTCAAGGCGAAACAGGTTCTCCACGGCCTCCGACATGTCCTTCAACTGCCAGGACACTCTCTACTGGGACGCATTGACCAAGAGCAAAGATTCCTCGATCGGGAGCAATCAGGTCTAGGCTTCCAATTATCCATCACAAGGCGGGTTTTTTTCCCTTAGATTGTTCATGTTATATTGTTTTAGGGGTTTAAGGTCTGGGACTTGGAGGAAGTTTGGTGTTTATGGTTTTGGCAGTTCTTTTTTTTTTTTGCTTCTCACGGTTTTTACGAGCACATTGATACCCACGACACCGTGCAAGACAGGTTAGATGCACACAGCTGATTTATGAAGGTCACGATTCAAAGAAGGATAAATTGAAAAGTCGGTTTTTTTATTCCTTAGCATAACTTGCAAGATGGGAGAGGTCAGGCGACGCCCGCATCCATGCTTCTGTGACACACCGAACGTTTCACTCACCGACTCAGCAGACCGTTGCTGAGACGGTTCTGTGCTTCATAAAAATGGGCGACGTGATAAGAGTTGTTTCTGTCAGTGACATGTCATGAGCTGGTGATGGTTGTTCTACTCGTAGGTACGGTAGGTGACCATCCGTGATCAAGGGTATGAGGAAGTGGCGAAATGCAGAGCATGGATGCTAAAAAAAAACCTACATATGCATTATTTTTACAATGCCTGCATCACATCAATTGACCCACGGCCGAGGGCGTAGGATGGGCATATCTCCAGTTGTGGCGTAACTCTCCCGAAGGTTTGGGGCTTGAGAGATTTTGCCGTTTGTGGGCCTTCTGAAACTATACCGACTTTTCCCATCAACGGATTGAATCCTTGCATTGGAGGAACAGTCCGAATCGATCCGAGCACCTATCAAGAAACATACTTATTATAGCCAGGCAAGCCGACCCGCACAACGACTCCAGAATCCAAAGCCAGGGCCAGGAAACGAAAGGATGGACAGCCCACGCCGGCGCGAGCTTGAGGTGGCCATCGCCGCCGTCCAGGCCGCAGCCAGGTTGACGCAGCACGTCATCAACTCAAAGGACAAGGGCTTCGTCGAGAAGAACGATGCCACTCTCGTCACGGTCGCAGACTTTGCCAGCCAGGCGCTGCTGATGGCCACCATCAAGGCCGCGTTCCCCGGCGACCTGATCGTCGGCGAGGAGGACGCCTCGCAGCTCAGAGAGGACCCCGCCCTGCAGGACGAGGTGTACGCTCTGCTGCAGTGGCTGGGGACCAGCGAGGAGGAGGGCCGCGATGGCTGGAAGGTGCCCGAGAGCCGGGATCGCATGTGCGACCTGCTCGACGAGGGCGGCTCCAGCAGCCCCTCGCGCTCCGGGCGGACGTGGATCTTCGACCCCGTCGACGGGACCAAGACGTATATCCGGGGCGAGCTCTACGCCATCAACGTCGCTCTGCTCGAGGACGGGAAGCAGTCCGTCTCAGTCGTGGGGTGCCCCAACCTGGGGATCGACGCAAAGGCCCCCATCGTCAACGGCGACATCAGCCCCTCCGGCATCATCGTCTTCGGAGTCAAGGATCACGGCGCCTACGTCCGTCCGATAGAGGGCAGGCCAGAGGACGTGGAGATCCGGCAGCTCCCCCAAATCTCGCCAGACCTCACCTCCGCCGACCTGCGCCTAGTCACCTGCGAGACCCTCAACGACTCGTCCCTCCCCGGCGTCCACGAGGCCATAGCGACGCGCACCGGCACGCCGTACCCGGGCTCCGACCTCCTACCCTGGGTTCTGCGGTGGACGGCGCTCGCGCTGGGGCTGGGCAACACCACGGTCTGGGTGTACAGGAGGCTGGAGCGGCGGGGGAAGATCTGGGACCATGCCGGGGCGATGCTGCTGTTCGAGGAGACGGGCGGGCGCGTCACGGACGTCCACGGCGGGGACATTGACGTGACGGCCGGCCGCACCATGACCGAGAACTTTGGCTTCGTGGGCGCGCCGAGGGGGCTGCACAGTCAGGTCTTGGGGGCGGTGCATGCGGAGCTGCGTGGGCAGGGCCATATGGCGCATTTGGGACCTTGTGCTTAGTCGACTATCCGGTTGTTTTCTCGAAAATGGGGTCTTTGGGAGCTGATAGAGGTTGAAATAGACTGAGCTGAATAGGCAACCCCCGGTTTGCTGATGTTGTCATCCCGCCTAGTGAAGGATCACAGGCACTCTTTTTGCCATCTACTGCATCTTCATGATCGAGTTGCCTGTTGCAATTCTGGGCATCTTGATTGGATGAGAGCTGGCATTATGGCACGGTGGTCGATGTGATCGCTTGGGCGCAACCACATGTTTGGCTATGTCTTGATACATGGCACGGAGGCAATGACGGCAGCCATTGCATGATAAGTGCGAAACAAGGGATGAAGTGCCAGTGACTCGTAGTATCATAAAAATGCCCGAGCGCCATCTTACGTGCCAATTTGGGTACATCACCCCTACCCCAGCTTTCTGGGGATCTCGAAGATCAAGGGCAGCCTCATCTAGTTCCTGCTGCAGGAGCTCGCTTGTTCGGCATCGCAAGCCGTGGAAGTCTCTATATCTATGGTATTAAATCCATTCTTGCGAAGAAATACTCATAGGTGGCTTACAGGCTGAGAGCAAATGGCTTCATGCCAATACCCCGGGCGACATGCATGAAAAGGGACAAAATAAGCTACATCTGGGGCGTTTCAAAAACGCTCACCAAAAAGGCATCACGCCAGGCGTTCGAGGCCATGCAAACTCATGCATGGATATTAGTTGCACATACATAAAGTACATGGACAACATGTTGATGGATGATAGGTATATTTGATTGAGGCAATCAAGCTCGGAGACTGACTATACGTGTATCTATTTACGCCCCGGCCAATCGCTTGCAGAAAAGGATCCACGGGTATCCTTCCCAGATAGTATCTGGCAGGCAGGCAACGACATTGCGTGAGCAGCGAAGAGCGCTGATTTCGATGCCATTTGGACCCGGGAACCAGCAGTATCGCATCAATCACACAAGCAACGATCGGCACAGCGCCAGAACGGTAATTGGCGAGCTGGTACTTCGGTACGTAATTCCTTCCAGAGCGCCGGATTGGATGCGCTGGCCGCTGGAGATTAGCTGCTGGGACGTCAGGTGGGTGCACTTGCGCGGTACGACGCTGGTGAGTGGCCAGTGCCGGTGCTCTGACGTCGTCGCCGGGAACCACTGCGGAACAGGTAGCCTGGTACCTGCTCGAGCTGCTGAAACACCAGATCACGGTGGGTACCCGCTACCTCTAGCCTGTCTACCCGCTAGCCCAGCCTGATTCCAGCAGCAGCCCGTCATCCATTGCTCCCGTTCGAGCACCTCACCATTCGCCAGGTACCTGTAGTAAGTGGCATGTACGGTACGGTACAGCAACCGCTAGCAGTGTTCTCCATTCCCCATTCTCCAGCGTGCGACTACTGCCAGTCAACCCAAACCTCATCCTCCGCCTCCACTCCAACTGGGAACCGACTGGGGCTTCCCACCTTCTCCTCATTCATCCGGCTCCTCTGGCCACCGTCTCTTCTGCCTGCTGTCTGTTCCTGATGCACCATCCGTCACTCCCTGCCGACCCGACCGTCTGCCCTCTGCTGCCCATTGACATTGACGCAGCCTCCGTCATCTCCAGAGTGGCGCTGCTGCATTGCATCCCCCGGGCGACCCAGCGTGCCCTCGTCCTCACCTAATTTCACCCGGCTCATCTTCCAGGCAAGCAGACCAGGCAAGCACCTGAGACTTGTGTGAGCCGTGTTACAAGTTAGCTGACACAGGCACCAGCTCCTCCAGCACCACCTCCAGCCCTGCCCCACATTCAAAGTCAAGAACAACAACACATCCCGCCCGTTCGAGCAGACAACCCGACCAATTCCCCATTTCTGTGCCAAACACATCGACGGCGGGCTTCGTTCCTGGCCCCTCTCAATTCCAACCTAGAGACGATCCCTCTTCCCTGCATCCAGACCCGGCCGCGCGCACCCTCCAACGCACCTCCCCTAGTGCAGTGTGCGCACCCCCGTGTGCCACAAACCGAGCTTCCAGTATGGCTGCGCTGTTCCGTGTCAAGGCGCTCTATGAGTACACCTCGCCGCACGAGGACGACCTCAACTTCGACATCGGCCAGGTCATCACCGTTACCGAGGAGGACGACGACGACTGGTACGGTGGCGAGTACCTGGATGCTAATGGCGTGAAGAAGGAGGGTATTTTCCCTCGCAACTTCGTCGAGAAGATAGAACCTCAAGCTCCCCCTCGGCCGACCAGGAACCGCCACAAGAAGGACACCGAGGCTCCTCCCCAGCCAGAACAAGCTTCGTCACATCCTCCTCCCCCTCCTCCGACCGTGCCGGCCGTCGAACCGCCTGCCCCGCAGCCCTCAGAACCCGAGATCGAGGAGGCTCCCGAGCCCGTCCAGAAGAGCCCTACTTCTCCCCAGAAGCAGCCAGCGCCCCCCGTTCCTACGCCTTCTTCGCCGGTCAAGGCGGCTCCCGCTCCTGCTCCCGCACCCGTACCTGTCCCAGCACCTGCTCCAGCACCTGCTCCCGCCCCCAAGTCGAAACCCGGTCCTCCTCCAGTCTCTGAGAAGCCGAAGAGTAGCTCTTTCAGAGATCGCATTGCCGCATTCAACAAGCCTGCTGCACCTCCTATTGCGCCCTTTAAGCCTGGGGGACTAAGTGCTGGCGGTGGTTCTGGGGGCGGAACTGGCTTCATCAAGAAGCCCTTCGTCGCCCCTCCCCCAAGCCGTCATGCTTTTGTGCCGCAGCCGCAGCAGGCCCCCGTGGCCAAGGTATACCGAAGGGACGAAGACCCCGAGATCAAGGACAAAGAGGCCGAGAATCAGTTACAAGCAGAGCGTGCTGGCTTAGCTGGAGACCACGCTGAGGGTGAAGAAGGCGAGGATCAACCCAAGCCTACCACTCTGAAAGAACGAATTGCGCTGCTCCAGCAGCAGCAGCGAGAACAAGCCCTGCGCCAAGCCGACGCCGCAGCGAAGAAGGATAAGCCCAAGAAGCCGCCCAAGAAAGCTGAGCCCGCACCGGAGGATGCCGTAGAGGAGGAGGATGTGCCGCCCGTGCCCCTCGGACGGAGAAGCACCGAGGAGTCCGGGGCCAGGACTTCGACCGATGATGGCCAGTCTGCTCGTGCACCAATGCCCAGGAGGAAGGCTTCCAAGGGTCCGGCTGTGGACCCCGTCCTCGATGGCAATGAGGCCGACATGTCCGGTGCTGGCGATACTACGGAGGGACAGGATGATACCACCGAGCGGGAGGATAACGATGATGTTACACGACACCCTGCCCATGCCTCGACCGCGCCTCCAGTTCTACCTGCGAGGAAGTCGAGCGAGGCTGCCCCGGAGACACGCGAGGAAGAGAATGCGCCAGAGCAAGAGGTGGAAGAGGTCGAGGAGGAGGATGTTGATCCCGAAGTCAGGCGCAAGGAGGAACTTCGCGCACGAATGGCCAAGATGAGTGGTGGCATGGGCTTCCACGGCATGTTCGGCATGCCCGCACCCGGCGGCTTGCCTCCAAAGAAAAAGAAGCCTGCCCCGCCGCCTGACGCGTCTGAGGAAGCTGGTGCTGATGAGGCGCCAGCGGTATCTCGCGCTGCCCCTCCAATTCCTACCATGATGGCTTTGCCTGGAATGGGTGGCCCGAAGAAGTCAGAAGAGGGAAGCCGTCCCAGGGAAGACGAGCTTGAGGCTAGCACCCGAGCTCCTCCTCCTCCTATTCCATCCCGGCAGTCCACCCAGGAGCTTGACAATGCAGACGACGACGAGGACAATGATACCACTCCCGCCTTGACTCCTGCACCCACCGGTATGTTGCCATTCAATCATAAGCGAGGACGCCCACTAATCATGCTGCCAGTACCTCCTCGGGATGCCGTCTCCCCTCCCGCAGTTCCTGGTGGTCGACCAGCTCCTCCACCAGTGCCTGCAGAATGTAAGAGCCTGACTCTCTCATCATCCATGTAAAAGACCTTCAGGCTAACTCCAACCAACAGCTCGTCCACCTCCACCACTTCCACCTACAAGCTTACAATCACCAACAGACGGGTCAGCGTCTGACGATGAACTTTCTGCCGCTCAGGATAAACCTTCTCACAGCGCAGTGCCGCCACAGCTGCCCCCTCAACCTCCATCTACTAATGAACCCTCGTCTCCTTTGTCTACTGCATCAAAACGAAATAGCCGACCACCCCCTCCCATCCCTGACTCTGCACCTCCAGCCCATGCCAGGCCACCGCCTCCTCCTCCTCCAGGAAACATCAGCCGACAATCAACAGCAGAGGCTCATCGTTCTCTGCCAGTTCGACCTAACCAGGCTGGTGAGAGGAATGAGGATGAATTAACTGAGTATGAGGGCGATTACGACACTGATATTGCCTCATCAGTACACCACAAGGATGCTCTAAAGGCACATGCCCGTGATTCTAGCCTGGAGGATAATACTCTCCAGTCTCCTGTTACAGATACGCCGCCGACTTTACCACCACCCGTCCCGTCATCAGCACCTCGAGCAGGACCTCCGCCTATCCCCAGCCAGGCGCCGCCTCCACCTATCCCCAGCCAGGCTCCTCCTCCTCCCATTCCTGGCCAGGCACCGCCAATTCCTAGCCAGGCACCGCCACCACCTGTTCCTAGCCATCCACCTCAATCACCTCGAGAAAGCAAGCGTCGGTCTGTAGATTTCCCTCGCGCAGCTCCGCCTCCACCGCCTATCCCAAGTCAACCGCCTCAATCGCCGCCAGAGACCACCCGACGGTCTGTAGACTTCGCCCCGCCTCCCCCACCTCCGGCAGTGGCTTCTCCTGATGAATATGATCTTTACAATAATCACGCCACTCCGACTCCTGGTTATGCCCCACGGACGCCCAAGATCGATGAGGAGAGTTACTTTGCAGACACGGCCCTTGCCCCTACTCAATCTCCTCCCGACCGAAGGGCTCCTGGACCTGCCAGAACACCCACTACTCGTCAATCTGTCGACCTTGGCAGGAAATCCATGAGCGCAAGGCGGTCCGTCGATGTCCCCAGGTCTGGCGCCGAGTCTGGGTTCATTGCCAACGATATCGATCTGGGAGCCCAGAGTGGTTGGTGGAAGCAAGCTAACCAGGTCCCTCCCGCCCTGCAAGGCAGACGAGACGTCTTCTTTGAGAGCGAAGAGTCGACTTCAACCAACCAAGGTTCCAAGACCATTGTTACTCGGGAAATCTACGTCTTGTTCCAGGACTACTCGCAGACGATACTCACCGTACGTTACGATCCCTACAATCCTGCAGATGTCGAGTTAGAGCAGCGTCACGAGCCTCCTCCACGACCCCTCCGCCAAGACCAGATGGAAGAGTGCTACGAAAGATTCGGCCGGGCTGTTTCCCAAGCCGTGGCGTCCAGGAAGGACACCATTGTTGGCGATGGCACCCCTCAGGGCTTGGTCATGGAACTGCTGAAGCCGTTCAGCGAGGCTCTACACCCGGTTGGCACGCGCGCCTACGGTGCTCTAGTCTACTCGAACATGGGCAACGCTTCGACGCAGCACAATGATATGATCCGTCCCGGCGACATCATCTCCATCCGCAACGCCAAGTTCCAGGGCAAGCATGGCCCCATGCACGCCAAGTACTCGGTCGAGGTTGGCAAGCCGGACCACGTGGGTGTCGTCGCCGAGTGGGACGGCTCGAAGAAGAAGGTCAGGGCGTGGGAGCAGGGCAGAGAGAGCAAGAAGACCAAGATGGAGAGCTTCAAGCTCGACGACCTGCGGAGCGGCGAGGTCAAGATCTGGCGCATCATGCCCCGGAGCTGGATCGGCTGGAGCACCCCATCCTAGGAGGGATGTTGCTGGAAGAGATGTAGCTGCGGGGAGTGCTGGACGCTGTGTGTGTGTAATGTCTCTGGTAGTAGCCCAGACAGAAGACGGTAAAAGGGGGGGAGAAGAGATCAGAGGGGAAAGGAAAATCTGGAACGAAACCCAGCGTGCGTGTGAGCCTTTTTGCCAGGGTCAGCGAGTGGAAAGAACCATGCGTTGCCTTTGCCCTCCCTCCCCACGTTGCAACTTCTTTTTATATCTTATTCTATATTCTAGTTTTCTTCACCTCAGCATATTCTCAAAGACATCCATCCACTCGCTCATATATACTCTGCTTTTTTTTTCTCTCACCTTTCAGATCCTAATCTCCGCGTGTATGTAGATATAGACTGAGACGCACTGATTTTGGTCCTCTCATTATCTTTTGGGTAGCAACAATTACGTGAAAACACCGAGCTGAGACCAACATCAATGACCGCATAGCTTTTCCTCATCCTCGTGACGATCATGACAATTGATGACCGGCTTTCAGCTGTTGATAGGTGCGACAATCAATGATGAGCAAAGTCGGATCTTCATATTGCGTAAACAGCTCCCCCAAGCTCGGGAGCTTACCTCCTTTCCTACCCAGGTATTTAACTTTGAAACAAGAAAAAGCATGACATCACCAGCTGGGTTGCCACATCTGACTAGAGCTCTGCGCTTTTGGTTGCCCACCCTCTCGAGTCTCCCGCTCACCGCGTTGTAATTGGACGTGAGTACCCTCTAGGGTAGGTACGTCGGCTGAGGAGGCCACCTACCTCGGTTTGTGCTCACGGCCGAGGGATAAGCATGAGCGGACGGAGAGCGAGGAGGGAGGGCGAGGTTGGATGGATGACGCACGGCGATGGGAAGCGAACGGGCGCTGGACTTCGCCGGGGGGAAAGGCTGATTGGGGAGCTGGGGCGGACCGACCGGTGAGGTTTGGGGGAGTGTGTGGTGGCCATTTGTTGCTGCGGAAGTGCCAAGGGGGGGAGGGATTGACGGCGAGTTTTGAGTGCATGCAGTGAGAGAAGCCTCACGGTAGGCTATGGGAATGAGACCTGTCATTTTTATGGAGGAGTTGGTGTGGTAAGAAAGTGCGGCAGATAGGGTCGTGATGATGCACTTTGTGTTCACAAGGGGTGATCTTATTGGTCTAGAGGGTGGGAACAGTGAGAGCTGAGCGACTGCCGAGCTCTTGTGAGCTGGGTTTGTGTTTCATTCGGTAACGATACGACGGCGCAGCGCGCAAACCATATTGAACCGGCTTCCACAATGGTGAAGTGTACGTAAGATGTCTGGAGGTTGCTCTCGGCGAAGTCTTCCGGGAGGCTTGGGTTGCTCTACACTATTGTGATTGAAGTGTATGCATTTAGGCTTTCTACGGTATTGTTCGACAATGCTTCATTGTGCTGCATGAGGTTACGGGATCTACGGAAGGCGTAAAGGGAAATACGATCCGGAGCTCGAGGATGGTTGAGTAATGCAGGATCATATCTCGATTTGCAGTGTCCATGTGATGCTGGTGAGCCAATCAGTTGGGGGAGCTGGCGCCAATCCTGCTGAATGCGTCCATGTCTGCGATGAGGGAGGCCTATAGTAGAGAGACGTAAGCGCTATTGAATTGGGTTTTGGTGCACAAGGGCAAGCCTTCAACCCAAATCCAAAGCGTTGCAGATGAGGGAGAAGAGAGATTACGCATGGCTTCATGATCGGCTTCGTGTTGTATGATCCCAAGCCACTGGATTGAAAACTGGGTCTGAAGCAAGATGTCGTCAAGGCAGATTGGAACAAGTGGACGGATCGTCATGTTAGCTTTGCTCCGAGCTGCCCGATGAGAAAACACTATGCGCCGAGGGAGCTGAGTTGTCTCCCTGGGAGCTAGATGAGGGAGGACATGTTGATCGCTGCCCATGGTCGGGGAGGGGGCATCGGGGAATATCCAAGACGCGGTTAGGATAGATTCTGTGCTCATCCAGCGGAGCTGCATCGGAGCTGCTGGAACTGTGCGACAGCGACTGCACGAACTGCGTGGCAAGGGCTAGGTTGTTCTAGTTCTAGATGCCCAGAGACAGGGCGTCGAACAGATTGGAATTCATCCACCCATTGGAGAGTAAGCGATCCCTATCGCCGAGTCCGGCCTGAAAGGGCCCTGCGCCCAATTGAGGCCGGGAAGAGATGGCATGGCGATTCTGCCTGACCGATGCCAGAGCTAGGCCTCCTATGACACTGACAGCCTGACTGGCATGGGCAGCAAACCATGGAACTGTTCGAAAATAGGCACCATGCCGAGTAGGAGAGAGCCTGCATGCAGTAGTCAGTGGGATGAAGCTACCTGGAAGGCGAAAGGGAAGGCGAGCAGAAGGCGAGTGAGAAAATTCGGACGTTGAAAGACGAATGGGAGCTTGACAGATGGCGGTGATGGAGCCGGATTGGCCCTGACGCGTGGGGTCCAGGACCTAGCGCAGGCGGTGCATACATATCCCACGCACGGTTGGAGGGTGCATGTATGCCATACCTGACATCTCCAGGGGGCATTTGCTAGGCGAGGCATGTTCGTAATGACGATGATATGTGATGTTGAGTAGAAAGGCAACAGAGAGAGCAACGGGAGAGGCCTAGTGTCGACAGCCCAAGCACAGCGGCATAATCCACACGGCCCGACTGCACTACCAGCAGGCGGCCCCTCCCTAGTTGCAAACAAAGTTGGAGGAGACCTTGGTTGTACACCTCAGAGACGGAAGGATGACAACTGGGCCCTGGATCTGCTAGTGCCGTCGATTCAAGGCCAGTAGATCTTGTCGAAGCCCCAGCTTGGTTAGAGTGCACTACCTTATCCAGAGAAGGCACCGAAGGTCGTATTCCAGAACTAGATGGCTGCACGCACGTGCGTAGGGGTGTGGGCAGGCGTTGCTGGAAGCCGGTAGCATTGGGCAGCTGAGGGCCGGAGTCGGTGGTTCTTGAGGAACGATTGGACAGACACACTGCTGAGGGTGTCGGTTTGATGGTCATGAACAGCGAGAGGCTAGCCCATTCTGATGGAGGTCATGTCACGAAGTCCCGGCCAATCTGACTCTCGGTTGAGTTTGTGTACTGCTCGCTTGGAGGAGGAGGACATGCGTCGTTTTTCGTTCTCCAGCTGGACGCGGGGGTGGGACGGGGCACCGAATCAGTCTGACTGGAGGCAGCAGAATATTTGCAGAGGAGGTGGTAGCATCGTCAGTTGGGTGGAGAAGGAGGGGCGATGAAAGACGGAAAATCAATCGATTTGGAAGCTGTGGCCTGGGGAGATGGGGAGATTTCCAAGATTGAGGTGCTCTATCGAGAACTGGGGAGGTTTGCTGCCATTCATAGCGGCAGGTAGCAGGTCATAGTGGTCAGATGGAATGGCTTAGAGGAGATCGAAACCGGTTCAGCGCAGGTCACCTGCTATAACAGCTCCCTAAGCACCCTGAGATAGGCGAGGCCAGGCGCGGTTGGCGTGTGGCAGAGAATTACCCGGAGCAAAGGTTCACCCGCTGCACGTGACACGCAGGAAAAGACTGTGAGCCCCGGGAGAAGTCGGAAGGAGCGATGCGATGCGTGAGGAAAAAGACCACCGAAAAGGCCACAGTCAGGCCATCTCGACTCTTCCTGTTCCCACTGCGGCTACATCCTGCCCATGATGATGAAATTTGTCGATTACCATTTCAGACTGCGGATGATCTTCAATCGCTATTCTCCTCGTTGCTGGTTGCCAGTAAGTGGATGACCGCGGAAGAGTCAGAGAGCCCCGCAGTTGTCTATCCTCTGCCAGTGTTTTGCTGTTGATCTCATCAGACAGCCATCTATGGAGACTGGCAGGACTGGGTAGATTCCTCCAGGTTCGAGGAATGATGACTTGTGCTGTGCTGTGTACTTCGTTTCATCTGTCCGTGACCGACAGGCTAACCAGCTCAGGGAACAGCACAAGCCTTGCCCATGTGCTCACCTGAGATCCAGCCCAGCTTTCCTAGACTGTCTCTCTGCTAACGCTAACACCGCTGGCATGACCAAGCTGGCAGTGTAGTGTGCCCCTCGATCTGAGTACGTGCCGTCTTTCGGTGCTGATTCTAGATGCTGCTGGGGCGTTCAGTTCACACTCTCACGGCACACCCGTGCCAATGAAAACTTTAACCACCTTCCTACACGCAAAAGGCCAACTCAACTGCTGAGCGCCGTCAGGCCCTGCTTTCGCCGAGCCCGTGGGTGTGCCCAAACGAAAATAACCGACCTGATTAGCAACCAAAGAGCCCCTCGGCAGGGAGTGCATGCTACGGGATGGTCGCATCACCACCGTAACCCCCTGTCCGTTCTCCACGATCCTGGCTGGTCACTGGTGGCGTGACTGCATTACTCACTGTGGCCTGGGATGGATCTTTTTTTCCTTCACGTTGAGGTCTCTGCGCCCCCTCGACTCCCCCACACATTGTGGAAGCATTAGTGCAGCAGTGCATGCAACAGTGTGCTCGTATGCAGACGAGGCTGATCTGGTTGGATGACTCGTCGTCCATGGCCCACGCGCGGGAGTGCGGCCGACATGCAGGGCGCCAGTTGCTACCTTGCTCCTTGGCCCTCACTCAGCACGCCGCACGCCGCATCACATCAGGCAAGCGACGGCTGGCTTGGGTTTCTTTCTTTTTTTCCCACCAAGATGGGAGCTCCCGAGGCCCGCCCAGTCCACTCCGGTCGACACCACACACCACATCACTAGCCTGCTGCTATCCCATGCCCTGCCACTGACATGGGGGGCAATAATCCCTTGAACTTCCGGCACTACGTACCATGCTGCCTGCCATACCTGATCTGATGAATTTTTACAGACTTGGCTTAATGTAGTACCCGCCTGGATGGGTTGTCCCGTGGCATGGCACGGTATGAATGAGCAGTCGCGCCTATGGCCAGGAATATATCAGAACATGCCCAACCTCCATCCCACCTCACATGGGTTCCGCTCTGCCTCTAGACTTCCCCATCATTGAATATTCTGCCTAATCTTTGCAAATGACTACCCTTACTGCCTGACAGAGGCAATTTATTTATCCTTTCATTGTACGATAAGCTTGTGAGCCTTCAGTACAATTCATAACGCTCCACCTCCGCTACCAACGCATCACTTATATCACATCATATTCCACACCACGATCCGCATCTATCTACATATCTACACATACATAACTATAAAAGCGTTGCCATGGAGAGCAACTCGCAAGCAAGCGAAACCATGTTACCCCTGAAACGCTTCGACAACTCCCCGCACTACGACCAGGACGACGACAATTCCTCGGTATTATCCAGCTACGAGCAAGGCTCTCACTCTTCAGTAGAATCAAAGTCCACTGCCTCGACGTCGTTGCGCTCGTCCAAAACCCCCAAGAAGCAACAACTAAAACCAATCGTCATTCAGAAGGACAAGGACATGGCAGCTACGTTCGGCTACAAGTTCAAGACTGAAGATCCTAGGAGCTCAACAGAAACCTACAATTCTGTTTTCTCGGAGGACAGCGAGTCCGAAGATGATGACAACGAGAATGACCACCAGACTATCCTGCCCACAGATGACGATATCCCCGCTGTATTACCTCAGTACCGTGCCTCCATCGTCGATCCCTTTGTCAGGCCATCGACGCCAGATGCCTTTGGGAGATTGTTCCCTTCGATGGATCGCTTGTCGATTCGTCATGACGACTTGACACCTGATGGTAACATGAATCTCAGAGTCGACACAGTTGTCCCGGGGAGAAATGGTCGCCGTCCTCTCACCGTACAGCTCTTCCACTTGCGAATGCACGACCTTGGTCGCCGAGAGTTTTCGCTCCGCCGTTACTGCCGTGACTCTGGCCGAGAGGTCTGCAACTCCAAGCGAGCCTATGCCGAACCGGGACCGACTACACGTCCTGGGCTTCAACGGTCATTCTCCTCGGTCATGCGATCCGTCAAAGGCCTTCCCTTCCATATACACCACCATACTTCACAGTCCCAGCAGGGCAAGGGCCTGGCGGGCACCAGCTCTGCGTCGTCGTCTTGGGATGCTATATCTCTTCGCTCTATGCGAATCCGCCGGGATTCTTGGACCAGCGACAAGCCAGTCCCCTCGCCATCTTGCCTCGTCCCCACAAACACGGTCAAGCTCGAGTTTAGCAACTATGCGCGCGTCGACATATCCAGGAACAACCACCACAAGGTACACCATTACGACTTTGAGTGGTGGGGCCACAAGTACTCGTGGAAGCGCGTTCTCGACAAAGACCTCAGCGTGGTCTCCTACCACCTCATGCGAGACGGCCACGGCATGGCTGTCGCCCACATTACTCCTGAAATGAGGAGCCCCAACCAAATCCAAGAGGAAGAATGGGCCGGTGGCTGGATCCCTCCATGCCACATGTGGATCAGTGATCCGTCCATCGTGAATGCTGCTACTGATGTGGCTGAGTAAGTCATCCTCGTTCTCGCACATGAGCCGTCTATTGAAGCTAACTTGATTCCCAACAGCGTGATTGTCGCCACTGGCTTGATTGCCCTGGTCGATGACTGTATCAAGAACCGCTGGCATGCGAAGAAGCAGCCTAAGATGGCACGGTCCAAGTCAAATGATTTGACGCATACCCGTCGCCGCTCTCTTGTCCAAGACATTCTTCACAGGAGACATTCAGAACAACACAGGCGTCTGGTTGCTGCCTACTGAACGGACCCGCTGCCAAGCTCGTTTGTTTGGTCATGCCACGCAGGTGTGAATGACCCATAAGCTACGTGGCCATGGAAAAAAAATTAGCCTTGCCAGATCTTATCTTTCAGGCACCATGCTTGGAACCTTACGAAGTCAGATTGACGAAATCGGAAAACCCCCAAGGAGGGGAACACTAAGAAACAACAACAATGAGAGCACGATCAGCTGAAAGAAGCAGCTGATGAAACTGCAATAGCAGAAAAATACGGCGAGCCTAAGAAACGGCTTTAGGAGAAGAAGTATACCTCCTTGTTCATGATTGAAAAGATTACCTGATTATCCTTACTTCGCTTCGATGTATACTTTTTCTCACACCATTCCATTCTATGGACATATTGCCATTACATATTACTTTTTAGTCGCGTCTATTTGACAGCGATCTTTTTTCTTTACTTTTCATTTCATTTCAGCTGAATGCGAGCGGCATCTAATGCCTGGCTACGATGTTCGGGTGGAGTATATTGATTGCATTGTTGGATCTGAATAATGGCGCGTTGATCTGGCTGGAGTTTCTTGAAACATAATTTGTTTTGTTCGTTTATCTTGGCCTGGCGCCGGGAATTAGGCGTCAATTGGGAGTTGCATGGTTTCTAGAATGCAAGCAGGGAATGTTTTTGGTTTTCATAATGGTTGGTTTTCACAGATCACGGGAGCATGTTTTCATAGCGATAGAGAATGCAACGAACGGGGCGACGACGCAGTCCCCCAGCGCAAGATTTTGAAGCGCATCATTTCGATTCTGACTTTCTATTCTCTTTCTCATTTTCTTCCCGTTTCAGGGGTTCTCAGGCGGCAGGTCCTGGATTTGAGATTGCACAAATTGTTAATCAATCTACATACCTTTCAACCTGACGACGTCACAGCTAATCCAGTAACGCCAGTGGTCTCTTAAATTGAGCAAATCTCAGGATCAGCCTTAACCAGGGGAGGGCTGGATTCATCCATTTCCTGAACACACACGTCGCGTGGCTCGTCTCACGTGGCAAACCTTCATCCACCTGTCGAGCCTGTCGAGTTTCACATGAAGCCTGCTGCCCAAAACCCAGTCTCAGGTCGCCCATCCCAGAACGGCATCGCTGTACAGGAGCCTGATGCCCCATCTCCTTGGAAGTTGGAAGCGAAATCTCGATAGCTACGTACACGTACCGCCTCCAGTGACGGAACCCTTCCCCTATCTCGCGCTCACCGCCATTATGACTTGGGTACCGATCCAGGAGCTTGGAGACTCTCCCCCCTGGCGAGAAAAAGGCTTTTCCCGACAGGCATTGCCCAACTGGCCCGCCCGGCACGCGAGAGAGCGCTTCCGGTAATGATATATGACAAACCCACGTTTTTAAACTCCTTGGAAGTTGGCTCCGCTCCCTTGCATCCCAAGCGGATACTATATCCAGGTTCTTGGAATCCCAAAGACTAAGTTAGACTTATCCCGAAAAGTCAAGAACCGTCTCGTCCTTCCTCAGCTGCGTATACCCTAGCGTCTCCCGCCACAGCAGCCGCCTCTTCTCCTCGTCCCGCGCCTCGGCGGTCATCTCCTCCACCCTCGACCCGTACAGGAACAATCCCTTGGGCCTACCCCCAAACGGCGCCACGGCGGTGGTGCCCAGCGCGGCGTCGACCAGGTCCTCGGACGCGAGCGCCACGGTGCGCAGGGCGCCGTTGCGGTTGAACCACGCCATCAGCGGCCCGATGACGCTGATGACGAAGAGGGGCACGAAGACGCGGATGGGCCAGGGCCCGCGGCGGGTGATGTTGGTCGGGACGGTGCCCGGGTCCAGGCCGAGGACGCAGATGTTTGCGAGGGCCGGGTCGGCGTCCAGGCGGCGCTGGAGCTCGCCTCTACGGGTTCACGTTAATGCCAATCAGGTATGTATGTAAGAGAGAATGGTTGTGTACGTACATTGCGAGAGCTTGGCAGAACTTGGAGGCTCCGTAGCGTCGGTAGCCGCCGGACGGGGAGGGGTCGTCTGCCGAGCTGCTCCATGTCCCCTGTGCGATGGGCTCGAAGGTGCCGGATGTGATGAACTGGTGCCATTTCTTGTCGGCGAAGCCGGCGTGTGCGTTCTTCGGGTTAAGAGGGCTTTTGGAACCAGCTTAGAAAAAGAGATGCATGGCAAGGCGTTGGTAGATGTAGGTAACTCACTCGTAAGACTCGCTGGTTACAAACACGATGCGTCCTGATTCCTTGTCCATGCTCTGGAGCAACAGCATGGCGAGGAGCCAGTGGCCGAGATAGTTGGTTGCAAAGGTCATGTCGAAGCCGTCCTCGGTCCATCTCTGCTCGGTGAACTCGAGATAGCCCGCGTTGAGGATCAGGGCGCGAAGGGGCGGGATCTCCCCAGAGGCCACACGGGCGTTGATCCTGGCCGCGATGTCGCGAACGGCGGAGAGGTCGGAGAGGTCGAGACTCAGGATGTCGTGGGGGTGAGGGGACGTGGATCCCGATGATGAGTGGGATCTGTACAGCGCTCTCTTCAGCTCCGATGCCGTCTCTGCCTTGCGAGCCGTGTAGAGGCCGTGGTACTCGGCTGAGAGCGCAGGGCTTGATGCGATCCGGGATGCGATTGCGCTGCCGATGGTGCCACTGGCGCCTGTGAGCAAGATGGTGCCAGTAGGCTTGGTTACTGCCGAATTACTCATACTAGCATTGGCGATACCTCAGATGATGTGAAGAGGAGCAAAAGGAATGAGAATGTGTCTGAGATACGGGTTACGATGAACGTCTGGACTGGACTTATACGATGCTACCCCAAATTCCGGCGGGCTGTCAGACGGTGCATTTCTCCCAAAACGGCAATCCAGCTCACAGCGACTAGCACTGAAGTGATTTAGCCTGGAAGCTTCACTTCGTCCGTATATTTGATACTATATCATCTGAATTATATATAACATGGGACCTGTATGAGCCAACTAGACTTATCCCAACTCCCTTGACCTACTCACAGCCTCGCCTCCGTCTTCACGGCAAACCTCCTCGTCACCTCCGCCGCGCCCCCGCTCTCCCGCTCAAACATCCTCTTCACATCCCCCGCCAGCTCCTCGGGCCTCTCGTACGCGGCAAAGTGACCCCCCGCCTCGTGCCTCGCCTCGTACACCACGGGTCCCAGCGTCCTCCCCCACCGGAGCGGCAGCACCAGCAGCTCCCGCGGGAAGTAGCTGAGCCCGAGCTTCACGCCCGGCACGTACCCGCCCGCCCTCTGCCGCGAGTCCCCGCCATCCCTGAGCACCTCGAGGTAGATGCGCACGCTGGCGGCGGGCCCCGCGCGCGAGAACTGGTAGATGGAGAGCCACGTGAGGACCTCGTCGTCGGTCCAGGGGTAGGCGTCGGACCAGTCGTGCAGCTTCTCGTAGATCCACGCGAGCAGACCTAGGGGCGAGTCGGCGAGGGAGAAGCCGAGGGTGGAGGGCTTGGTGCCCTGCTCGGTGCTGTAGCCGGTCCCGGTGGCCTGGAACTGCCCGGTGCGCGCCAGGCCGGCCTTCTCCTCTTTGGAGTAGGGGAGGATGGCGTGGAGGAGGTACTGGAGGGGGCTCCAGGGGGTTGGCGGGCTGGCAAAGATGGTGTTGATGTGCGTGGCCAGGCAGTGGGCTGGGTACTGGACTGCCATGAGGCGGGTGATGAGGGAGCCCCAGTCTCCGCCCTGGGTCACTGCAGAATACATGGTGAGTTTTGATCTAATTGTGAAGCAGGCCGTGGGAGCAGGCCGTGGGTCAGTCTCATACCGTATTGGTTGTATCCCAGCTTCAGCATGATTTTGTGCATGGTCTCGGCATACTGAGGGCCGCTGAACCCCGGCTTCGAGATGATTTGAGAGAAGCCGAAGTTGGGCAGCGATGGAACGACTACATGGAACGAAGGGGCCTTCTCGTCCCTAGGCTCTGTGAGCAGCGGGATGATCTTGATGGCCTCGAGAAAGCTCCCAGGCCCTGCAAGTCGAATTAATACTCTGCATGATTAATCATTGCTGAAAAGGAACAGGGTTGAAACCCTATAAAAGGGCTTCAGAACGTACATCCATGGCAGAAGAGCAGCGGGATGCTCCCTGGCCTCGTGCTCTTCGCATGCACGAAATGGACATTGATGTCCCCGAATCCCTCGACCGACACATCAGTAGTAAAATGAGCCAGCTCATTCAGCCGGGCCTCCTGCTCGCGCCAGTTGAACCCGTCCCGCCAGTACCGCGCAAGACGCTTGATCTCGCTGAGGGGCACGCCGGATCCCCAGTCCTCCAAGAAACTGGCTTCCTCGGGGAAGGTCGCGAGATCCAGCTTGGCATGGAGGGTTCGGATCGCCGTCTCCGGCACGGCGATGGTGAATGGTTTGATATCTGACATGTCGATGGTTGTGTCTGTTGCTCTACAATGCATTGATATCAGGATAGGATGGATTGCATGCTCTAGGACATCGTATCGAGACAGGCAACGACTGTAGTTGCCTTAAATAAGGCAGGCACTCTGCTTCAATCCACACCTTCGCTGTCTAGCACCGTTAATCGAATGACAAGCCGTATTAACGGTGCTAGACAGCGAAGGTGTGGATTGAAGCAGAGTGCCGACACTAAGTCAAACATAACGCATCTTGCGCATATCCCTTCGGGCCAGAGTGCCGATAATACATCGAACATAACGCGCATCCCACTCGGTCTATATGATGTCGCTGCGAGAATACCATAGGTCCAGTCTTGTTACATCGGCTTGGAATTTATAATTGCATACCAGCCGAGGTATCCGATACGCCAAGGCAACAATGACTTTTAAAATTACGGCAAGCAGAGTGCCTAGGCAAAGGAATGTTTCTAAAGAGGGTATTATTGTTCATAATTCGTGACAAACCGTAACATAGCTTCAACCATCGCCAGTGTAGAATTCCAAGGTAAAAGGAGGAAGCTGCTTGAGCATGGCATCAATTCGATTGAGGGCCAAGCCAGGTGCTGAAATCTAACTTCATCAAAATTCCAGTGATAATTTCCAGCCGAGGGGGCGATACCCCAGGTTGTCATCCCCCGCTTGACCATGGCATCAATCCGATTGGGGGCCAAGCCAGGTGCCGAAATCCAACTTCATCAAAAGTCTAGTGATACTTCCCAGTCGAGGAGGCCGATACCCCAGAGTGTCATCCCCAAAAGACATGTCATGCTCGTCGCTCGCTGCCTCGTCTCTGGAGGTATCATCACCTTCCCAGGCTGCAATGAATTCAGGATCGTTCTCGAGGGATCTTAGAGCTGAGACAACGCCTCCTATTCCTCGCTGAACCTTTCGCTCTACGCCTCGAAGTAAAGCCGTGACCTCGGCTTCCTCGGAATGAAGATCTACAAATGCATCCACAACGCCCGCGTCCGACTCAAGGTCAAGGGCAACGAAAATAGAGTGGAGCCGATGGGTGTGGGCGACCAAGTGATCAACATGGACGAGGAGAGAATAGAGTGCCTCCGTGAATGTAACCTCAGTAAGGAGAATTCGATGTGCTAACGTGCGAAGATAGAGGGCGTGCGCGGTGGCCAAAGATTGAGGATCATGAGGCGGGTGGCTTTTAGGGGTTGGATTCGTGTCTCGCTGCTCGCGCTGGTTTCTCGGACGAGATGGGGATTGACTATCCTGGAGCCAGATGTCGTCCTCCCCATCGGACTCTTCCCCAAGTTCATCTCCCCCATCCGCGCCATCATGGCGGTTCTCGGAATCTTTGCCTGGGGAACTTGTCGTAGAGTTTGTATTGTCTGATGACGAAGTTAACCATGCATGAAAATGAACCCAAAGCGCCTCAACAATATCAGTCTGCAGGAAAGCCTCAGTTTCTGCCAGTAAGAAAATAGCGGCACTCGCAGTCGTCCAGGAACTCCTCATTGAGGTAGTCCGCGCCGACCATCTTTCTCGCAGCTCGACAGTCATCTCATCTGCTCCGCTGGGCGCAGGGTGATGTCGTCGCAGAGAGGAAATTTTCCACAGATTGGTGAGTCTGATGTGAGCACGGCGCATTGAGAGTAGATACGAGTTTATGCACGAGTATAGATAGAGATCCGCCGGAGAGAATACCATGTCGAGGGGGGAGGGTAGCTGCATGGACAAGGCTGCAGGTACGGTGAAGAGCAGGGTTCGGAATGGGGACGAATTGAGCGTCTTTATGACTTTGACTCTGAGTCCAGGGCCAGGTGCCAGCGGTGATGGAGTTTCGGACTTGACTAGATGAAGCCTTAGAAGATCACGGGCTAGTTCTAGCTGCTCGTCTTCATCGGCATGTTGGCCTTGCATGGAAGCAAGAAACGCCCACGTTCTAGACAAAACAGCCGCCACCTCGCCTTCCTTGACAGTTATGCCACGAAGGCTTACTCCTCCCTGTTCATGAGCCAGGTTTTCGGTAGCCTTCCATCTCTCGCGAAGCTTGTCGTCAGCCTCGTGAGTAAGCGCCATGGCGAACTCACCACGACGGAGGAGGAAGAACTCCCTGAGTAATTGCAGCATTTCAATAACCTTGGACAATGGTAGAATCTTTTGGAGAGTGTTTTCAGATAAGGATAGACGGATGGAAGTGATGGTTCTGGAAAAAGTTGCCGAGTCCAGTGGAAAGCTGAGGCTGGAAAGCTCCCTTAGCTTGGACGAAAGATGGTCGAGTCCACGAAGCTCTGAATCAATAGAGCTCTTGACACGGACGTGATTGAGCGATCTGCCAATGAACAGCATCGACAAAGCTGCCTTGGGTGACACGAAGGAGGGTAAGAACCGAGGAACGCTGTGAAATTCGTCGCCACCCGCCACCCGGGCCTTTTGTACGAAGAAGTCGCTGCCGCCAAAACTCGGGAGCCTCCCGTACAGTATCCAGGCAGAAACTTGCTTCAACCAGGCTGATTCAGCGGCAGTAACAAGACTCAGAGCCGTCTCCTCAATGTCTCTATGACCACTCTGGATCTCGCTCCGCAGATGATTCATGATTTTGGCAGCATGGCATGTCGACCCATCAGAACCTTTTGAGGTGATGAATTTGACCAATTCCCAGAGCCACTCGATCCGCCTCGTCCAAGGCGTGAACTCTGCCACCACAGCAGTAAGAGGTACAATATTATAAGCACCAACATATTCCGTGTCGTTATTCAGAATTCCTCTCTCCACTTCGAGAACCTTGCGTTGAAAGACGTGTAGGTGGATCGAATCGATGGCAGTGGCAACAGCTCGGCAGACAGCAGAAGGGTGCTGGGAGGCAACATCTCCGGTCGAGGTCATGAGCTTGACATGGAGCTCGCTGAGATGGGCAATCTGGGCTAGTAATTCTCGCTCGGGGGGTGTGATGCCTGCGTGGGAGTAGGATTCGGAGGAGGTCGGTGCGGAGCGCAGAAGGGGGGATGGGTGCCCCGAAAGGGAGAGGAGGATCTCGTGTAGCATGGCTGCTTGGGTCTAAGGAAGCGACTAATATTTCTAAACATAAGAATAATTGATCCAAGCGGCTCGAAGCGACACATCTATCGGTATCGTAGGGCGGAGGGAGTGTGTGGACGCAGTGCCGGCAAAGGGCTAGCTATCGGCCTGGGGAACAGGCTGCGCCCGGAGCCTTTCGCATACCAAGACAGGCGTCGGAGAAACTGGTCGAGATTCGCGATTCGATGTTATCCAAGGGTTTGCAGCTGGGCAAGCAAGAAGCCGATTGGGCGTGCAAATTTGTTGGGGACGGATCGTGTTTTAAAAAGTCGAGGATTGAGCAGCTCATGCGCTGTAGACGGACGCGGGGTCTAAAAGTGTAGAGCAGGCGCGACGCGCCTTTTGCGGGGCAGAGATTGAGCTGTAGCTCTTGCCAACTGCTGAAGCAATCTCAGTAGAGGCGAACACCATAATTGATCTACACCCAATCTAGCACCGATGGAGATGAGCAAGACTTTACAATTGGGCAGCTTATCAAGGAGTCGCACGCATTGTTTGATATCATTATGAGGTCACAAAACTGCACCTCATCTGAATTCTGCTACATACAATCAACTGAATAATTAGGGGAAGTGACATTCAAGGTGATGCAGCCCATGTACGTTCCTTCACTGTCTGTCCGTCCTGCTTGATTCGCATCTCCGCCTTCTTTTTTGTTCTTGGGCTTTACGTATAGCGTCCCTTTGATGGACCTGCGCCTCCATCCTTGAGCGGCCGCGCGCTGTTGATGCTCCCGGCATCAAAGTTGTCCCCAGTGCCGTTCCCGCCAGCCACAGAGATATTCTCGTCACCTTGGCCACCAACAATAACCCGGCCTCCACCCTTGACCTCGCCGACCACCATACCCTTGGCCACGCTCTTGAGGATGGCTCGGCGCGATACTCCAGTCACATCGATGTAGACCAAGCCCACGTTCCTCACTCCGCCGCCAAGGTGGGCAGCGACCTCTCCAGCCTCTGCGCCCCAACGATGACCAACGACAGTGCTCATGCTCTCGGCGCCGCCAGTCAGGAGGTTGCGACCAGCTTGTTCCACGCCATCAAAGACGGTGTTGAAAGCCATCAGACTCTTGTTCAGAACGCCAGGCTTGTAGGTATCGATTGGGTTTCCGTCCTTATCAAAGCCTCGTGCATTACCATTCTTGCGCTTCGTAAGGTTGGCACCAATGTTCTGGGCATACTTGCTGACAGTGCCAACGGCAGCCGAGGACAGACCTGCGGCTTGGGTCGAGAAGGTGTTAATGCGGCGGATGTTCTTATGTGCGGTGGGCGTGAACGTGACAGGCTTGACGGGTTTGGTCGACTTGGTGAAGTTGTCTGCCTGTGACAAAAGAGTGCGAGTGACAAGGTCGGAGGTTGTCACGAGCAACTGGGAAGCCTGGGTGGCTTTGTTGACAAGTGTCGACTTCTTGTAAGCTGGGTGCATGTTGATAGACTCGTATTCCAAGGGTGCAGGCTTGACGGAAATGCTAGTGTTTCCGTCCTCAGGCAACGCCACCACAACGGGGTCTACAAAAAAAGGGAATGTCGGTCAGTTATCTTGCTCTTTGAATTTGTCCGATCACGGCATGTAAAAGCAAAGGTCAATTGGACCAAAGAAACTCACCCTTAGAACCAGGCTTCACTCCGGTATCTTCCACGACGTTGTAGCCCTCCCCGATCTCACCGATGACACTACCATCCGTCTCATCGACCAGCACGATTCTCCCTCCCGCAGCAGTGCCAGCCGGGATATGACTTCCCGACGCATACGCCTCGTCCGGGCCGTAGTCTGCGGGGTTATATGGGGGAAGCTCCTCGCCGGCGGCCTCCCTGGCCTTGGCTTGTGCGCCGGCAGACTGGGCCGCCTCTTGCTGCTTGCTCGATGCCGGAGCGGGAGCAGGTGTGCGCTCTAGGAACGAAGTTCCCTGTGCGAGAATGGTCTCGAAAGTATCGACATCTTCCTGGATGTTCTGTCTGCTGCCAAACTCGGGGAACTCAATTCGCGTAAAAGTACCGCTGTCTGGGCCAAGGTCCCACCGGGGGATCAAGTAGCTTCGCGGAGGTTGGTGGTAGATCTGAGTAGTCGCGGGGAGGGGGAGGTCGAGCTCCGGGGGTAGGTGTAGGTGAAGGTAGAAATCTTCCTCGGTGTTGACACTCGATGGGTCTGCAAAGCCGGATGCTGTTGGTACCATGAGCAGGGAGAGCGTCTGGGGCCCTGTGGGTGTGAGGGACTGCTCTACACCATTCGAGATGATGTAGGCTCTGATGCCCTCGATGGCATAGAGAAGCCTGGGATCCTAGAAGTTGCATCTGGGTCAGCGCTTATGCGTCCTATCAAAAGGCGCAGTATGAGAGGGGAACACACGCTTTGCGATGAGGCCATCTTGATCAATGTCGTGTGAAGGCGGGGTCAGCGTCTTGCTTCGACAGCTGCAATGCTTAGACAACGGGGCGCAGAGAGGAGGCAGACTGTTGGAAGAAAGGCGCGAGCCACAATAAATTCGAGGAGAGGCTGCGGTATATCAGGAAGAAAGCGAAAGGGGGTTGAGGTGATGATCACCCTCCATACGAGATGGCGTTGTGATCCTGGTGTGACTGCGCGCCAGGGAGGGGCATGACGGCCGCCGCCATATTGGAGCTGCAGCGGATCAGCTACGTAACTGGCGGTGGCAACCAAGCTTAAAGATGCTGCGGGTACTTGCTCGCGGGCGGCGCCTAAAAGCTTGAAATGTTAGTGGTCTCGCACGACTGGCCCTTGGCTCATTGTTGTGCTGTGGTGGGGGCTATTGGATGTGATGGAGGGGCCATTCGCCATGGATGCGTCCTCCTCCTTCCTCGTCCAGCGCTTAAAATTGGGATGAGAGGGTGGCTGAGCAGTCAAGGCCGTCAAGTGCCAGCCGGGCACGCCAGGGCAGGAGAGTCTCGTGAGCTAGCCGGATCCCTAGTGCGCTGTGAGAGCTGGTGACTACTCCGAGATTGAATTCGAGACAAACGGGTGTCGCATGGCCCGTTTCGCTCCCCTGAACCTTCATGCGACCCCATGCGTCATCGATTGCCCATCTACGCCACACAGATTCTCCAGCCACATGTGGCGGTGCACGCCGATCATGCCCCCTGGCAAAGGTGGAGCTACTACGGAGTACTTGCCCCTGTATTTGTTGGTTGAGATGTTCTGGCCAGTGGCCACAGACCATCAACCAAATCGCATGGGCGTCTTGAGAAGGGCTACCACATGAGCTTCTACCGAGCGGGGCGCTCTCATTCTAGACAATCACCATTGGCCAAGATCAAATACTGGCAGCAGGATGAAGTCACAAGTTGATTGATGTCTCACTCTATGCGCTCACCAAACTTGACAGGATGTGCCTACTGCCCAATCCTGACCCATCAGTTGTGTCTTAGCCTGAAATCGCTCACTACTTCACCTCAGCCCACACAGATGATGTGTTGGTGACAAGAAACCTGCATGGTCGGATGGCATGTTGGTGGTCGCCCGTTGCATTAATTGTCTTGTGGAGCCAGATGCTACATGGCAGGCTTTTGTCGAGCAATTAATAGATCAGTCGACATCCATTCAGCCATCACTTCAATTGATGCGACGCAAGTTGCCTGCCTGATGCTCTACCTGAGCTGTTGTGTTGACACGGTAGGTGGACATGTGTACTTCAACCCACGTCCTGAGCTGTCACGAAGCCCCATCCTACCGAATGTTACCCCAGGGAAAGAGATGAAAGATGATCTCTCTGTTACCACACTTTCTGCTACTCTATTCGGGGCTTTTTGGGGCTGGCTGACGATGATACAATGCCGATCTCTGGCCTGTAGGGTAGTTGGCGGTGGCCATCCCCATGTGTCTGAAAATCGACTCAATAGTCCTCGCCTTTTCCCCTCTCCCAAGATAAAAAGGACTGTTTCTACATATCCTGCTAGTAGTCTGTTCATTAAGTCTACCGCAGCATCCACCAGCACCAAGAGGAATTCCAGGATAGAGTCATAATTTTGGCAGAGCTAGCCTGGGGGTTTTCGTAGCAAGTTCTTCAAGCTCTACCAGGTCAAAGTAAGTGTTCAAGAGACATGCTAAGCAAGGGAAGCGCATGGAAAAGCCAAGTAAAGAAGGGAAGCAACCATAGCCCAATATTAGGCATGGTTGCTTCGGCACTCGCAAATGTCGAGTTTTGAATACCTTGAAGATACCAAAGGCGGGACCCCTCATCCCAGCTGTAAAGCAATTAGACATTGGGTTTCAGGCCCAGCCCTGCCTGCTTAAGGTTTTGATGGGCTGTGACAATAGAGCAATTCGTAATGTGGGAGAGGACTTGACCGCCTTGAGCGTTGAGTGACCTGCATCTCGCCCGCGTTCAGCTGGCAGGGGTACGCGATCCATCAACGTTCAGCCGTTGCTAGCTGCAGCTAGCTAACGTCTACTCTCCCAATCAACGGAAATTGAGGGGGGCTTAAGCGCCTTGAGATATGACTTGGGAGCTAAGATCTGCAAATATATTCATTCACCCGAGAGGGCATTGTATCCGTGGGCTTGCAGTTGCCCTAAGGCAAAAATCAGGGGTAGCTTTGGGCTGAATCTGCCTTGATACTAGAAATCATCTGATAAGACAGCTTATATAGTGGGCAGCCATGCCATGTTTATTCTTATTCTTATTTTCCGGGACGATCAGAGTAATTTCAGCGTTGGAATTCGCCAGAAAAAGCTGAACTAACTTTTCAATACGAGATTCCGTGTTTGCCATCCAAGATGTTCCGTTTAATATGGCTCTGTTTCTTGAATCTCGGTATGCTCCTCACCAATAATGCTCAAGCTCTTCACGTCTGCGAGATGTTTGCTAAACCCGGATTTGGACAGGAATATTTGCACTGGCGATCTGTGTTCTCGCTGGTTGTCGAAGCCCTGCCGAGAATAACTATAGCCTCATCAACTGGAATACCAAGATGTTGACATTAATTTGGGGTCAGGAGTGCACAGACGCCACTTCGGAGTTTATTCCTAATCTTTACAAGATGGGCTCTTCAGGTAATTTTCTGTTCGCAACAGAAATCTCCCTATGCCTAATGCGGGCGAGAGAAACTCTATACTCACATGTCAGAATAGGGGTCTGCAGAGTCTTTGATAGCGAAGTTACCTGCAGCGGCCACTTCCCACCAGACCTTAACCTGGCGCAAGCTGTCCTCGAGGACATCGATAAATTCAACTCGACCGACCCTGTAATTCAGACGTGTCGGGAGACAATTGACAAACCAATTAATCATTCAACTGCAAAGAAGATCGGGATTGCCCTGGCCTGTGTCATATTCCTCTCAATGCTGCTCGGCATCATCTCCACACTTGTTGCTGTTAAGACTGACGAGCCTTGGGGTTGGGGAACAAGTCCTATCCTTGTCTTTGACGCGATAACTATATTTGTTGCCCTCGTTCTGCTCGTCGCCATCATGAACTACGAGGGTGGTGGATATCTGAAACATGTCCATGCAAGGGAATACTCGGATAAGGAGATGATCGGGATTGGGCTCTGGTTGTTACTTGGGATGTTCATTGCACGCATGCTATCCAATCCTTGGGTCCTTGCGGGGGTAGTCACAATCCTTGTTCCAATCTTTCTGGCCGTTGGCTTTGTTTTGATCCGTTTCCGTGGGTTTATGATGTTTATGTAAACTTACCACAACTGCACTCGCAGTTGTGTAGCAGAGAAGGTCGCCTCGAGGGCATTATATACTTCATCACCAGAACCCTCACGAGTAGAGTGAATGGGATGTTATATAAGTTTAGCAATAAATAGAAATCGAGGAATCTCTTGATCTATAAATCTATGGTCGACGGTATATCAAATGCTATTCGTACTAGGTCTAGCTAGTGAGTGGATAGACCGCTTAATATGTACAACCACGCAAGTAAGGCTCGCGAATTCGATTTCTGATGCCGTGCCTTACAGGGAGCGACTAATTTCGTATCTATCATGGGTTGCGGGAGTGCATTCTTAAAATTGGAAGTATAAGACCAACGCCTGACCTCAGTTTTCTGCGCGAATAATATCAATAAAAAACAACTCCCCAGGATTTAAATTGGAGGTTCCTTATACCAGGCATTGGAAATAACTTGATCAAAGATCGAAAAGGGGACATTTGCTAGGATCGTCAACGTTCAAGATGTTATCCATAGTGCGGCCAGGAGAGAGAAAGCCGACCGCCCGCTTGAGCGACCTTCTCGGAAATTTGGCTTATTCATCTTTGTTTTTTTTTAAAAAAAAAAAGAAAAAGAAAAAAATCAGGCCTTATGGAAAATGGTATTCATCGCCTCGGTCCATGATGATGTACGTATGTTAGAGTGCCTTCAACATGTAGGTAGTGGACAATACCTCAGTCTCCATTAAGCACCGTGCACCTAGGAATAAGCCTTATAGGAAAATCCAAGAGACTATATCTAGCTATTCATTAGCCGAAAAATCTAATCTGAATAGAAAGCTTGATTTCAGCGGAACCTCTTCTGAGCGTTGCTCGGTATAAGTGATCAATGAATAGAAACAAAGGCTTGTATAAGTACATTAAATATTAGCCATTGTTGCCCAGTTCGTTTTCGAATTCTCGCCCCAAGATTACTCTTTCGGTTAATAATCGTCGATGTTAAACCATACTGTACTTATGCGTAAGGTATAGTAACCTCAACCTCAATAGCCAGTTATCATCATATGTGGGTAAATAGAGTGGGCACGCTCCTCTAAATGCTCCTACCCTATATCTCGCAAGGGCACCCAAGCTATCGGAAGCACCATCAAACCTTGCTCATGCCACTGGCGATCAGGGCCAGATGATTCGCTCTATCCGCGATCTAATCTACCCGTTCATTCCCAACAGGTCGTGGTCTAGAGCGCGTGCAAGAGAACGGCCGAGAGTCTTACTGGATACCTGATGGATGGCGCCTAACTCAAATCCCGCAAAGCCCCTCTCAGGCGTTACTAAATGTAGGTACTTCTTAGAAATTAGCCCGCCATGTACTCGTCATCGGCTGGTTCCATCCAATACCTGCCCGCCCATTATTCAACCACGTTCCGACGGAGGCTCCGTGTTACTGAGCATGCTTTCCCGTCCTGGGAATTGTGATTACTGCGTCCTTGGCCCCAGTCCAGGCATGACACTCCGTGCCGTCGTGCCCACCTCGGCTCCCTTCGGCCCCCTTGTGTCACTGTGCCATCACTTTCGTCGATCTTGGCCCTGTCCCCTCGTGAAGGAGAACACACATTGCCCTCACAGAAATGCACACGTTGACCTCTCGACTCGGCTGTTTTGGTAAGGCGCAGTCGTCAACAGCGGGGGCATAAGACCCCCAAGCATACCCACGCACGCTCGCCCCTTTGATTTGCCAACCAGTCTGTCACGCTGGAACCACGAGCTGCATGCACCATGACAGTTCGAGCTTTCCCCAGCTTTCTTAACACTCATAACTGGTTCTCGGTCCCTCGGAATGCCACGGGCGGGTCTCTGCCCAACTGAATGGACGGCTGTATGTGTCATGTACCGTAGTCTGGCCCCATACGCATCCGTCCACGCCGACTATTGTGTATGCAGCTGGTTGCTTTGAGTTGACGCTTGGGCGACTAGTTGCCTCAAACGTAGGTAAGCACTTCGCCAGGCACCTGATCAGCCCTAGAGCTCGTCCCTCAAAGTACCTGGCGGCCGTGAAAAGGGCAAGTTACATTTCCCGCCCATCCTCCCTCTCTCCACACTAAGTATTGGGGCGTGCTCCATTCGTTCCTGGGTGCTTTATGTCATACTACATGCAGGATGCCATCCAAAGGGCTCACTGGCCACTCTTCTTCCACATGGCTTCGCTTCCGCATTGGTTTAAATACACCGGCCCTTCTGCTCCCGCCCTCCTCATTTGTTCTCTAGTCCCTCAAGACTACTTCTCGTCTGTCCTCAAGGCAGTCAGTCTAGTAGGCTGAGTCTGAATATACAGCTTTACACGCTATCTGTTCCCGCGCCTTTACCCGTCTCTTCTGCGACCATGCCTGCCGTCAAACAACATGAGCTTGTCGACCGCGACACCACTGCCGAGATCATAGACATCCGCAGTGATGCCGTGGAAATCGACCTCAAAAATGAGGTCAAAGCCATGATTAGTCCCAAGGAAGGACCCCGCATGCTCCCTACCTTGCTCCTGTATGACGAAAAGGGACTCCAGCTCTTTGAGGATGTATGCCCACACTTGGTCCCTGGCCATGGCCAAATGCCGTTTCAATTTATCCAGATGATGGAGAGAGGAGAAGACTTATAAAGAAAACCCTTAGATTACCTACCTCGACGAGTACTACTTGACAAACTATGAGATCGACGTACTGAAGACCTCTGCCACCGACATGGCAAGCAACGTCCCAACAGGTGCCATTGTGGTCGAGCTGGGTAGTGGGTTAGTTTTCTTTCTCGCCCGCAACGCACTTGATCATTCTCCTATTGCCATTTCCTTTCCTCCTGTCCTGCCTGCGAAAATTTGAGATTTAATTGTGTGTTTGTTTTCCCTAACCGCCGTTTGTGTGCATAAAGAAACCTGCGAAAGATCCGGCTCCTTCTGCAAGCGTTTGAGGACGCCGGCAAGGTCATTGACTACTATGCGCTCGACCTTGACCACCGAGAGCTGGAGCGCACCCTGTCCCAGCTCCCTGCTTTCCAGAACGTCACATGCCGCGGCCTCCACGGGACGTACGATGACGGGAGGGACTGGCTGGCCACTCTGAAGGACCGCCCGAAGTGTGTCCTTCACATGGGATCGAGCATTGGTGGGAACCCCCTTGTTTCACAGAACCCCCCAGCCCACTTGAGCGGCCAACTCACCGAGATGATTTAAATAGGAAACTTCCATCGTGATGACGCCGCCAAGTTCTTGGAGGGTTTCGGGCGGATCATGGGATCGGGAGATTGCATGTTTGTCGGCGTGGACTCGTGCATCCGTCCCGACAAAGTATAGTATGTGACTCCTCTTCCTCGAATTGAGTGGATGATACTGACAGTGTACAAAGCCATGCGTACAACGGTAAGAATTATCAAATGGGAAATCAATTGTTTTTGTCATTAGCTCACGAAGATTCGTTGCTAGATCACAAGGGCCTTACACATCAGTATGTCATGCATTCGCAACCCCCTGAGCACACGTTCTAACCATCTACTCCAGGTTCATCCTCAACGGGCTTGAAAATGCCAACAGTCTCTTTGGATATGAAGTATTCCACATCCCTGACTGGAAGGTGATCGGCGAGTACGTCTATGACGAAGATGGCGGGCGCCACCAGGCGTTCGTAGCACCCATCCGCGAAACGGTGGTGCTCGGCCACCAGATCAAGGCTTTTGAGCGCATCAAGATCGAGCAGAGCTTGAAATACAGCTCTTCCGGCAGTATCAAGCTCTGGAAAGCCGCAGGTCTTGTTGAGGCGCACCGCTGGACGCTTGGCGATGAATACGGTATGACAACCTCCTCGAGTCCCCTTCCAACTCGATTACAAAAGGCTCGAAACTAATGGCGTGATCTCTCCTAGGCATCCATATGCTCCGCAAGGAATCCCTTGATTTCCCTCTCCACCCGTCCCTGTACGCCGCACACGCTCTCCCCTCCGTCCACGACTGGACCGCCCTCTGGGCCGCGTGGGAGATCGTCACCCGCCGCATGCTCCCGGACCAGGACCTGCACGAGAAGCCCATCAAGCTCCGCAATGCCTGTGTCTTCTACCTGGGACACATCCCCACATTCCTCGACATCCAGCTCACCAAGACCACCGGCACGGCGCCCACCGATCCCGCGTCGTACTACACCATCTTCGAGCGGGGCGTCGACCCGGACGTCGACAACCCGGAGCTCTGCCACCAGCACTCCGAGATTCCCAGCGAGTGGCCCCAGGTCCAGGACATCCTCGCGTACCAGGAGCGCGTCCGGGCCCGGCTCATCTCTCTGTACAAGAATGGAGAGGAGAACATCGTCAGGGGCGTGGGACGTGCCATCTGGCTGGGCTTCGAGCACGAGATCATGCATATCGAGACGCTGCTGTACATGATGCTGCAGAGCTCCAAGACGCTGCCCCCACCGCATCGAGAGCGCCCCAACTTTGAGAAGCTCGCCGAGGCGGCGGTCAAGGCCAGAGTCGAGAATGAGTGGTTTGACATTCCCTCGCAGGCAATCACCATTGGCCTGGACGACCCTGAGGAGGGAACCGACCTCGACGTACACTATGGCTGGTAAGTTGACATAACAATGCCTATTTTCACATACCTAGGTGGAAGAAATGACTAACACTGTCGGAAGGGACAACGAGAAGCCCGCTCGAGAGGAGACCGTCCATGCCTTCCAGGCAAAAGGCCGTCCCATCACTAATGGAGAGGTGCCCACGGCCCATCCCACCACTTTGTTTTTACCTAAGCTAACATGACCCAGTATGCCAAGTACATGATCGCCTCAAAGCTTGAACAAGGCCCCGCCTCTTGGTTCATCCCCGAGGCCCGGCCCATCACCCCCGACGAGCCATTCGAGACCTTCCTCGAGGGCAAGTTCGTCCGCACCGTCTACGGCCCCGTCCCGCTCAACCTCGCTCTCGACTGGCCCGTCTTCGCCTCCTACGACGAGCTCGCCCCCTGCGCCGCCTGGATGGGCGGCCGCATCCCCACCTTCGAGGAGGCGAGGAGCATCTACGCCTACGCGGACAGACTGAAGAAGGATCTCCTCAAGAGCAAGCTCGCCAACAAAGTCCCCGCCGTCAACGGGTCCGTCCCACTCTCTTCCCCTTCTCTCCCCTTCCCTTAAGATATATAGAAAGCTAACCTCTCCCAGCCACCTCGTCAACAACGGCGTCCAGGAGACCCCGCCACCCTCACCTCCCCTCTCCCTCGACGACGACGAGGCCAAGCGCCCGTCCTCCGCCGTCGAGAACCCCCTCTTCACCGACCTCAACTCCTGCAACGTCGGCTTCCGCAACTGGCACCCCACCCCCGTCACCCCCCACGGCGCCCGCCTCGCCGGCCAGTCCGACCTCGGCGGCGTCTGGGAGTGGACGAGCACACCCCTGAGCCCCCAACCGGGTTTCGAGCCCACGCGCCTCTACCCGCTGTACACGGCCGACTTCTTCGACGGGCGCCACAACGTCGTCCTCGGCGGGTCGTGGGCCACTCACCCGCGCATCGCCGGCAGGAAGAGCTTCGTTAACTGGTATCAGAGGAAGTACCCCTACGCCTGGGTCGGTGCCAGGCTTGTCCGGGATGTGCAGGAGTAAGAGCCCTCGGTGAGGTAGGGATTAGGGGGAGAAGTTAAACGCCAATGCGAGTTTACCAGGGCGCGTTGAAGGTTGAGAATGTTCGGTAAGGCATCTCTCCACCATACGAATCGGAGAGTTGTGTTTTATTTTCTTTGTCATTTCTTTTCATTGTCAGGAACCAGATTGTGACACTACCCCTGACTATCTATCACCTCTCAAGGTGTGCCAATCCTTTCAGTATCCATGATACCTCAAATCTACCACAAGAACGTTCCTGTGATAGGTTGAGCTAGCATCTCGCAAGCCACTCCACTCAAGGAAAAATCAGATGAATATTTCCGGCCTTGGGCCAACTCTTTTTTTTGCCGCCCGTCACAAGAAAACATGAACCCTCCAAAAAAAAGCAAACTCCTCCATCATGCTTAGTGCTTTGTTCCTCGTCTCTACCTCGTAAACAAGGAGTTTCATTCCTCCTCTAAAATCAAACGCCAGAAACACCGCCTAGTCGGAAAATCGTAAATTGCTTCACAAGGTTCAGGACCATAGCAGTTTACTCGTGAGCTCTTCCATCCTCTCCACCATGTGTCGGTCGATAAGTTCGAAAGCCATGCATCTTGGAACTAGTAGCTTCATAGTGGGAGAAGAACGTCTAGGATTCGTAGTAAATTTCGGTAGAGAGATCCGGTCGATTGCTAAGGTCCTCCGCTGCTGTTCCAGCCGCGGCCCGTTCGAGTGCCTAACCGTTCAGGCTACCGTAGATATCGAGGATCTGCTCAACCACGTAGCTGGGGAGCTTGACGCCATTTTCCGTGATGAGCTGGCTGATCAAATCGGGTGGCTATCTCGGTCAGTATGCTACATTCCCGTATCTTCGAAATTTGTCCTGCATGTCCAACTTACCGTGAAATCGACGGGGTTCTCCAGATGACTGCTCGACCCCTCCAGTCTAAAATCCAGGACGGACTGCTTGAACCCAAGCTTGTTCTGGTCATGCAGGAAGATGCGGCTGAACTTGTGCGTCTCCCCGGCGACGTAGAACGGAATGTTGGACGACTTGGCCAGCTTGGCGATCTGGTACGAGCCCATGCGCGAGATGATGCCGCCGCTCTGCGTGACGACCTCGGCGCCCACGATGACCATCGACACCTTGCGCAGCGAGGCCATGACATGGGCGACGCTCGCGAGGTCAATCTCCGCCGTGGGAATCCCCAGCTGCCGCAGCTCGCCGACGACGCGGTCGCTCTCCTTCGGGCGCCACTCGTCCCGCACGTAGACGACCTTGAATTTGCCGGGCCTCGACCTGGCCGCCCGGGCGAGGAGCCCCGTGACGGACCTGCTCGCGCCATGAGTAAGAACGGTGCTGCCCTCGCTCACGTAGCGCCAGCCGGCCTCGGCGACGCCGTTGCGGGCCTCGACGGCTCGCTGGGCGAACAGGCGCCCGTTGCGCAGCAGGTGCTGCCGCACGGCGTCGAAGGAGCCGTCCTGCTGCTTCAGCGACGACATGATGTACTGGTTGAACAGGTCGGTCCCCGCGGCGAGGGGGATGGGGTTCTCGACGGACGCCTTGAGGCGCTCCGAGTGGGCCTTGATGATGTCGAGGGTCTCGTACACTGTCGTCGACGGTACCGTGTTAAGGAGGGCGATGAGGGCGTTGATGGCCGCCACGGGCTTGGTGAGGTCGGGGTCGGATTTGAGCAGGCTGTGGTACGTGGCGACGATGCTGCATTGCGCGGGTTAGCTCGCCTGCTGGTCGGTCTGGTCTGATAATGGGTATCATACTCGAAGTCTGTGCTGTCGGAGCCGGAACGGATGGGCAGGTCGGTCGTGGGAGCCTGCTCCTGGGCTGGAAATGGTCAGTCAATCGGGCAGGTCGATCTGGGCGGGCTGCAGCTTACCAGAAGCTTCTGCAGTAGCCATATTTGCTGAGAGTGTTAATTCGACACAAGTGTACTGGAAATGAAGCAACGGAAGTCCAATTTGGTCGACTCTGAGCAGCTATGCAAGCGAGGTGAGGTGGGAAGTTGCCGGCTGGCGATAAATTTGAGGTGGTGACTCAAAAAGTTGACGCGGGGCACCAGCACATCCCGCATATAGGTGACATAAATGGAGGGACGCCGCTGTTGATTTAACAGATTATCAAGCACACACCATACATTAACACACAAATTTGGAGCAATATTGAAAGACTACACTTGCTTGATTCCTTTCAACTATCGCCATTACCGCAAAAAAAGGATATTAGAGCCAGTATTTCCATACGAGAGGTAGTTGCAGTATCAAAGGTGTACCATATTTTGTGTCACCCACCGTCCCGCATATTCCCTGTACTTTACGGGAAATCGCCCCACCATAGCCTCCAAAAGCATCACCAGAAGCTTCACCCGGGGCACATTCTTCAAATTCCTTGATGAAACCTTGATTTGATTGTTTGAATTTTGTTGATAGGCTTTAATATGCCATTCCAAAAGAATCTCTAGCGTTTTGTTTCCCCACGGTCAATGCCACCCCAGGAGTCCCCGATATTCGATTCATTCCACCTCCAAAACACAGAACAACCCATGCGAAGAGGCAAGCACAGTGTCCATTTCTCCGACCGGGATCAGGAAGGCGCATTAATTCTCACTCTTCCCTTGTTGCGGTAGCTTCTCAGCCGGTTCATGATGCTCTGCCTCCGAGATGGCTTCCGGCTCTGGCTCCTTGGGCGAGGCTTGATTCTCTTCATCAGAGTTGCTGAGGAAAACCTGAGCCGTCTTGGGCTTGCCTTGTGCTTCAGGCTCAGCCACTCGCTTTTCGGTGTCTTTTGGGGCGGGAGGGTCATTTTCGAAGATCGGGAGGAAGGTCTGTTTTGTAGCCGGTTGGTCCTCAGAAGATGGATTGGATTTCTTTGTAGGCTCAGAGGGCATGTTCTCGTGAGCAGGGTAGGGTGTGGTAGGTCTGATGATATTTCTAATGATGCAGTAGAGGTTTTTTCCCACGTAGGTGTAATGCAATGTGTCTTGGATTCTCGAAGGTGAGGGGTGAACAAGTAAGAGATTCACGTTTGAGTAGAAAGACGACGTTTTGTTTCCTTCTGTTATGATTGACACAACAGAGGAAGGAGCACATGGCCATCTGGCTGGAGCTTTGGTGGCCATCAACACGGCAAGTGTGGCAAGCACGCTTCCTTGAAACGAACAGGCTGCAATCGCACATTCCTCGGCTTTTAAGTTGATGGAAGGCATGGGCCGAATCCACGAATAGCGGCTTCTTGATTCCCATCTTGAACCTGCCTCCGAGCTATGAAGTCAGCAGGATGTGCATGTGGAACAACAAGCCCATCGTTTCATTTACATCACGTTGAAGAGACAAGAGAACCACACGGGTGACATATTCTGGAGAAGAATTGAATTGAATGGAATCAAATGATTTGTGAATAAAGAGAAAACTGCTCCGAAAAGAAATATGCTATCGCTGCCTTGAACGTCCAGGACCAAAATGATGTTTAAATTCGCAAACACCGAAAATGCGAGTGCCAATGATATGCATCCAGAATGGGAGAGAAGACAAAGAAGAAAAAGGAAAAAGAAAAAGGAGAAGGGCATAAGAAAAGAAAAGTGATCATAAGAAAATGGGAATGGAGAAGAAACGAGAAGAGACCTGGTCGGGGTATGGTCCAAGCATATGTGAATATATGCCCAACTCCAGCCTCGAGACAACCAGGCCTCTTAGATTCCGATCTGGCGCATGCGAGCAGTCAGTGGCGTAGGCGGAAAGGTCACCATGGGCGAAGGCTGCTTGGCGATGACGAGGGAGGGCAGCTCGTCGAGCGACTCTGCATGCACAATCTGGGGCACCTGAAGCGCAACGTCCAGCATCATGAGCTGGCTGGAGACGGCCTTGGCAAGGTCCGCGTTGCCGCCATTCTGGAAGAAGGACTGGGAACGGTTGAGCTTGTCCTGGGGAAGCTGCAGCACCGAGGCGATGATGCGCAGGATCTTGTCCTCGTCCGTCTCATAGGGAACTTCCTGGCCGCCGTTCTGGCTCAGGGCAACCCGCAGCGCTTCCTCGTCAATCTCGCCCGAGGCATCCAGAGGGAAGATGTCGCAGCGCCTCCACGTCTCGGGCACAACTCGCGCGCCGCCCGCCTCCTGCATCTTGGCGATGAGCCCCTCGTACGCCAGACGGATGGGCTCGTCGTCGTCACCGCTGACGGAATCGCTGAGGACGTAGCCAAGGACAAGGTCCTGGTATGGTGCACCTGCGTCAGCCACGTCGACGATCCTGACTTGCTTGATGGCTTCATTTTCCAGCAGGGATGTCTCCATCTGCTTCAGGATGTCCCGTCCAACAAATTGAGTCATTGTGCGGCTTTGGTAATCTGTCGTGGTAGGATGAGATGGTTCAGAGCCAAGGGTATCTACACTAGCTATTCGTGGCGAGTAATTGGGGTAGGTAGAATACAGTCAAGGAACAATTGCCGATCATAGAAATGCAAGGACAGGTAATTTAAGAATGCAACCGGGAGATGGTGCTGACCTGGTCGGCTGCTCTTCTTATAGCCCAGGAGCAACACAGTGGACAGCTGTGGGTATAAGCGCGCGAAGATGCTGGGCTGAGTTGAAGGTTAAGTTAAAAATGGCTTTGATATGAAACGAAACCAAACAATGGGGCCAGCGTTGTCTCCAGTTGTTGCGTTGAAACTGAGCAGATGCCGGTGCTGACGGATGTCTGGAGGGATCTTACTGTCCTTGTGAACAAAAACAGGATGGCCCGGTTCACAGCAGTCGTGACAGTGTCAGAGCAAGCTGTCAGTGGCCCGGCCTATTTCAGTCATATCGCCTTTCCAAGGCGGAGATCATGTAAGATATTCATAGCATACGGGATCTTGAGCACGTCCTTCGAGCCGGCAGTAGGCTGTTCCCGCTGGCCTGGAATCCTGCGACCAAACCAGTAATCCATTGCGTGTCATATTTCCATACATAGCCACCTTGGCTAAAACAGCGCTCCCCTCCCCGTCCACCGGGCTGCCAAGCAATAGGCAGTGGGTGCCGTTTGAGTCATCGAGCAGTTCATCCCCAACAAGTCCCATCGAGAACAACTGTTGTTCCGTTCGGGAAGGGAAGGATCCGATTGCACCGATTGGGTTGGAGCTCTCTTGCAGCTATTGTTGCTATGTAAGTCATGGCGAGCATGGTTTGTGATTGGAAATGGCTGCCAGCACAATCGTAAATAATTATTACTTATTGCATATCCTGCCTTATACTTGCCTCTCACAAAACGGGAAGAGGCAATGCATAACTGGGTGGGCCCGGCACTTTGCACATGGCCGTGATCAACAGCACGATGCTGGTCATCAGCCACGCAGCAGGGCCTCCAGCACACAAAGCAGGCTATCTATCATCCCCCACAATCCGGCTGGCCGAAGGTGGTACCGTGACATAAACGGCGTGCAGGGGAGAGCTGTGATTCACAGCGACAGGCTCATCCATCTTGTCCCAGGCGAAAGAAATCACATGAGGACAGCCGAGAACAAGGTCAATCAGACACCTGGAGGTTATTAATAATGAGCGAACGAGCGCCCTTGCAAGGCTAGCCAATATTTGCTGGAATAGTGACGCCGACCGGCTGTTTCAAGCCTCCAGACCAATCCTGCCGCGGAGCAGCCACATGTGACTCGATCCCCGTCGTGGAAAGGGACAGCCGATGGGAGGGACAGCCAACCAGCGTCCGGGTCGGTGGTGCAACGAGACTGGGACCGTCGCACCGAAGCAGGCTGAGTGGCAGAGACAGCAGCCCGTTGGACTTTGGGCTTTGGACTTTGGTTGAAGCTGCCTCGACGGGCATTGGGCAATCAGCTCCAGCCCCGCACCTTCGCCCTCCACTGCGCGGGGACATGCCGCCCACCAGGAACTGCTCTACTGCTACTCTGCTGCTACTGCCAGCCTCCCGCACTCGGTTCCGTTTCTCCAGCATCAAACAATCTACTCGAGGCAATCCTTCCCATTTCCAAATCAGCATGTCCCAGTAGTCTCACGGCCAATTCTCCAACAGCCCGGCTCCCAGGCCAAGATCGCATATCAATCGGCCATCACCCGCCTACTGATCGGGTCCCTTACAATTTCTATACCCCTCAATTCGTCCTTCATCTTCCCTCTCCTTCTCTCTCTGGTGCAATAAGACCTTTCTCCCTCTATCTGTGATATTTGCTCCCTCTCCGACTCTCTATCTCTTCTTCCTCAATCACCATGGAGCTCCTCGACCCCGCCACCGGCACCCCCCTCCCCTCCGACGCCATCCAGCGCATCCTCTTCATCGCGCCCAACGTCCATGTCTACAACATCCCCCCGCGTCCCTCCACAAAAGGCCATGTCGCCGCCGCCTGGACCACCGATCCAGCCCGTCAGATCTTCACCGCCCGCCTCCGCATCCTCGAGACCTCCCTACCCCTCCCTTCTCCCTCCGACAGCCTCGCCTCCCCGCGCAACGCCGCCATCGACACCTCCGCCTACAACAGCTCCAACCTCAAGGTCGACGTCATCCTCGAGGACCCCAAGACCGGCGCCCTCTTCGCCGCCGCCCCCTACCAGTCCAACAGCACCGTCGAGCCCGTCCTCGACAGCAGCCGCTTCTTCGCCGTGACCGTCCGCGACCCCCAGGGCAGGAAGGCCTTCCTCGGCATTGGCTTCGAGGACCGCAGCGAATCGTTCGACTTTGGCGTCGCCCTCCAGGAGGCGAGGAGGGGGCTGGGGTGGGAAGGGCCCCAGGCGCTCACCGGGCCCGCCAAGAAGGACGACCCGGAGAAGGACTACAGCTTGAAGGAGGGCGAGACCATCACCGTCAACATCGGCAACACGGGCATCGGCCGCCGGAGGGCGCAGCAGGAGCAGCCTTCAAACGACGGCCCCGTCGACCTGCAGTCCTTTGCTCTGCCCCCTCCCCCTAGTAGCAGCTCGAGCATGAACAGCAACAAGTCTGGCGGCTTCGCCCTCGCTCCCCCGCCTACCGCGGACGAGGCCAGGCGCAGGAAGAGGATGTCAGCGCAAGAATTGGGCTTTGACGATGGTAAATTCGGCGAATTCGCATAGCCTTTTTTTCTTTTTCTTTTCCTTTTCTATATTTTCACGTGGCGGGACACCAGGAAACAGTTTCCCCCGTGTGAACTCTCTCATATTTTTTTTCTCCTCTTTTTATATTTTTTCTATCTGTATATAATAGAACTGAACTGAACAAATGGCGAACTCTCAAGGCGGATGCTAGCGCTGAACTTGATAATAATGAGCAGTAATGCAATACTTCTAGACACACTTACACCAAATGAGAAAAGAGACAAAAGTCCGTCAAATGCCTGAGAAGCTATGTGTTTTTATCTGCAGAGTATGCAAACGAGCAATCGATATTACATGGTCAACCCGAAAAAGAAACCAGAGATGAAGCTCCTTCGAAGACTTACACCAATGAGAAACGACAACAACAGTCCATGAAATGCCTGAAAAGCTATGTGCTTTTATCGACAGAATATACAAACAAAGATATTACATGACTAATCCGAAAGGAAAAGAAAAATAGGAACCAATCTTCATCGAAGCTAAATCCACTCCGTGGGGATGTATGGGAGGCTTAACCTCCTCTCCGCGAGGCTCAAGGTCCCATCATCGAACGACCTTCGTCTTGATGGTTCTTGGATGCCCTCAACCGTGTCTGACATGCTTGGTTCTTGAGCCGACGGGCTCACACTACCCTCGGATCCTTGGCCTACCCCTCCATCGAACTGTGTCACATTGCATTCGTTGCTAGACTCCTCGCCAGTCTCGTCAACCTTCTCCAGTTTACCCGCGTCCTTCCAGTCACTGAAGAATCCCCATCGGGGTACGAACGGGGGTGATGTGGCATCAAGGGGTGTATCAGGGCGAGGCGGGTCCCATACAGGCGAGGGACAGCAGCTCTGGGTCCGAGCTAGGTTCCAGGCAAGGTTGTTGCGCATCTCGATTCGCAGCGTGCACAATCCTGCCTCGAGAGCCTTTTCCTGGTTCTCTATGCTGTAGCGCCGGCTCCGGAGGGTGCTGAGGCGTTTCCTCAGGCTACGTCTCTGCTGTGCGGTCTCTACCGTCTGTAGTTTTGCTTCCGTCGCAGCATACTCCTGGTACACGGACAGCTTTTTGCAGTACTGGGTCCTGAGACCGAGCTCGAGGTAGGCGCTCTCGTTGGCTATTTCTTCCGGGGGCCGGGCTGAGAACATCTGATCTGAGCCGGAAAGGCTCGACGACGATCGCCTTCGAATCCCTGGTCGGCTGTCTGGATTTTGGGGGATGGTGAGGTGCATCCGCGGGGGCTTCTCATGGAGGGTGCTGGGCAGTGAGTCTGGAGTTTCCGGTTGGCCTGTTGGCAACTCGAGTATTGGCCCGGGTTCCGAGTATTCCAAGTAATCGGGAGGCGGTGTCATAGCCGGCATGGGATCAGGCATCCCGGGTTGAGCAGAAAAATAACAAGAATCCATGTTTGTTGTTTACGTATATAGTCGGCGGAGATAGATGTTGTTGTTCGTCTTATGCCAGGACGAACTTATGCAGGTAAATATGCAAGATATGTGCCGACCTCGTTTACACTGACTTGAGAAGGGCTGTTGGTTCGTGCAAGCAAAGCCTAGATCCTTCTGAGAAAATAGATGGATAAAGAGATTCCAGAACAAATGATCTTCGTCAATACTCCTGGAGCTTTGTCCCGGTGATGGTCGCGGCACGCCTGCATGAATGTGCCGTATGAAATCAACATATACCGAAATTCACCGGTGGTAATATGCTGGAGTTCGGGACCGGTTGCCTCACCTGATTAAGAGCATCCAAACATGATCCGGGGCGATCGGGGCTTCCGCTGCCATTGAGAACTGAATACCCCTAGACCAGCAACAGTAGGATATTGTTCGGACGATAGAGACCACATATCAAATGGAAGCCACATGACCTGCCAAGCTATTGGGGCGAAACAAGCCACGACCAGGTGGAGGGACCAAGGCAGAGCTTTAGCGTCCACATCTTGGGCTACGCCTTGTTCGATGCCTCTCTGCTCTATTCGGGGTGGTGTGTGCAACAATCGATTTGGCTAGCGAGGAATCGTTCCAAGATGGCCTAGGCTCACCGGTTTGTCCATTCAGATAGCAAACCCATCGTGTTTGGGTGGCTCATTGAAACGCCAAAGCCCGGCATCGATAGCCGCCTGGTGGATCGAGGAAACTTCTGTGTCAGTGACAGCCCTGTTTATCTCCGCATATCGAACTTCCTCCTCGGGTTCACCTTCGTTTGTTGTTCTGCGCCGTCTCTTCTTGCCGACATGGGCGCGGGGATGGTACTGCTCCATGATATTGACAAAGCAATCGCGGGAGACCTCGTTGGCCAAGAACTTCATAATCTCTGCTCCCTCAGCTTCTTTGCCTGGCATTACCAAGTGTCTCACGAGCAGACCCCGCTTGGCGATGCCGTCTCCTGTAAAGCATAGATCACCAACCTGCTCCTGCATGGCCTTGATGCTCTCCCTGGCAGTGGCGGCGTAGTCGTCCGCCTTGAGAAGCCGCTTGGAAGTGTGGGGTGACCACACCTTAAAGTCGGCGAGGTAAATGTCCACCAATCCGTCCATCAATTGGAGGGATTCCAGCGAGTCAAAGCTCGATGTGTTGTACACGATCGGAATCTTGAGGCCGAGATCCCTCGCATGAAGGATGCTCAACGCCACCTGAGGCACCACATGCTCGGGGGTGACAATATTGATGTTGTGGACACCGCCGGTCTCCTGAAGCTTCATGTACCAATCAGCAAGCTCCTCCGGGCTGAGATCCATCCCGTTCCGCTGGTGGGAGATGTCATGGTTCTGGCAAAAGGTACATCTTAGGTTGCAGCCGCTCATGAATACAGACCCGCTCCCATTATGGCCCTGAATGCAAGGCTCTAATTGTCATGTTAACGTATGTCTTCCACTCCAAGGGGGGGAAGAAGTGGAAAGTGGCGCCGTTGGGCTTGGAGCTACCACTTCCACCAAGAAGCAAGGGGGTGAGTTTGGCGAGGGAACCCGGGGAAAAGTCAAAAACGACAAATGCACGGGCATGCGCGATGGACCGACTAGGAAAGAATTTGCTTGGAAGAGACGCGCAGGGCAGCATACCTTCTCCAAAATGAGGAGCTATGACATTGACCTTGGCTTTCTCGCCTATCAGGCACATGCCAGATCTCTCGTATCGGTTCACACCACAAAGACGCGGGCACAAGTTGCAGTTGCGCAAATGAGCGTATGCCTTGGAGCGTTTCATGGCCGAGTCTCTTGAGGAGAGCATTTGATATCTCGGCACGTAGTCGTCCAGCAAGAACGGGGGGGCCAGATGGAGGCATCGCCGGGCCGCTTGACCGCGAGCATGGTGACCTCTCCTTGCGACCCGTGAGCCATGCGTTTGAATCAACGATCTCAGCATGTTCACTGAGCCTTTGCTTGTTCCAGTTTCATCGTAACGCTGGAGAACTGAATAGTTAGATAGTAGGTATATGTTGATGAGGAAATAGGAAATTGGCGGCTTGCCATTGGTTGAGGGGCATTTATACTCTCCGTCACTCCTTCCTCGGTAATTCACATTGACCTACCCTGTACCGACTCCATTAAACCTGCGCAGTGAGCACATGGACTTTGATTTCTTCTCTTAATCTCAATTCCAGTGCAAGCAGCTCAGTATAATTAAGATATATCATCTCAATGTGTTTTATTCAAAGAACTATTTCTAATCCCGGAGTTGTGCATCATCATGGTGTTCTTCTTCCTTGGAATTCGTAGATCTCTATCTCCCCCTTCTATCTTATTGCCCTCCATTTGGTCCGTTCCCTCCTCCCAATATCCAGGCTTGCTGCTGCTGATAATGGTGATATAGTATAGCGTATTGGCTATGCAGCCTTTCCAGCTCCCTCGCCTTTTCATCCGCCATTTCCCTTTCAAAGGCCCAGCGCCTTTCTACCTCCTGACTCGGTTTCCGTGCTACGAGACGTATCTCGGGAGTCTTTCTCTCCGCCTTGCGCGTGGCCAAGGTACCTGGATGCTCCTCCGAGCAGGGGAGTATGAAAATCGGGGACTCTCTTCCTTGTCCCTTGATTCGGGACACTCGTGAGACCACATCCTGTTGGACTATGCCCTTGACGTGCGCCCTCGAATGGACACCACGAGCTTCAGATAGCCTCAGGTGGTCCTGGTCCTCTACCTCTTTCTTATCGAGAATGTCGTGGATAAGATCAGTCACGTCGTCCCCAATGTTGGTGAGGATATACCGGTCTTGTCGCTCCGTTCTCTGGTCGTCTTCCTGCGGGGGATAATTTACGAGTTGGTGTGGTATACTGGCTTCCTTGGCCAGGATGTCGGTCAAATTGGCCAAATCAACCTCGAGCTCGCGCTGTCGGAAGGCAAGGTGCTGGTGATGAATTAGCCACTGCCCGATCAGCGTGTTCCTGGCAGCAGCCATCTGCTCTGAATCAGCGTTGCTGTTGGATGGGAGCATGGAGAGCAGCCCGCCCGTCTCGCCGAAGTCGTCATCGAGCAGCTCAAGACACTCATTTGCATGCATGAGAAGTCCGTGGCCCGACTCGTACGGCGGTAGTCTCAGCCGACCTCTTGCCGAGCGGCCAATGTTCTTCCTTATGGTCAAAGGGCAGTGATGGGTGACGCCCAGGACCTCGTTTTCGCTCGCGATTTGGTTCTGTAGGGCATGTAGAGGGAGGTTGTGATTTTTGTCGTTGTTCTCGTAGGGCTTGCTGAGGTCCGCCAGCCAGTCGAACGCTTCATTCTCAACAGTCTGGGTGTCGGCCCCAATGAATACTTCGCTCGTGGAAACGGAGATCTTCTTGATTAAAATAGCCAGGCTCTGTGCATGTTGCTTTAGAGACAGCAGCGTGGGAGCTGTGCCGGATGAGAGATAGGAGCAATTGACATGTGAGAGGAGTCGTAGGTCTTCCTGCGTGAAGATGCCATTGCTGGTGTCAATTAGGTCGCATTCAAATGATGTCGACCAGGGCGTGGCATCGATACGTCGTTGAGGGTTAGGGGCAGGTATCTCAGCAAGGTATGGGTTCTCTCCCATGTCTGGGAGGACTTGTTGGGGGTGTTGTTCTTGTGACATTGTGAGGCAGCAAGGGCAAAACTACGTGGAAGTTCAATTCGGCAGCAGAGGTTTGCAATGGGATGCAGAAGAGGATGGAGATTCAACGGGGACTTTCATATATAGAGATGGCGTCCGCCCTCGCGCAGAAGCAATCCACTGACCAGTGCGTGGTCCTTTCTTCTCTTGTTCATCCTGTTGTCTTTGCTGGCATATTGAGTGATGGCATTCTATCCACGCTGAAGGTTACACAAAAGATATTTGTGAGTAGGTATTGGTCCGTCTTGTCTGGTTTATTTTCAACCATAGACCATTTGTCTGTTAAACAAAGGCCTGCTTGGCAATCGCAACAAAGCCGCAGATGAGCAACAGCCAGCATCATTGTTCCAGCATCACCCAGAAGATTCATCCCTTGCATGACCAGGCCACCGAAACGAGAATCTGTGCAATTGTGGTGGGAGGAGGAATACTCGGTCACATCACATGGGCTGCATCGTGTCTCGGCTCGTCCTTGTTCAGCTCGCCAGCACATTTACCAGCTATTCCTCCCTGTGAGATTCTAACAGCAGGTCCCATGTCGGTGGCTGTTAACTAACCATAGCCACGAGACCGGAAATATTTTGAGACATGGCAACGGCAAACACCTGGACTGGGCCCTGCAGCCCTGAAAAACTGGTCCACGATGATCCATCCCGCGAGTTTTCGGACACTGGCGGGTGGCGGTGCCTGTGTGGCTCGAAGCTGGCAAGCGGGTGACATTGAAATTGAGACACCCTCAATCATTAGGCTGCTTATTGTGAAGTCTGCGACCGGTATTATCAAATGATTAAGTACCAATAATATATAATCCAGAGATAATACTGTATATATTGTTACTTTCTTTATTTTTATACTACTAAATTTCTCTATTTATTGCAAAAAGTAGTCGATTAATAACCACTTTTCTACTAGGTGTCTCATTTCTCCTGTCACCCACTTGGCTGGGCTGTGTTTGAACAATCATGGCGAGCTTTCAGCTGCTTCGGGGTCTAGGTTAGGTCGGCACGAGCGAGACCCCACTTGGTGGCCACCTAATATTGGGTGTGGTCATCCTCCCTCGACGGCGCTGTGATTGACATGTCACATGGGACGCGAGTAGCGGGTAGTGACGACGAGAGGGAAGTTTCTTTGCGAGGTTGAAACGAGTGTTGCCAAAATCTGCAGCACCTGCGTCGCAGAGCACTTAGCGATGGGCAGTGCTGAGAGAGACAGAGGCGATCGTGGCAGAGTGGAGATACTCAACTTGGAACATGGTGATAAAACAGGCGAGAGGCCGCCAATCGACGTTTCGAAGCGATCGTGAGTTCTCAGTTGCTGTCTCTGATCAAGAGTGTCTGATGAGAGGAACAACATAGTGATAAGACCGAATTTACTAGTCTGATCCGTCCGGCCGGGATAATATTAGTGTTCATCGTTTAATATTAAGGCATCACTAAGTTCGCTGAGTTCAATGATCAGATCGTCGTTGCCTGACATCAGAGACTTCTATCTAGGGGGACGGTGTATGTACTATCTCTACTAGGCGCTACAGCCTGCATTATGCGCCCAAACAAGCGCGGGGAGGCTGCACGATACCGAGAACTTGAACGCCTCTGGTATTCGAAGCTGAAGAACATCCATCGCATTCCAGCGTTTGCTCTGTTGCATTGGTGATGGTAGAAGTTGTCCTTTACATGGAAGCGGACAGGCCAATGGCTCTCTGAAGCAATAAATGGCCCCATAATGAAAAAGCTTGTGCATAAAAAATAGCAGCAATTTGCGACTGGGGGGCCCAGACAGATCGCGCTAGCCGAGCATTATTGCCTGCCGACCACGATAATGACAAGGGTCGGCAAATCATGTCTGGTACCAGTAGGTGCTCTCATGCCTGTCCGCATGTGTCGCCGTTCCTCCTCGTGTTTTCCTGAATGCTTGTCTCGACCTGGGGCTCCCAGCTAGTATCCGGTGGCAGGGCAGCAGGAATCAAGCCAATGCAACCTGCACGGCCACGGGGCATGTGCCGGGCTTCAAAGGGGAGAATGATATCAGCGTGTTACAACGCTTCGCCTGTGGCTGGCAACCGTAGAAACTCTCGGGTCAAGCTAGCGCCCAAACCAGGTCAATGACCCCCTCTGCAGGCTGCCTGTCGTCGCTACCAGACCGGCTAGCGAGATTTGCTGTTGATCATTGTTGATGTTCAACGCTAAAGGAAATGTGCCTGCCCAAGGGTGCATTCCTGGAGGGAAACTCTGTTCTGCCGAGGAACCAGACCAGCTAGACGGGACAGCCGATCTGGAGAGTCTGTCTCAGAGGCATCTTGGAGATAGTGGAGATTATGTCATAGGTACCTCTCTGATGGCCCCACCTCGAGCCACATCTGGTAAGTGGCTCCTTCCAAGGCCTAGCATGCACTATGAAGTCGTAGGAAAGAGCTTTCCAGCCGGACAGGGATCTTCACGCCGACCCTCCAACCATAGCGTCATGCAACATGTGTTTCGGCCACGCCAAAGCATGATTATTCCCAGCGGCCTCCTGTCCCAGAGCCTAAGCCGGCCAGGGCCTGGGCCCAGCGTCCAGCTCCTTGATGCTAGCAGTGGCACTACGGACGCGTGGTTGCAGCTGCCACTCAATTGCTGGAGCTCTAACCTTCTGTCCTTACGTCAACACCAATCTTGGTAGCATCCACTGCCAATTGGCAAGCTGAAGGCGTCCCACCATCACCACCACCACCGCAGATGGCCGCATATATGTAGAGCCCATTGCGCTGATCGCCGACGGCAGTGGACAGAGGTAATCTGCGTCCCAATCTCATTCCTCCCACCCGACTGACACCACCATCCCCGTTGCCACGGTGCGGCCGTACTTCGCCTGTTCCACGCCACAGGCCCGACGACACCCCAGATTAACTCGTCTCTATCTTCATGCAGCAAAGTCAAGGTTCCGACCGCCAGTCCTAGCACCCCTTGTTATTGCCGCCTGGGCCAGCTAGTTTCACCTGTCACCCAGTTTTTCTTTGATTTTTTTCTTCTGTTTCGCCCGTCCGCCGGGATCCTTAATTTCCCCTGCCAGTCGCATCTCCACATCTCCTTTAGCTGCGAATCGCGCGCGCCAAGGATTTGCGGCACCTCGAATCGACAGGGCTCAATAATATCTACGGTAGCCCATCTTAGACGCTCCCTCTTGACTCTTTTGTTCCGTCTCGATCTCTAACCAAGAATAAAGGGCACGAAGCCGGGCTCGCGCCTAAGATACGGATCGACCAAGAGACAATTCCCCGACGAACTCCCAGCCATTGAGTCGTCAATATGGGCAATTTCATCAGTTGGCTCACGGAGAATTCTCCTGGCCAAGATGACAGCATTGGCGAGGCGAGAGCGACTCAGCCTCAGTCGCTGTCTGGTAAGTCGCCTATGGAGGAGGCTGTGGTGAACAGTTCGTGGTCAGCTTGAATGGACTAACTAACTATTATGCACAGGCATGATCAGCACACTGGTCCCTGTCTTGGTAACCAGTAGTATCTTCCTTGTAATCTTCCTCATCTTCAGAGTATCGCAAAGGAGATTCTATGCCCCGCGTACATACCTGGGCTCCCTACGCGAGAAGTAGGTAGCCACTCGCGACAGCTCACAATGGCTGTATATCACGGAGATAGGTGCTAACGTTCTCATAGTGAACGGAGCCCGGAGCTCCCCAGGGGTGTGTTGAACTGGTTTGCCGCATTTTGGAAGATTCCCGATGCATATGCTCTCCAACACCAGAGCCTCGATGCCTATCTGTTCCTCCGCTTCCTTCGAATCTGCTGCACGATAACCTTTGTTTCGCTCTGCATCACCTGGCCAATTCTCTTCCCTGTCAATGCCACAGGCGGTAATAACCTGAGCCAGCTCGAGATCCTTAGTTACAGTAACATCAACCTTGATACGCAGAAGAACCGATTCTATGCGCACACCTTCGTGGCATGGATCGTTTACGGTTTCCTCATGTATACCATCACGCGCGAGTGCATCTTCTACATCAACATCCGTCAGGCCTACCTCCTTACGCCTCAGTCGGCTCGACGCATTTCTTCGCGCACCGTCCTGTTCACAGCCGTCTCTGACGATTTCCTCGACGAAGCTCGCATCCGCCAGATCTTCAGCACTGATGCTGTCAAGAACGTTTGGATTCACGGAGAGACCAAGGAGCTTGATAAGCTGGTCGAGGAGCGTGATAAGGCGGCCTTGACCCTCGAAAAGGGCGAGATTAAGCTGCTCAAGACTGTCAACAAGGAACGAGTCAAGTCTGGCAAGAAGTCACAACCTGCAGGTGAACCCGCCCTGGATACCGAGAATGGCAACATTGCGTCTCGCTGGATCACTGATAAGATGCGACCCACTCATCGTCTTGGCCTCTTGGGTCTTGTTGGAAAGAAGGTTGACACGATCGAGTGGGGAAGAGCCGAGCTCCAGAAGCTGGTCCCCCAGACCGAGGCTGCCCAAGCTGAGTATCGTGCCGGAAACTACAAGAAGCTCCGCGCTGTCTTCGTCGAATTCTACCACCAGTCCGATGCCCAGGCCGCATTCCAGGTCGTCACGCACCACCATGCTCTTCACATGGCCCCTCGTTATATTGGCGTGCGACCCGAGGAAATTGTCTGGAGCAACCTTGCTATTCCCTGGTGGCAGAAGATCATTCGCCGTTATGTCGCCATCTTCGGTGTCGCCGTTCTTATTGTTTTCTGGGCTATCCCCGTTGGTATTGTCGGTATTATTGCTCAGGTCAATACTCTTAAGACACTGCCCGGCCTCACTTGGATTGCGAAAATCCCTGACGTAAGAGTCACTGTGTCGACGTCTCTCTGCCTTCACATTACTGACATTGTATTGATATAGATTATTCTCGGTGTTGTTTCTGGGCTCCTCCCGTCTGTGGCACTGTCCATCCTGATGAGCTTGGTTCCTGTGTTCATGCGACTGTTTGCTAGGCTTGCAGGCGAAGTCACTCTTTCCAGGGTTGAGTTGTATACTCAGAATGCCTACTTCGCTTTCCAGCTCATTCAGGTCTTCCTTATCCGCACATTGACCGATACAGCCTCGACTGCTGTCGTGCAGATTGCCAACGACCCATCATCGGTCTTCAGCATTCTTTCTTCAGCTCTCCCTACCTCTTCCAACTTCTATATTTCCTACTTCATCGTGCAGGGATTGACTATCGCCATCAGCGTCCTCACCCAAGTTGTTGGCTGCGTCATCTTCAATATTCTGTACCGATTCCTTACTGGCACACCCCGAGCCATGTACAACAAGTGGACAAGCCTGAGTGCCATCATGTGGGGAAGCGTACTTCCCGTGTACACTGCCATCGCTGTCATTAGTATGTTTAAATAACCGTCTATAGTTGTCGTCTGGAGTCTTGATGCTAACCCGGTCTAGGTATCACGTACGCTGTCATTGCCCCCATTATGCTTTTCTGGGCTACCATCGGGCTGGGTCTTTTCTACCTGGCCTATCGTTACAACGTCCTGTTCGTGACCGACACCGCTGTTGACACCCGAGGTCTCTTCTACCCTCGCGCTTTGAAGCAGCTCTTCGCCGGCATCTATCTTGCTGAGATTTGCATGGTGGGCATGTTCGCCGTCTCCAAGGCTGCTGGACCTGCTGCCCTCATGGCAGTCTTCTTGGTCTTCACAATTCTGTTCCAATTCACCATGCTCCGCGCTCTGGATCCCCTGCTGTACAACCTGCCCCGCTCCCTCCAGGTCGAAGAGGAGCTGATCCAGGAGCGACTCTCTGACGCCGAGCGGCAAGACAAGGTCGTGTCTGAATCCAACGGTCACGGCCAGACCAAGGCATCCGGATCTGGTTCTTCTCCCCGCGTCGAAGAGGTGGCTCCTAAGAAAAAGGGCAATTTCATTCAGAAATGGCTCAAGCCCTGGATCTACTCCGATTACGAAACACTTCGCAAGATGGTTCCTCAGGATGACTCCCTTGGTGCTCACGAGTACAGTGACGAGATCTCGGCTACGGCGTACCTCCCACCCTCAGTCACCAAGACTGCGCCCGTTCTTTGGATTCCTGAGGATCCTGCCGGCGTGTCAAAGCAAGAAATTGCCTTGACAAGCAAGGTCATCGCCATCTCCGACGAAGGCTGCACTCTGAACGACAAGAACAAGCTAGAGTGGGACGTTGAGGGAGCCCGCCCACCCATCTGGAACGAGAAGATTTATTACTAAGTTCCTGTGATTGATACCCCCTAACCTTTTCTTTCTTATTTCTATTTGTTTAATTTTCTTGGGATCCATGGGGTGTTTTAGCATCCTCTAGGTATAATACCTTTTGGAATAATTTTTTGGATGATGTATGATGGCGAGGAGTCATGGTTGGATAGACGGAACGGAGCCGGAGATTCAGCATGAACTGCCCTTGAGAGAACCAATATGTGTAATGATGTGATATACCGTGCCCTCACGAGAGACTTGGGAAAATAACGTCTTGGCTATTGAGTTCGCATAATTACAATTGATACCACTTTGATATGTTTCGACTTCGAATTCGGCTCGTGATGTTAAGATGAGATGCTTGGGTGTTCAAAGCCGTGTATACAGGATTTGATTTCATGAGCGACATGCGATCAAAACGATTGTAGTGTACTATGCCCATCATATGCTTTCTCGTTTCGAGTTGCACAATTCAAATTACTAGGTATCCATAGATAACAACTCTAGAGATTAATGTCACAGAGAGTGAGACTGACTCGGAACTCGTGGCGCACTTGTTTCTTCACCGTTGAGTACCTACCCAACGATGTGTCGGTGTGTCCGGTTTTGCTTTTCCCATCTCGTCTGTGGTGTAACCTGTTTCGGATCACGAGCAGTACAAAGTGATGCTCGAGCACAGGTCATGCTCTGCTTTCTTCCAAGGCCCAGAACGAGTTGACCGGATTCTGCTGCAGATTAGTATCTTACTGATGTCCATCACGTGGCTAGCAGCGATATCGAGTAGCGTCTTGGCATGGCAATGGCCTGTCACTCAGGGACATGGCGGGAAGAGCCGCCCCTCAGTCGTGCCATGGCTGCTGTGGAAACAGGGGTGGTGTCTGGGCCTTGAAGTCAAACTGGTTCGAGTATGATCTGGTAAGGGCCGAATTATATGATATGGTGCCAGGTATATGCGGCTAAGGGTGGTGGCGCAGCGCAGGGGCGAACCGAGAGCGTGATAACATGTAGTGGAGGGTCAATATTGGCCGATGGCGCCTGTTGGTTGGACGGGCAGCAGAATGCTATTTTGTGGGTAGGATTGCATGGGTTGTTGGTTCGCGGCATGACTGTGATATTGGGAGCTGTTAGATGGGACATGCAGGAACGGGCTGTGTTTGCCGCGACACATAACGGACCGCAGTTGATTTTGGTTCATGTCTACGGTGTATGGGACAAACAATGGCGGACAACCGCGCAAATGACGATCCCATTGTTCCGCCTGTTCGAGTCGTAGTGAGTACGGTGACGGTCTGCTAGCCAAGGGTATCTGCCCTTTGGTCTGGTCAGTCGGCAGCACTAGTTTCAGATCCGCGCGGCACATGTGCTTTGCGCTCTTCCTTTCGGGCTGCTCGTCTCGGGCATGTGTCTTCTCATTGGGTGCTTGGACGGTAATAGTTGCGGTGGTTGCCATGGCGACGTTGTTGCAGTAAACAGAGACAGCCCCCACCACCAACTGACGGGACTTGGCACATCACCAAAGACGCAACACGAGGCGTCCATTGGCTCCTTTGGCGGCTCCTCTTCCCTGTTCTGGGTAGGAAGCTTTCCCTCTCGCGCGCAGGTATCCCTCGCGGAGCTTCTTTTAGTTCGCAGCTGCAGTGGCCCCCCCAAACGCCATACCCCTGCTGGTTGATGGCCAAGTGAACGGTCCCCTGTTTACTTTCTGGTGGTGGTGTGCGGGCGTGCTTGATTAGCTGCATGGTTCATCCGTCCAGCTAGAGAGAGGGGAGCAGGCTGGATAGCGAACTACGGCGCAAGACCCTTCCTTCTTTGTTGCTTTCTTCTTGCGCATCACTCCCCGCGTACAGCTTCTTGCACTCCTTTGCGATACTATTGCCATTGTCTTCTGTTTCGGGAAGCTTCACGAGAGAGTGAGAGAGAGCGCGGCTATACCTCGATTCCTTCCTTGAGCCGTTACACTTGAGCTTTCACCCAGGGCCGTTCATTACCTGGCCCAAGCTACAGCTACTGCGACAGAGATCGGACGGAGCTATTTATTCGACGGCGACGGGCCACATCGAGGGCGCAACAAGGTACAACCAACGAGAGGCGGGAACTTAGCCATGACTTAGCTGGAGGAGAGCTATTCCAAACTATAAACGATCCGGCCAACTGCCTACAACCATTGTTCTTCCCCCCTCCTTCGCCCAAGCACGGGGGATACCGAAGGGCGGGCGGACGACGTCAAAAGAGACGGGCCAAGGGGCCGAGAGAAAAACCTTAAGAGAACAAAGAAACAAAGCCCACACCAAGGAACGATGCCGAAATCAACAACGAGGAGGTCCGTCCTCCGGCGCCTGGCACTACTGCTACTACTGCAGGCCGCCTCCCCCGCGACCGTGACGGCACAGACCCTCCCCTACACACCCACGCAGGTCCTCGCGCCCGCGTGCTTCAACGAGTCGGCCTGCGACGGCGCGGGGCTGGCCTACGTCCTCGACGGCGACAAGTTCCTCGCCATCAACTACACGGAGCAGGTGCCCGACGGCGAGGTGCCCGGGGAG